TCGCTCATAGATTCTGTTGGAATCATTTTCTATAAGGGACTAAATAGTAAATACAAATAGTGAAAAATAAATCCGTAATTTTATGGAAAAATAAAAATACGATAGTGATTCTGTTCGAAAAAACCTCAACAACTAAATAGCTAATTGCACTTTGCTTAAAAGAGGTGTGAATACAAAGACCTAAGTAAATAAGTTATCTAGCAAGCAGAAGCAGGTTCAGCCTCAACTTCCTAGGGTATCTGTATGGTGGCGTGGGCCGCTTATTCTCAAGCGTTTGGTCCCTATTTTGAGTTCTTTTCCTTTTTCTTCATCTTTCAAAAGCATTTGGTAGTCTTCGAATTAGATAAAAATTAGAGTGGACTCCAATCCCTCCCTCCCTCCCTCCACATGGAATACTTTAACATAACCCATTGCGTAATGACACATTTGATAGTGTTTAGAATACTAATCAAACAAGATAAGATTGATTATTCTTCCACTCAAGTGAATATTTAGAAACAACCCACGCTTTTGGCAAGGAAGAAAGTTTTTTTGCCAACCTAACCATCTTAGCAAAGCGCCAAACCCCAATATTGTCTGTGTGGTGGGTTCAATCATATGTAAAATTCCCAAGCTTTGACACGGTCCACCATTGGACTCCTAATTTATATTTTGCCTATTTCATTTGACTTTACACCAAAGAATATGCTTGCCAACACCGTAGGCCAATTTGGATTAGAAAATTTATTTCCTAATTGGAAGGCCTAATTGTTGGCAATTAAGCAATTACTCTCATCCCTCCCTCTCTGTACAGTGTTTTTCATAATAGCCTTTTGAAAAGGTTGGTGTGTCTGTGTGGGTTATTGAATCGATTTTTACTTGAGGGAAAGGCAAAAATCTGCAACAACATAAAGGTTGAAATGACCCACTTTCATCCACAAGAGATGCAGAGGGAGAGATTGAATCCTCCAGTAATGATGGAGCACATGGCAACTCCTCCAAAATTTTAATCTAAAGCCAAAAGAGGAGTGAAGAGAGAGACTTTGTTCTATTATTATTATTATTTTTTTTTAAATGGTTAGGGAGAGTGGTGTTTCTACCAAAATATGGATGATGAGACATTGGTAGTAGGAGAATAATAACCATCTTAAGGCAGCCAAGTCATTGGCTACAGACATAAGGTATGTAAAGATGGGAAGCAATTATCATACATACTTCCTAATAGCTGTGCCTGTACTGTCCTACAGCAAAAGAATAAAAAAAAAAAATATTTCTGTAGTAAAGAAATGAAGCTCATTGCTTAAAACTTCATGAAATGGGAATAAAGTTAAAGAGGGTAGAAAGCAACGATGTAAAAGAACCACTTGCAAGATTTCACTTTGATCAGCTTTCTGTTATTGTAACTAAGTTTCAACTACTTCATCTACCATAGGTTAGCTTCAGTTTGTGTTATTTATTTAATAACCCAGCAGTCAAATGTTACTCTATAAAAGTAAACTTCAATATAAATATAAACATGAGACGGGAGGGCCAAAAATAAAAATAGATTCAACAATAATGTAAGGTGTAGTCCACGTATCATTTGTCAACTTGTGGAATCGTCAATCCTCAATCTACAATTAATACCCTCACCAAAAGAACCGCGTAGAGTGCATTTTAATTACGAAATTCAATATTTTCATAAAGGACCATCTTAAAATTATTGAAGTTTTATCATATTTAGCAGTTGAATTTTGAAACAGTATGAAATTTTAAATCAAAGAGGTTTTTGTTTACTAAAATTTAATGTTCATATGTAACTTAAGAATATTGAATTACCAGTTTAGGTGACAATAAAATTTTTTTCAAAAAAAGTAATATAAATTATGGATTTATATATGAATTTTTAATTTAAATACTTTTATTTTGTGTACAATGTACACACACTAATATAGTGAATTCTTTATAATAACCAATAAACACGGAACATAACTATTATTCAAAAACTAATTAATAAAAAATAGTATATTTTACTAATGGATCAACATATATAATCTAAAATGTAATTTTGATTATAGTAAATAATAATACTTTAAAAGTGAGAGAGATAAATTATAATATAATAGTACATAAAAAATATATTTAACTAAAAAAGACATATGGACAGGCTACGAGGTAACCTAATCTAAAATAGGCTTCTAAGTTCCACCCATTTCTATTTGCAGCACCTCTTAACATGATTGATACGCGCTCCATAAATTCACCGAGGATCAAGATTTAACCAAAGGACCATAAATACCATGTACTAGTACTCCAAACTCTCCTCCACTCTCAGCCTTTTTTTGCAACAAAATTGCAATCAAGGCACTAACAGAAATCTTAAAAATCCAGGAAAGGTCTAAATTACCGTCCCAAAAAGAAAGCAACATATGCAAAACCAATATAAAACTATTGTACAAATCTAGTCTCGTCAGAAAATCAGACACATTAGAACCTGCAGAGACTAACAAATTAAAAGGCTAAACATCCTAAATACTTGCCGATGAGCTATATATTATGAGTAAGATCTGCTGAAAATAACAGAATAAAGTAACATACTTAGGTCCATGGAATTACTCATTTACCATCATCACTTCTGGTTTTATAAGCATTTTGACAAGATTCTGCAACAAATAAGAAAGCAGTATAAACACAATTGCAGAAGAATTTGTTTACCCTGCTTACTCTGTGATAATGTTATCTAAGTCTGCTGTAAGACACTGAGAAATAGAATACAGTTGATGGCAGGCTAAACAATGATAGTCCTCCCAAGCTAAGCAAAGTTGCTGACAAGGTAAGGAGGAACAAATTAAGACATCTATCCCTGCAACTTCAGAAAGTGAGAACAGATGACTAAAGAACAAGATGCTCTGTTAAACGAAGGCACTAGAGAAACAATGGGAAAATATAATTTTCCCATTATATGAAAAGACAAGAACCCCCCACCATCAATGTTACAACAGTGAGATGCTGAGGCCAGATGAAACAGCTGTACTCAGAGATTTTCTTAAATCTGAATTTACCATCTGATATACCAATATTGTTCAAATACCGCTGGAGGAAAAATGCCCGTTATGGGCACAAGAGAAATCTGCACATAACATTATAAAATATAAGACAAAATGCTAGTCATGACATGAAGAGATTGAAGTTAAAAAATTAAATTAAAGCTTTGTCATTAGTGTACCTCAAGTGACGAAGCAATTCTGCTATGAAATCTCCCTAAACATCATAACTAACAGTATGAGTCCTTCATTAAACTGCTGAACGTTCCACACAACACTAATATCTTCTGTTCCTTTGCACAATGTTTTACATAAGGTTCCTCAAAATATAAATCTCTCGTTCAAAACTGGATTTCAGGCCCTTTTCTATTTTTAGCTGCACATTAAAATTCATTCTGCTCCTTCTAAAATCTAAGCTTCTAGCTGGGCATCAAAAGCTCCTATTACTTCTAAAGTCCACAAATCAATTGTTTCAGTAAATAGTGAACCGCATTAGGGTTAATGACATATATCTTTCATAAATTATCATTTCCACCTTGTTTGGATGATCAATCCACAAGATCATCCAGCTCTATGAAATCTCCCTTTAGAATGGATACTAATTGATCAGCAGTTTCAGCTTCTAGAAACATATCACCACCAGGAAGTCTAGGTGTCATAACCTGCCACAGGGTATCAGATCAAAAGAGACATAAGTTGTTTGAAAGAGGAAAAGAACGAGGATTTATTAAAAATTAAAATAAAATTACATGACATGGATACTAGATGACATCCAACATTTCCTTATATGGGATCACAGAAGAGACATTCACATGTGCACATCATCCACTTGAAGCAGTAATATATGCAGTAAGACAGGGCATTAAAGATGAAAATGGACGGAGTGATATAGAAAAAACCTAGTAAAGTCAGGTCTACATGAGGAGATACAAAGCAATAAGGTTAAAACTCAGGTTTTCCAATTGCAACATATACATCAGATAAAAAAAGAGCCCATATCGTGCAAAAAAAAGAAGGGATTTATGAGAAAATTGATCATCAATTTTCCAGATCAAAAATTCTTGCAAGTTACAACAAAGCAAAAGAACCATGCTTAGATAGAAAATCGAACAATATAAAGTTAGTTCTTTGCTTATCAGTGCCTCTCCATCATTGTATTAGTAATGCACAATGCAGATGAAAAAAGACCGGATATGATTAGGAAGCACACAGATGAGGTAAAATGAGTTTTGATGGAAATGATTGGCATAAATAGAATAAAAGAAACATGAAAAACCACTAATAAAGTATACATTAAGTGACAGGATATACTTTTGAAGTATCTTACTAGCTTATTAGATTCAATATTGGAATTGTTGCCTGAAGGAAATTGAGAACTGGCAACAGAAACACGTCCAGCGTTGGCTTCATCATCAAACTCAGCATTCGGTCTAAAAGAACATCTAGACATATTATTCCTATCAACGATGGTGTGATTAAGCACTTTAGCTTCAACAATGTCAGGTGTCAGAAATCCATCATGCTGAATGCCAACATGACGTACAGCAGAAACACATTCTTCCGCACAGGAACTTAACATATTCTCTGAAGTGCTATTTCCACCACGAGACTTGACAAATACTCGGCAAAGGACATAAGATGCCTGCACATGACAAAAACTAAGGTTTCACAACAGAAATACATAGCAACCAAAGTGATGGTTCATTAGACATGTAAATGGACTTCATTGATTGGAAGAAAGGAAAGTTTGGATAACTAAACACCAATTGCATCCAGTCAATTATGCATAAGAGAATGATCTTGAGTCGGTAGGCAGAAACTAATAAGAGCAATGTAATGTGATTAAACAATTATATGCAAAAACAAAGATAAAATGAATAGCACTTGCGAGCTATTAAGAAACAAGGAGGATTCCCATTCACCCCCCCGTAGGCAGAAACTAAATAAGAGCCAAGTAATGTGAATTTAACAATTATAATGCAAAACAAAGATAAAAAATGAATTAGGCACTTGCGAGCTATTAAAAGAAACAAGGAGGATTCCCATTCAACCCCCCCCCCCTCCCCCCCACCCCCCAAAAAAAAAAAAAAAAAAAAAAAAAAAAACTATATATATATATATATATATATATATACTCTGCCGATAAACGCATAAATTCCGGGCACAAAGACAACAAAACTTCCTTATTACCGGAAAAAAAAAACAAAAAAACACAGCCCCCTTCCTAAGACGAAGGGAAGAACCAAAATACATATATATACTCTGCCGATAACGCATAAATTCCGGGCACAAAGATCACAAACTTCCTTATTACCAGGAAAAAAAAAAAAAACACAGCCCCTTCCTAAGACGAAGGAAGAACCAAAATACTTAAAGCTTATGATAGCAATAGCATTCACATTAGTTAATAAGTGTACATCATAACCATAACCAAATTCAATTCTAGAACAATAATAATCCTAAAATACCTTTCCCCGGTCTATTAAGGCGTACTCATACAGGATCCAATCCGTCCTAATTGCACTTTTCACTGAATTCCCCAAATAAAAAACGAATCTAGTCCTCCTCCCTATCACGGCCTTCCCACCAGGACCCGCCACATCCCTAACCCTACCGCTCTTCCTCCAATACCCACCCTTGGCCCTCCTGCTCCTCCCTCCTCTGCTCTCGTTCAAAACCCTAAGCTTCGCATAACAATACCAGTGTCTTTTTCTCCCCCCGCAACCATATGCATAGCACGAATTATCCGGTAAATCAAACGGCTCGTAGTCGTACAAATCCAGCTCTTTTATCAAATCGTATCCGTTCGTATTACTATTGACGTCGTCGGCGTCTCTATTTGTGTTATTCTTGTTGGTGAGGTAGAAACAGAGAAGTTGTTCGTCGGAGGGGTAAAATCGACACCCAGGAGGACGCGAAAACGACATCGTTTCAGGGTTTTAGCGCTCTCCCAGTGTCAAACCGACCTGAGAGTAAACACAAAACAGAGCAGCAAGAAGGAAAATGAGAAGACGGGTTTAGGGGTTTGTATATAGGCGAAAGATGCGTGCCCCTGACGTTTCCAAGTGACTGTATGTAACTAAAGAGTACGTCTTCCGCATCCACCAGTGCTCCTAGTGTAATTTTTGGGTAGGGTGGGCCACTAATATTGAGTTGGCTATTTTTCATTGGCTGGGTCGATTCTGAAAGGTCGACGGATAGTGGTGGTCCTTGATTGAGTCAATTTTGGAGCAGGAAATGCTATGGGAACCTCTGATGTACAAGTAATTCATGCCACTATGAAGTGTTTCTGTTAAATAACCTTTTGTGGTATGCAATTTTGTCACTATTGGGGATAATTTTATCAATTGGAAGTGGGGTTCCTGTATATTTGGCCAAAACTGATGTGTTGGCGGCGCAGTGGCACGTGTCAATTATGAAGTAGCGAGTGTCAAAATAAAATGTACCTGCGAGGAAAAGGTATGGAATCTTTGAACGACAATTGATGTTTCCAGTGTGTGAGGCAAGAGCAAGTAATGTCCGAAGTCTAAGAATTTTCGTATTTTATTATAGACTGGAAAGTATGGACCCAACGTATGGGCCGCGGCCCAAGGACACATGACCTTGGTTCATAAAAAGGAAACAAAATGACATGATCTAAGACGGCGAGAAGGAATCGGACTGGACTAGTAAAATTAACAGTAGTATTTATGGGCCCAAGCCCAATAGACAATTAACCTGGTCTTTGACACAAGTCGCTGACTTGCATGATCTGATGTGTAGATATGAGAACAGGACAAATGCATAATTTAATCTCTAAATTTTAAATATATATAAAAAAAAAATCAAATAGTGATTACAAATAATGCTGGATTTATTGTATGGGTGAACCCATATGCTGGACAGGAGTAGGTAAGTCTTCCCTATTTTGGAATCCAATTATTGAAATATTAGAATATTAGCCCCATGGACTTCTAGCGTTGCAGAGAGACAACAGCAAAGAATTCCTTGTCAGATTCAAGAGCAGCCATTGAATCTGGAGGAAGACAAACCTCCAAATCCACACTTCCACCACCTTCACGTCCTGGATAAGCTGACACTTTCCCACTAAATTTATGTGCATACCCACTGCGAAGTGTCAAAGCTTTCCCCAATCCAAATTGGCAGCCATACTTATTGAATCTAGGAGAGCTTCCCATCATCACACTGAAGGGATCAAAAGAACGACCAATGTGATAAATAAAAGGTGATTTCTTCCACGCTTCAATTCGCTCCTGAATCTTTTCACTTGTCTGATTAACCACAGACTGATGCAGCATCCATGCTGCCCATCCAAGATTCTGCTGTAGCAGTTCCCCCGCTGTGCTAGAAGCTGCGATTGCATCAATACAGTTCCCGAAGTAGTTAGGCGATAAAGGTGGATTGAATCTTGATCTGTTATTGCAGGCTAATCTGCAATTAGTGATTTGATCATGTGGTAAATGGCGGGATCGGGTTATGCACCTCCACATAAATGCAGACAACGACTGAAAGGAAGAAATCTTGTTAGTATTGTACTCTGCATTTGCTTTTTCTTTCAGTTTAGCAATAGATTCTGCTGAAAAATGAAAAATCCTTTCTTTAAGTACAGGTGACTCAAATGGGCATAAGAATTGCTCATGGTGAGTAAAAGGAAGATTGATTACAGGACCATAACCATCAGGAAACCAGGGTTTTAATACTGGTGGCCGTGAGATTGCTGCGCCATCATCTCCCTCCGCTTGGAAAATCTCAGACCATGTATTCAAGAAATGCCAATAAGAGGTCCCATCACCGATAGCATGGTTAAAAGAACACCCAATAAAGATTCCATCGACCAGTTCTGTAACTTGAATAGTTAGCAAAGACCGAACATGACCATCGTGGTTAAGAGCTCGATGATGGTCAAAGAAGGATTGAACTACTGATGGAACATAAGTAGGTGAAAGAATATCAGAAACTGTCATGTCAACAGTAGCATGGACAAATCTAGCTCCTGGGCTATTTCTGCAATCCACATAGATTACATATGAAGGAGGGTCTTGACTCTTAGAAGTTGCAAGGCGACCGGCTAGTGGATAGAAATGGACAAGAGTGAGAGCTAAGGAGTGCTTGAGCTTCTCCAGCAGATGTAAGATATTGAAGTCTTCTCGTGGTGGCTTGGGAAAGAGAAGACCTTTTTGGATGTAGTGAACAGAGACCATAGCGAGATCCCATGGGGACAAATAGTAAGGTTGCTCTGCTTCTTCAACTACGTGTTGGGGCTTGATGAAGCATTCTGAGATATATTGGATTGCTGTTGGATTCATTAGAGAAGGTGTGCTAATTGCTTGCAAATTCTCTCTACCTTGCCCGTATGGAGATATTTGACTGCTGAAAACCTAATATTTATGTGCAAAGTCTCGTATCAGAAAAAGATGGAATAAAACCCAGTCCATATGAGACAAATGTGCGCCAGTTTCACCAACCCTTGCTTGGCCACCAGGCAATAGACAAAAGTCCCAATCAACTGCTTTCTTCTTTTTATTTTTTCTAGGAAATATTAAAGCTAAAAAGCCAACCTGGACTGAAGCAAGTTGAAACAATTTGTAGCAAATATTTAGCTGAAAATCTTTTCGAAATTTCTGCGAACCCAGGCACCTGATGTATTTAAAAGGTAGCACCATCCAAGTAAATATAACTAATTTAGTCGCCGATTGAGCTAGACAAACAAATAACGCCACCAATGATGTCATAGACCCATATTTCTTTTTCATAGTCAAAAGATAAACATCTTTGCTGAAGATTATCCACCAAGCAATGTAAGCATTAAAAGAAAAGGAAAAAGAGGTGCTTTGCAAGAGCCAGGATGAATCGTATCCTCTACTTTCAAATAGAATTGCCCAAGTCTTCAAAATTCTGTAGTCAAAAAAGCCCTACGCGGAAGCATGAGCCTGCGTAGGGCTCGAGCTTCTGAATAATATCCAAGCAAAAGACGGTATACAAAGTAGATATTTAATTTAAATACTGATTATTTCGTTCCCTGCTATAGGGGCTAAAAGGGTGTTAAAAAAAGTCTAGCCAAAATTAAATAATAAAATTGAGCTGACCAACAATCACAAAGATGGTAGAAACAGAACAGTAGGCAAATCTCAGACAACGCAAATATGGAATTATTATCAAATCTGCAAATCAGCCAACATGCCAAAAGCTCGACGAAAAATATATCTTGTTCTACCAAATATGTTCAAAAACCTATCAAACACACTACAAGTTCCAACTTCCAAGTTCCAACAACCTACTTAAGCCTAGAATAACCAAATATTGGATGGTCTAAATCTGCTTAACAAGAAATAAAATGGTGTCTAGAGCTGCTTAACAATAAATATAACTAACTCTTGAAATTGCAAAACCACTTGATGGGCATGTCTTAGTTCACCAAAAACATTCTTTAGGAAACCAGGCCATCATTCAGGGATAGTGATGCAAGCTGATCGGCAGGGTTGGCTGCCTGCTGCTGAACAGCAACATTTCTAAGGACTTCCATGGCCTCTGCAACTTTTGCTTTTAAAGCCTCTGGTGATTCAAGCAGGTGTAGAACTTCAGTTTGATCCATCTCCAGAAGCATGCCTGTAACCTTGGCTGCTGAATCATGCTCCAGTTGATCCACCAATGGGTACAGACTTTCACCCAACAGCTGTCCCCCCCCCCCCTTTGATTCCATCTCCAGAAGGCATGCCTGTAACCCTTGGGCTGCTGAATCATGCTCCAGGTTTTGATCCACCAATTGGGTACAGGACTTTCACCCAACCCAACAGCTGTCCCCCCCCCCCCCCCAACAAAAAATAAATAAATAAAATAAATAAATAACCCCCCCCCCCAACAAAAAATAAATAAATAAATAAATAAATAAAAACAATAAGTCTACAATTAAACCATTGAACCATCAGGCAAATGCATTGCAGGCAAGAAAACAGAAGTATGAGCATACCGTCCTTTGCTGCTCAGGGGTAGCATTTGCAAGGGCTGTAGCCAAAGCAGTGATTGGCATGGGCTGCCCTGTAGCAGCATCCCTTATCGGCATGCCACCCATGTCATAGGGAACAGAAAGCGGCATTCCAGCAACACCTGCCATTGGAACATCTGGCATGTTTCGACCAGTCGGGTAACGATAGACACGTCCCCTAGGAAGCATCTGCAACGAGCCATCTTCTGTCAACCAAAAATGTGATCTGAAATAAACATGCAATGAAAAGAAGAGGATGAATCTCTAACAACCTGCTGGTGCATTAGTGGAACCGGCTGCTGGCTCTGTTGCACAGGACCAGCTCCACGTCGCCCACCAGGGCGCTGGCTCTGCTGACCCTGCTGAACAAGTGGTACAAAGAAATTTGGCATAGGAGCGCCTCCAGGCCTCATTCCAGGAACCAGTTGCTGCTGATAGCCAAATCCAGCCTAAAGAAATTGAGAGATCCAACATCAGCATTGACAATGAATGGTTTACAATTGTGAATCATCGAGGATCTTGTGAACTACATAAAATGCAACCTAACTTCTATAAGTGTTAATTAGATTCACAAGATATGCCATTAGGTTGAATTGATAATGCCCTATGCTTGTCATATGTTATTAAGACCATAAAAACAGGTAGTATAAAATGAGAGAAAAGATCGAATTTTAGAAATACAAGGCATACAATGTCTCAGATAGATGCCCAAGCATGCTGCACTGCCTAGACTAAAGAATAAATGAAGCAACTTCTAAGTTCAGTTTATGTAGCATAAATATTAAAGAAACCATCTCAGACAGCTATTACCATTACACCATTACAGATGAGAGAAATTTTTCTTCCACCTATTGCTAGCAAACAAACATGCATCATTTTCAAATATGTAATTGATACCTAGTAGAGTCAATGTAAACAGAAAACCTGCCCAATTTTACAACAATTAGAAGCTTGATATGCTTTGCAGACCATGGACCATCATACGATGTAATTTTTAATTATCTAAATCAAAAGGAAAGAGGATACAGCATCAAACAAAGGCAAGCACACATTTCCAATTACTAGTAAAAAATTCAAAAAATAGAAATGAATAATCATATACTTCCAGAAATTGATTTTTAACAGAAGAACCAATTTTTTGTTACTCTTAATCAAGAAATAAGAATGAAAAAAACAGAAAAAAGAAAATTAAAGATAAGCTACCTGAGGAGGAATTATTGCTGGAGGAGCTTGCCCATATAAAAATTGCTGACCTAGACCTGGAGCACCTGGAGAATACATTGGCATACGAGGAGCAACAGAAGGTGACATGGCAACTGGCCTCATCTGTGAAAATTGTGCCTGCATGAAACACATATCACATGTGAATAAGTATTCAATTAACCCTGACTACAGCAAAATGAAAAAGACAAAATTACAGGTTATTGTGTCCTGCAGCAAATTCTGTGAGAACACAGGGGAAAAGGGAGATTGAGGCAGTTATATACACTCATCCCGCATCAGATAGAAGAAGGAATATTTAATTCAAGGTACATACCCATATCTGATAATATATCATTTGCTATTTTAATAAGCCACGGAGAGTGTTATGAACATAACCAATATAAACAATTTGTTCAAAGATCATTCCAAATAAATGAAAAAACTAAAATAAATTTTGAAAGATAAATAGATGAAACCAAATTGTCTTCACAAGAATCAAAAGCCAACAGACTGCAATTGAATAAAATAAAGTATAAACCACAAAAGCCTTATATGCAACCAAATTAATTCGAGTAAACTGAAGAACTGATTTTGAAAAATCCTAATCCTCCAAAAATTTGAATGTTTTTAAAAAAAAAAAAAAAAAAAAAAAAAATGAAAATCCTAATCCTCCAAAAATTTTAAATGTTTTTTAAAAAAAAAAAAAAAAAAAAAAAAAAAAAGAACATCCGCGCATTAGGCTCCTTAGGGCCACAATACCTTGAAGCCTTGCCTTCTTCTTCCTTCCGTTGCGCAAGTGCAACATACAGTGGTTTACTAACAACCATTTCCATTTCATCTCTCGCCAGCTGTAGAGGAAACAAACAACGACAAATCAATTTCAGATCACATTATGGACAACAAAAACGATTCAGGACTTACAGCTCGAGATGCTTCCTCAGGATTTTTGAGAAAGCAACAAAACCCAGATCCCTCTGCTAATTCCGCTTGGATCTCGGCAAACCTGTTGCATTAGATGAATGCAAAAAAAAAAAAAAAAAAATAAAAAAAAAAAAAAGGAGTGGACCTTAACTACCAAGTTAAAAGAGATAAGGATCATTAAAAAAAAAAAAAAAAAAAAAAAAAAAAAAGGTGGACTTAACTACCAAGTTAAAAGAGATAAGATCATTAAGGATTCCTTTTAATGGAACTAAGGAGCATACATATATACCTTGCATGAAGTAATTGTGCCAAAATCAGAAAAAAGTTCCTTAAGTTTTTCATCATTGATGCTATCATCCAAATTCTTGATATACAAATTCACCCCTTGGAATTTGTCTACAGCTTCCTTCATACTCTGTTCAAATCGACTTTTCAGTTCAAGCTCCCTCTCAGATTTTTTCTGTGCTTTCCCAACATACCACTCCTTGTCATCAAACTTCTTTCCATTAAGAGACTCAACAGCTCTAGCAGCATCATCAGCATTTTCAAAGTTCACAAATCCAAAACCCTTTGATTTTCCATCTGCATCCCTCATAACCACGGCACTAGTAATTGCTCCATATTCACCAAAAGTATTCTTCAAATCCTCATCCGTTGTAGATTCTGATAAATTTTTCACATAAACATTATTGAATTTTGTCTTATTGAATGCAGTTTCTCGTTCCTGCTTGCGAAGGAAGTGTCCCACATAAACTTGTTTGTCATTAAGCAACATGCCGTTTAATTTATCTATAGCATTTTGAGCAGCTTCCTCATTGTCAAATTGTACAAAACCATAGCCTCTGGACTGGCCAGAAGCATCAGTTGCCACCTTGCAAGAAAGAATGTTGCCAAATGTAGAAAATGTATCGTGTAAAGCTTTGTGATCAATAGTCTTATCCAAGTTCTGCAATCCACAAAACACAATGGGAGAACAAAAGGTCAATGTTAAGTGAACAATATCCACCAAAAAAGGAATTGAAATGTGAATATCTAACTTCAAGGCAAAGTAACTCAACAAACCCAGCAAGACACCTTACTAGCTACTATAGAGACAAAAGAAAGAAATAACACATCAGCAAATTGAATACCTTGATAAAAATATTTCCAGTCCCACTCTTGCGAATACTTGGGTCTCGATGAGAGTACATGATCCTAATGGGCTTGTTGTTAAGAGGAGTGAAGTTTAGTACATCCAATGCCCTAGCAGCTGTAGATGAGGAAACCATAAATTCAGCACGGAAGCCATAAAATTTAAACACGAGGGGAGCGGAGAATAATGAAAATAAATACATAGTATACCAATTCAGTATCAAACAAATGTAATTGGAATATTGCATTTATTTACCTAAACTTTGTTATCAGCATTATTAAAATCATTTATCAACTTCATTTATTAGAAAGTCAAATGTATTCAAGTTATTTACGCAATAAATTTTTTTCCAAAGTCTAAGTAACCACACATTGTCTCAAATTTCATTGGAAAAATCACCCCATTAGAAACAAAGCAGATTAGCAACTAAATTAGGTTCGACAGATAAAATAAGTAACTTAGAAGAAAATAGTAAAATACATAGCTTATCAAAAAACTAACAGATAAAATAACTAATTACAACAAACAATTATGAGGCTGAATACCCACCAGGGGACGAGATACGTTGTATACATAGCATTGAAAACTTAAGCTGACTAGAAAAATATTTCTTTATGCCCATTCCAACATCATTAAAGGCTAGCCAGAAATCTAGTGTTGCCTACAACCTTATATCAATTCTTCCCTCCTTTACGAGATCATAAAATATTTATCTCATTCCAAATCCTTTGTTCGTTTCACTTAAAGTCAACCATTGTTACTTCCTATCATATCTAGAAGCATATCTTGCACAAAGCCAAATTTCTCTGGAGACTCTAATAGGATCCCATCAACGTTTGCACAGCTAGTGACAGCTTTTTACAGCACTTCTGCATTTAATACTCCATTAATTCCATATTTAAACATATCCATATTAACATGCTCATGTCAAAACTCTTAATGCTCAACAGGCTTTCCATGGCACAATAAAATTTTTCCTTTGACATAGTAAGCAATTTAAGGTCCAAAACATGGACTCTAGGTTTCAAATTGAGACTGAGGTCCTTCGACAGAGAGAAAGCAATAATCGGTATAATAGCATGCATTACACAATTCAATCACAATAGCACATAATTACTGGGATGGATTAGAATCTACTGGTCAGAGGTAGCAAAACTAGCAGCACTTCTCTAGTCTCCATGTTCTCATTTCAGAAAAATCATCTACAAAATTCTCAACCGCACAAAAAAAAAATTCCTTACCGGTTACGGTTATAAACACAAAAATTCCAAAAACATTGTTACTAAATAGCCAATGCACGATAAAGCTTTCAATTGCATCACAATTTCCACAAAATAGCACATAAAATAAGCATTTTTAAAGGAAAGAACAACATTTTAATTTGAAAATTGGATGAACGTGAATACTAACCATCCTGAGGATTGCTGTAGTTAACATAACCATATCCCAGCGATCGCCGGGTGCTCAAGTCCCTACAGACTCGAACAGAAACGACCTGGCCAACCTGATTAAACAGATCGTAAAGCTGTGAGTCGGTCACGTTCAGGTCAAGATCTCCAACATAGAGCGACGTCGGCATGAATGGAATCCCGGCTTGAGTCGCCGCAACTCCGTTCGGCCCCGGTACCGGCGCCGCCTGATGCTGTACCTGAATCTGTGCCATCTCGAAACCACAGACGTTCTAGATCCTTCTCTCTTCTTTCCCAAATAAAAAAATAAATAAAAATCTATTACCCCCTCTCTCCTCTTCTTATTTGAAGATAAACCTTAGATAGCTAGAAAACGCAGACAGATACGATAATAATGGCAATAACTCTGATCCTAAAGCTGAAAAGTGAACTATAATCTATGACCTAATAGTGTGAATTTGAGAGCCTTTTTTTTTCTTCTTTTTTTGATAATTTAGGGATAGGAAGGAAGAGGAGAGAGAAGGGTAAAATAGGGATAGAATCGTCCGAGAACCGTACAGAACCGGACGCGAGACGACGGATGAAGGTATAGAGAAGAAATTTTTTTTGGTTTTTTGATTTGGGGTGGGAGGGCAGATCGAACTGCACCGCACTGGCTTATATCTGTAGGTTATTTGTAAAATCGATAGAAACCCTAGCTTAGTCTTTGAGTTCTTTGCTTATGCACCGTCCGATCTTTTGATGGTCCCACACCTCGCAGTTTTAAATGGACGGCTAAAATTACATGCCTAAGATGATGATCAAGGGTAGTAGTGCGTTACGTAACTTTGTTGCAGAAGGGATTACACGTGGTGACATAACCGGCGACCACGATTTCTCCGTTATGTTATTTTTCTTTTTCGTATCTTCTTTATTTTGTTTTACTGTTTCTAATTTGATTATTATATGAATTTTTTTTATTAAAAAGAAAGTCGAATGCGTGACTCAAATTACATTTTCTTTATCTTTTGAAAATAAATCGAATTAATTTAATTCAAATGTACTAAAAATTAAAAATCAAGTTAAAATTAAAACTCCAATTTTGATTTAAGTTATCTGGAATTGAATCTTATTTTCCAATGATAAGGTGAAAAAATTGAAAGCTAGATAAAATAGGCAAAGAAAGAAAAAAGGCTCAAGGGACTACCGTTTAAGATTTCGCCTTAAGCCCACTGTGAAGTTCCATAAGCCCTTTCCATCAGTTCCAATAAGCAAAAATAAATCTCATAATCACTTTGGCCCAATAGCCCAACAATAACTCCATTATGGGCCTTGATGATTGAATTACTTTTTCTTTAATTATCAAGTGTTAGCCCATAGTTCCTTGCTGTCACATGTGAAATTTTGCCCATTTTTCATGGATGGTATTTATTTATTTCATGAATTATGGATTTTCATATGTCTAATGTGATGATCTACCTCATTTCACTCTCCTCAATTTTTTTAATTAAAACCACGGTATCCGGATCATATTACAGGAACTGCTTAATCAGACAAATCTTGTATTTTTTACGTTGTTATTAAATTTACTCTTTCTAAATTTATTAAAAATTATTAATATGCAAGTTAATGTATTTTTGGCTGACTTTCTCCTTCCACTCATCAGTTTTCAATTACCATGATAGAATTGTTTAAACTTGCATTGTTTTTTTTAAAACAAAAGAATAACTACTTGTATGTTTTTTTTTTTTTTTTTTTTTTTTTTTTTTTTTTGCTATGAATAAATTTTCTGGTTGGCTTTTTTTTTTTTTTTTTTTTTTGCTATGCAATAAATTTTGGTTGGCTTTAGGAAGAAAAAACAAAGCTTAAATTTGTGTATGCTTATATAATTATTTTATTTATTATTTTTCTGTGCTTATTTTGAATTTAGCGGATGAATATATATAAAAATAATTTAAAAAAAAGACTTTAAAAGACAAAAATAATTTTTTTGTTTTTTTAGAAATAAAAACCCAGAGACATAAAATGCTAACAAATTCCCCAAGTAAAGAATCTAATTAGCATTTCCCTTTATTGGAATGTAACTGAATAGAAACACTAATTAATTAATAAATGATCGCCATGATCCAATTAATCCCTGGAATGTTAAAAACATTTAATACGACCATAGACAATTGTCGTCCATGTTCCAATTTAAGCAAATTAACGAGTTTAACTAAAAAAGAACTGTGTGTTTTTACTCTAATTAGTAAATTACAGCACTTTTAATTGCCGCAAGAAAGTAGAAAAGCAGCCTTCTTGTTGGTTTCAAATTTAGGGGATCCACATCTTTCCCTCCAAAGAGCATAGGCATCGCATGATGGGTAGCCCCACCACAACACTAGCTGGCTGTTTTCTTTTCTTGGAAAATGCATGTCAATCACACTCAGAAAAGAAAAAATAAAATTGATAGTTGGTGTTTTACTTTATGAAAGTCTTCCAAGTAGTGCAAATTTTTATCATGTAGATTTTTCTTGGTATTGATGGAAGAAGACAACGACCCTTTTCCCATTTCAAACTTAAAATATGAAAGACTAGGCTTAAGATTACAACAACAAGAAGGTGCGTGGACTTCAGTGTCCGGAGGCTACACTTTCTTTTTAATTTAACCTAAAAGCTTTGTCTTAACGAGTTTCTCTGATAGTCAAAGGGAGGAGGGGAAGATGGAACAAGAAAGAGTGACAAAGAGCTATTGGTTCCAGGTCAGAAATAGAGTACAAAGAGACCAACTTTTCTTTCTTCATCCTCGAAACGAAACAAGAAATAAAGAAAGAAAAGCACATCAAGCAGATCATCATCACAATTGATAAAATTTCAAATAAAAATTACAAAAAGTTAATTTGAAAATCATCTGCCTTCTGGATGCAATGGGAAAAGCTCCAGAGTTCTATCTGCTCCTTCCTCTCTACATGTTGACCTGCTTTCTTCTAATTCCAAGCTCTCAAATCCCCAGCTTCTGCACTTTCTCTTGTATGGACTGTCTTTCTCTCTCTCAACTTCTCCCTGCATCATAAATTTATATTTATGTCAGAAATTTAAACTATCTCTATTAGAATTCGTTTCAAATTATATAATATAAAAAAGAAGACATGCGTACCCTAGTTTCCAAAGATATAGAAGTGGTAATAGGGCTGGGGGTTCTCGGACTATGGCTTAAACCAAGGCTATTGCGCTTCTGCTTTTGCCTTTCGCGGGCTTTGTGATTTTGGAACCAGTAAAAAACATTCTTCCCTTCAATTTTTCCATATCTTCCTAACTGTGCAGTGATTTGTTCTATTTGTTGGGCATTAGGAGTTCTCATTCCTCCTCTATAAAGCATCTCTAGTATACCTATCTGTTCTTGGGTCGGGTTCCAACGTGTCCCTCCTGGATGCGTCTCCACCTGCTTTGAAACAAGTTTAGTTAGATCATCATCCGTACGTATGCATACGATATAAAAACAAGTACGTTATAGTTAGGAATGTAATATTTTAATCACCTGAGGCTGAGGTGAATCTTTCTTGTCGTCAGAGGAACCAAGCTTTCTTGGACCACTTTCTGGTCTAATGAAGCTCTTGAGGTCGAAAGAGGTGACAGTAGTAGTAGTAGTATCGTTGGAGAGTTTAGGAGCAAGAGGGCGAAGACGCTTGCAACCAAGCGTGAGAGAGGGTTCATGCTCCCAAAATCCACGTGCCAACTGATGCACCTTCATGCTTCCCATGGTGAGGGACTGAATTAAAGAGAATGGCTCATTATATAGAGAAAGTGGGATATGAGATGGTGCTTAGGAGAACCCAAGACCAAATGATGAGGGGAGGTTGACTTGGGATTTCCATTTTTAATAAAGCAAAAGCTGTATTAAAGAAAAAAAGAAAAGAAAAGAAAAGACACATAAGTATAATTGTTTGTTTGTGTAAGCGTGTGGGTGTGTGAGTGAGTGAGTATATGCGTGTGGGTTGGGCAGTCTAGTCGGGTCATTTTTTTCTTCCTTTCATGATAAGGTGTTCATGCTTTTCGGTGGCCTCTATATCTCACTCAAGCTTTTTGAATTTATTTATTTATGGCTCTAATAAAGTAGTAGAGTGAGAGTGAGGAATGAAAAAGATTCCTCCAATCCCAAAACTTGAAAATGTAACTTGTTGTTTGCTTTTCAAGATACGGATATTGCTTCAAGAGGAACAAGTGAATGCCGTCTTCTTTTCTTTTTTTATTATGTAGTAGAGAATGTTGAAAATTAAAACATAGCAATATATATATTTATGTAGTAGGAATGTTGCAAAATTAAAAACATAGCAATATATATATATATATATATATATATATATATATATATATAATATAAATTTTCTTTCTCTTTTAAATTTTCTTTCTCTTTTTATTAGTGCATGCCATATCCAATCCCTCTTCTTTGGGAACTGTAGCTCCAATTTCCCAAATAGTTACAAAATATATAAGATCCCACCCATACCAAAACCCACCATTTTATTTTTCTTTATTGTATAAATATAAATAAATATAATTATACCCAGTTCATTATTGTTCTATTCTAATATTTTTAAATGACAGATAGTATAATCTTGGTCTTGGCATATTCTGGTATTATTGTGTATTCCATCTCCATCCACATCTACTGATTAGCTGATAATAAGTAGGTAAGCAGGTATTATAACAGAGAGGTGAATAATAATTCTGTTTCCTTGTAAACGTGATGATGAGCTGTTGAGTGAAAACCAGCATTGCAGAAGAATATCTATTTGCTTATCAATTCTAGTTGGCTTGATGACTACAATCACGGACAATTTGGAGTACTGCCAAGTGCTTCTTCACAATCACATGCACGTGTGATTGGAGGGTATATCATCAAGTGACAATTCAGACATGAACAGCATTTGTGCTCAGTTCTAAATCATTGCCTTCAATTATTCATCATTAACACTTGCTTAGGGTAAATCTTTCATCATTTGCTTGCTTTGTTTCTTCTAATCCCGACTATTTCGGTTTTAAAATAGCTAACCGAACAGAATAAAATATTCCTTTTTCTTTTTCCTGAACATAAGAAGAACTATAGTATGACATAAAATATGTAAATTAAACCAGTGTCTTAATATTTCAGATGTAAATTGGAGAATTTTTTAAAGTTCTGGTGTACTGAAGAAGTGTAGTAAATAAAGATTAAAAGAGAATACATATTTGATTAATTCAAGTGGGGTTTTGGATAACATATCAAGGTGGTTTGCAGCATTCTCTTGCAGATGCAGCATCTGATCACGTTGGGTTGGAATTTTTTTTTTTTTTTTTTTTTTTATTTTTTTTTTTTTTTTTAACGATTATCATGGAATTTTTTTTTTTTTTTTTTTTACATTATCAAAGGAACAAACTCTATCACTGATCAGCTCCGACGTAAGACCTCTCACTTTTATATCTTCTACTAGAGATGGGAAACTCAATTAGACCACACCCGTTATGATTTAGTTAACCATGCGCGTTTTGGCGTATACTATGCAATATGTGCAATTAAATTTTGAAAGATCCACTTCAGTTTTCTTGTACGAGGCCAATGTGTACATACTAGAGTTCACAGGAACATTTGTATTATATAATTTCTCCCGGTACGTAATGGATAATGGTTGAAGCTTGAAAATTAATGTCTGGAGGCAGTTGCAAGAATCTTGACTTCAATTCTGTCGTTTGCCAAACATTGGCCCAAATAATTATATAATAAAATGCTTTTTTTTCCCCAACTCGTACTAATTTGCACTGATTTTGTGGGAGATGAATATGGAATTCAGCCCAGAGGGTTGTTTTTTTCCTCAAAAACTCACATGTTTTCTAGAGGTAGTTAAAGAAGGAGACCGTCCTGGCAAACATATGTACCGATCAAAGTCATTTTCCTGTTATAGTAGCTATGAAAAACATTCTCACTGCATGTGAATGCAACATTAATTCTTCTACCGTAACTTTCAGGCATTTTTACTGGCCTTCAAATGGTAATTTCTATTATTATTATTTTGAAAATGAAAGCTTCTACATGTCCTTATAGTTTCCGGCAAACAACCATTTTCAAATATAAAGATTTGGTTGCCGGGTTGATGTGACTCTTTCTCCTTCTTTCTTTCCACCTTTGATTTGCTAATGCACGCAAACAGTACAGAGAGAATCACTATACAACTATACATTGACAAATTGATACTTTGGGTTCTTAATATTTGCTTAACAGCTCATTCTAAACTCTTGACTAGTTTACACACAGATAAGAAAATGCCCTTACCTCTTGGATCCATTTGGAGTCATTTTTACCTTAATTTCCTCGTACGTACGTACCATAATGCTTCAAATCCAAAATGTCTTAAAAAGGAAATTGTTAGAGTTTAAATCCTTAATCTTTAGATATTTTGGGTGTTAGATAAATTAATTAATTCCAAAATATGCAACGCTAAGTCAAAGATCATCATTTATTATACATTTAAGGCTTGAAATTCTGAGCCAGTATTTATCTTTTTATCCGTTGCTCAAACAAAGACAATGATAACTTGCAAATTCTATAAATTCTATTATTAAAAACTTCAGAGGACAGATTACAATCTTTCAATTCTGTAATTCGAATACAGTTCTTGTTTCTATCCTCATTATTGTAAGTGGGAAATTAAGCATTTGATTACTGGATTGATAGCTGAATTGTATCAAATGATAAACGTATCTCCACACGAACGCAGTAGTACTTAAACAAAATCCTCTAGACAAAAGTGATTATAAAATCGCTAGGAAAACAATCCATCTCTCCTTTATATCAAAATTTGATGCTATATAACAATATTTGATGAGTCATGTCATATTGGAGCTTTTATTTATAGCAATTCCAAATTTGTTAAAAGAGAATGTGAATGTTAAAACAATGGGCACTTGGTAGCTGGTGCTTTTGGGAATTACTTGACTTATAGAGTAGTTAATTATTAATTGAACCTTATTATAAACCAAAAATAGAATGGTTAAAAAAAGAAGAAAAGATTGAATTAACCCTTATTCCTAGTTGTTATTATAATGCTCCAAAAGAGGAAGATTTCACTTGCACAAAGTGATATTTCATTAGAAGATTTCACTTGCAAAAAGTGATATTTCATTGGCCAGGTGTCATTCCAGCTTGACTAAAATTGCTTGGGATAATGATATCAAATGTTGACATATAATTAGATTTGAAGAGGTTTTATTTTGGCCTCTACTAAACTCATCCATTCCCTTCAATCACGATGCATAAAATTTAATTTTTCCTTCATAAATCTCCGCCTATGGCTAATTAGATATTAGGGGGCCATTATTCTGTACCTAATCCTGGGTTGTTATGCAATGCAACCACACATTTCTATTATACCTAATTAATTTTTAATTTAATTTTGCTAGTTCCAGAGCCATTCATGACTATTCACATAATAATTGCACTTCTCTCTTTTTCTTTAACATTAAAATGAAAATTAATTATTAGAAAATTGCTTTCTGGAAAGCAAGGAGTAGTTTTGAAACCACAAATCTATTGTATTTTTAGAAAGTAATGATCAAAAGTTAAAGATAATATGTGCAATTGATCATTTGCATAAGAAATCATATTTATTGTGTCAGACTATTTCTAATTAATAATCTTCTTGGTGATAAAGTGATTTCATTAATTAAAAGTGAGATTAGCTGGCTAACCTATACCTCATTAATTACGTACTATTATTAATTATATAACATTGACATTATTATAGTAACATAACATAACATAACATAGTAGTATAATTGTGATAATTATACTAAAACAGATACTTTTTCCTTTCCTTTTTTGGTGCCAATGACTAGCTTAAAAGTAAGCATTTTCAATGTTTTAATTGAAAAATTAAACTGAATTAATTATTTAAATTGTCAAATTCAAAAGAATCAAATATATAATTTAATTTTAAAATTCGGTTTAGAAAGTATGATTCAATTTTCATTTTTGTCAGTCCTTAACTGAATCGACAGGTGGCATACCCACCCTTAAATGAAAACATAATTCACTACCAAATTTCCACCTGGTTCAGTCATTTTAAATACTTTATGAGATAGGAGGGCACCTGGTTAAAAAAAATAATAATAGTATAAGACAAGAGAATTAGGTCATATGTTTGCATTGAAAATTTGTTCATTAATTGGTGGAACACAACACGAAGTAGCGAATAGAATAAGGGAAAATGCAACATACAGACACTTGTCGCAAATTGGGATGTTGTTGAATTGATCGTACAAGATAGAACTCTAAGACAGGACTGGATAGTGTTGGCAAATTTTGATGAGATACAACTGTGTTTTAATTGTCTGTGTGTGTATGTACAAAGATAAAGAGATTAGTGATGGTGTGATGAGAGTAGTGATGGTCAAAGATAAAGAGGACATAGTGAAGTAAGGTTGCATGATAAGGAGTGGATCCCACACAGTGGAAGAAACGGTGCGAATCCATCATTAGGGAAGACAATGCCATCATTTGCACGTGTTTATGGGCCATGCTCTCCAAATTCCATCATTATCAACAACGCTAACTGTACCTTTCTACTTCCCAAAAGCCTCTTCTCATGCACTTCCCACCTCTTTCTTCCTTTTATTTCTCCTGCTATTTGCAGAAAAACAACCACAGTTGTTGAATAAATTGCTATTTTTAAAATTTCAAATATTTTGGCAATTTGGTTAGCTCATGAGCGTGAGAAAACGAGAAGAGTCGCTGTGTTCAAATTGTTCTTTTTGCCGCTATAGGTAGTAAAACTATGGTTATCAAGACATCTGCGCGGTTTAAGCCAATGGATCCTACGGCGGAGGTGGGAAGACCGTTAAAAGCACTAGAAGACAAATAAGGAGAAAAATGATATATTGGAAGTTGATCCAAAGGGGCTAACATGTCGGTAGGAGAAACGTCATTGACATGTGGCACCAAGTGGCATCACACAAATTAATCATAAATTATGAAACAGGAGAAGAGTCATCTTCACCCACTTTTGTTAATCACTTTATATTTCTATACTCTAGTTTTCGTTTTGCTTGGAAACCTTTTCAGCTTGGAAATTGATAGAAAGGGATTGCATTGGTGCTGTAGTTACTGACCTTATTTTTTACTTTTTTTTTCATAAAATAATAAAAAAAAAACCTTTAATGCATTATATATGCCAAATTAAAAAAAAGTGAATGCGGGAAGGCATCATTGTTCGGATTGAAATATATTCCCAACTAGATTTAGATGGGGCATCTTTATGTATACTTAGCTCATGACTTTATGGTTCTACAGTCTAATTCTCTTTGCTTTTTCATTCTCCTTTTTCTTTTTTCTCGAGAAAGAGAGAGCCCAGGAAAAAGAATATAAAAGGGTGATAAACATGATCGCTCGGCGAGAAAATTGTCATGTCGTGTAAGGGAAAGTGGGTGCAAATGTGCAGGGAAAGGGATTTTGTTTTGAGAGTAAATGGATGACAGTAGTCCAACCACAATTTATCGAATTGATGGCACTGAAAGATCCTCATTATACATTTTTTTTTTTTTCTTTTCCTTTCTTTACTTTCTTTCATCTTTTTATTTTCTGATCCTACGTACGTTTTTTCTTCCTCTCTTTTATTTTTTTCTTTTAACCCTCCTGCTGATGCATGTTTTGCACAAACTCAAAGAGTTAAAATTTTGACTCCTGTTATAAAAGTCTACTTCCATTCTCATATCTTTATTCATCTAAAAAGAAACTGATCCTCAATCAAGTAGACCCAATGTGCTTCGCTAATATCAACTCTGACCCACTTTAATACTTGTTATTTAGATCTCAAATCAATCTGTTTTAGGGCTGCATTTTCAGTTTCCCGCCAAAAGGATCAACGCAGAAGAATTTTAATGGTTCCTTTTCTTTTCACTGCTGAATTGAACTGGAATGTGCGTCCAAAAACTTTTTTGGTCACATTCCACCATGCATAAAACATCAAATGGTTCTCCTTTTGGTGATATATATTTCTTTGAGAAATTAACCAAAGTTAAAATATATGGGCTAGAGGCCATTAATATGCATGAGTAGAGGAGCAATTTTCCATATATGTCCAAAACTTATTCAACAGCTAATGATAGCTATTAAAGTAGCACCCACAAAGCAAATAAGTTAAACAAAAAAAAATATATATTTGGGATTAGATTAGGGTTTGGATTTTTCTGAATTTAATCAGTGAAAGAAACAGGTGATATGATATATTAATTAATCAATTAATCAACATACTATCATGATCCCTTTGTAATATAAACTACACCAGATTCAAAATCCCAGGTCCATCGAATTAAAAGGGAAAAAATCTATGATAGAATCAGAATCCTTAGCAATGCAAATTGACAAAAAAATATTTGCAGTAAAAAAATAAAAAAAAAAGGGAGTCACAGTGTGCCCACCATTTTTTGCACATTTCGGGAATCACATTTTATCACCTTTCAATAATTAATTTTTGAAAATCCTTAAGAGTTGGCAATCGTTTGGGATCCAAATTTGACCCATATGGACCAAATTAAATAATAAAAACAAAAAGGTTTGACTCTTCAATCAAATTATTTCTTTACATACAGTGGAATGAAAAGATGACATTTTTAATTAAAAAATAATTTGCCGTCCTCATCTCAACTGTTGCGAGTTTGATAGAAGCGGAAACACATTTTACCCATATTTGCTAAACAAAAACTCGACATTTATGGTTTTGTTCTAAAAATATGTACTATAATTTTGTAATGGTATAATTCCACATTTCATTTGCTGACTTCATATTTGCTTTTTATGTTTATGTCTGTTAAGCTTATACACCGACAACGGAACACAAATTCAATTTTACTCGATTTTTTTTTTAAATTCACATGTATATTTCCATGTTCGAATGGAAGTAACATCAAGTGTAGCTCTCTGAATAGAGACTTTCAAGTTGAACTCCTAACCTTCCAAATCACATTCACGTAAGAATGCAATTAAATTAATAGGATAATGCCTTAACTATTTTTTAGATTAGATTTGTCTAGATCCGATCTATGAACTTATTAATTTATGGACTAAACCAATAAAAACAAATATTTTTTAAACACCGTTTTACACATTATTTCTTTTTTTTTATGTATGATTAGAAATATCATAATTTCAATAAAAATTTATTTTTCATTAATTTAGTCTATAAGTTAGCCAGCCGATATACCTAGTCTAAACAAGTGAATCTCATATTTTTTTAATATTGGTATGTTGTATATTTATTAGATTGAACCGGGTATGGGCACAAAAACAGGCTCAACCAGCCTAACTGGGCCGGGCTCAAACTAAAAGCCTGACCTGCATTGTGAATAAGTTTAGTTAAAAGGGTTACGAAAAGCTAGAAAAGCAAAATTATTGTTTAGGTTTACGAACTTCGGGCTCATAGGATTCAGGTTTCTTGGGCTTTCTTTCAACGCGCTATACATTTTTTTTTTATAGATTTTTTTTAGTTAAGCTGCAAAATTTTTTGATTCTTCAATAATGTAATGAAATATTTTTTGGGGGAGCCGAGGTTGGCTGGTTGCATTCCTGCCATTGTCATTTCGTGCATGATTAATAGTTTTGCTTGATCTGAATCTATCTTTTATTACTATTATATTATTTGTGTTTGATTCTTCCTTTGAAAATTATTGATTATAGATGTCTGTCTGGTATCATGCATATATAGAATCGACTGCCTTCTGATGTTGATATTTGTGTTATGTTACTATCACAATTATGATAAAACCACTGAAAAGGGTTGCTTCGAAGCCTTTTGATTGAACTGAAAAGGCAAGAACTAGATTGGCTCTTCCATCCACAGGTGACTTGAAAAGCATCCTTCATCATTTTTAGGCTTCAGGCATGCTTGCTTAGTGAGCTTCCCACTTTTGCAACTTTTGTTTTACATAACTTAATTGCCTTATTAGCACGAAAGAACACATAATATGGGGTTGTTAATTTGAGCTTCGTTAATTAAATTATGCTTGCTGCTCTCAGGCTAGCTGTGTCTAGTAGTAACTCGTCTTTGCTTGGAATTATGAAGTTAGCTATCATCTTGAGTTGGCTTTGTAGCAGGCAGACAACCTGGTTACAGAACAAGACAACTTGGTTATCGTGGCTTCATATGGAATATTTATTCTTTTATTTTATTTTGTTGGAAAGAGGAAATTCCTAATCAAAACGATATTGACTGCAATGAAGCTAAACCTCATATGCCCAAAGGTCAAAAGATATGTAAATCAATGGCGGTTGGGATGAAGTTATTATAGATATTGGATTTTTTTTACACAGGAAAAGTTACCCCTGCATGAACTCTGCTTTACAGACAGAAAAAAGCAAAATATGAGACATAAACCTAATTTCCATTGGGTACCTTGGTCAAAATTCATTGCATCTAAACAAACTATTCCTTTATATCATTACCCATTCAATGAGTGACAAGTCTTTACTCATGCGGAGAAGTTTGTTGATTAAATTATTGAATACATTTTTAAAAGAACAATGCCACTAATTTTTAAATAAGATAATTGATTGGATTATTAATATTTTTTATTCATAGAGGTTTGACGAACTGAAATAATGTTCTGGATTATACAGCAGATTATTTTTCTCTTTTGAGTAACATTCACTAAATTGATAATAATTTTAAAGTGAAAAATATTTAAATTTAAAATCTCTTTCAACACACGTGTTCAAGAAGACTAATCCTATTGTTAGTATAATTAATATTTAATTTAGGTGATCACGAAACAACAAATGAGATTTTCACTAAAAGAAAAAAAATAATTTAATAATGTCGTCTTGTGTGCGGATTGTGGTGTACGCATGGCAGTGGAATACAGCTTGGACAAGTAAGTGGCTTAACATGTTAAAATGTATGCAATTGCCCAATGATTGCTGATCTTCGGCTTTCGACAAGTCGTTCACATGTAACTGTACGCTACCGTTCATATGTTTAGGATTCCATCCCAATACAACGAATGCAAATTGTTTACAAAGGAAAATTCACTTCTCAATTAATACAAGGAATGCAAACTGTTGATAAAGGAAAATTCACTTGCTCAATTAATTTGGATTCATGTCAAGTAAATTTACAAAGGGTAAAATGTGTATTCAGAAATTTTATATTTAAAATTCAAATTTGACATTTTTGATTTTTTAAAAAATAGATATTTTCGTTTCATAATATTAGCTGAGGATAAAGACAAATCATTTTTAATAATTAAAACAAAAATTAATTTATAGCACCGACCAAAACAAATAAACCAATAATTAATTAATCAATACTATCCAGTTGGTAATTAATTAAAATAAGTACAATCATGCATGAGATCATATGCTTAACCCTATAGTTTTCTTGAAAGAAAAGCAAATTTGTTTAGGCAGCCGCAGATTTTGGTCACACTCAACCTGCTATAAGCAAAAGCAACCGTCCAAACGTAAACAAAAAACACAATTACAAGAAATTTCATGAAAATTAATGGTCCCTCCCGCATACAATACCCATACAAATCATAGTCCCTTGACAAAATATATTGCTACTAATTATTCTTATTATTTAATAATTAAAAAGAAAAAAAAAAAAGCACTCAGTCACCGCCCACACCTTTGATCGGCCATCAACTTCCACCGAACGACCTTTCGTAAGCTTTCCACCATCCTCATGAGGTGGACAACGACAACCTCCCTGATTGAGGACCACTTCCCATCTCATTTGTGTTCTATCTGGTGGTGTCCAGTCCACACTCTCACAGGCACGTCACAAGTCCCACTTCTTGCTGCCCAACCCCAGCTCTCTTCCTTATCTTCTTATCTCCTTAACTTTGTTTTTTGTTTCGCTAACTCAGATCAATATATTTTCTTATAACAAATAAATGAAAAGGTAGGCCATCGCTGTTTCTACATATATTATTTCTTACAGTTAAAATTCCAATATTCCTACTGCTGCTGCTTCTTTCTCTTCATATTATTGGGAATGGAATCAGTACTATGAAAATCCAACAACAAGACCACAGTACTTCACAAAAAGACAAACACAGAATTAAACGATGCTTTAACTAACTAAAATTCACTATTGCATAGTTTGCCCTAAAATACAACTTTCACTCTCTTTTAGGATTGAACTTCTTCTTTTGATATCTACTGCTGTTTTGAACTCTTAATTAATTTAATTAAACAAACCCAATTTACAGTTGTCTGAAAACTTTTCTCAGGCACGTAAACAGGTGGCTAATTAACTATAGCTAGCTTTCTTTAAAAAGAAAAGATAACAAGGAGTTTTAATATTACTAATTAATCAAACGATTCTATTTCTTCTACTCTTCATCAGAATTTTCCGGGTTCGGATACTGGTTCAAGTCAGGTTTCTCTGAAACTACTACTCGGTTCGAGTTCTGATCCGATGCATGGCTGTGGGGAGCCGTTTGTTGCAGGGCGTCCACCTGAGCCCCAACTTCGGTTGCTTTTTTGCGTATAGAAGCAGCAGACATGTCTCTTGTCTGTTCGTCATCGCGGAATATCAAATCGGGGAAATTAAGTCTAGCGGAAGGGCCTCTAAGGTAGAAAACGGCGGTGTCATATGCACGCGCGGCGGCGATAGGGGTAGAATAAGAGCCAAGCCAAATTCTAGAACGTTTGTTGGGTTCTCTAATTTCAGCGACCCACTTTCCCCACTTCCTCATCCTTATACCTCTGTAAGGCTTTTCTTGTTGTTGCCTGTGCTTGCGTTTCTCGGCACTTGTGGGAGTAGAAGTAGAGGGAGAAGTACTGGAACAACACTCGCCTGCTTCCATGTTTTATTGAAGCAGTAAAAGTCTAATAACTAATAATGATAATAATAATAATAATAACTGAAGTAGGAAAGAACAAAGAAGCAAGCTGAATTAAAGATTCTGTTGTTTCAATCGTAGAAAGCTAAAACGGTTACCATGGCAGACCACGGTTTGTTTATATATAAATATGGGAATTGTTAACAGAGAGACAGGGAGAGATAAATAAAGAGGAGAGGTAGGATATATCAGTTTCCTACTTGGCTGCTAGTCTGTCGTTGGGGCACGGCCGCCACGTTGATCTTCCTTTAAGATAAATCCAAATTTGGCCGACATATTCCATCACCTCCCACATCTATCTCTGTGTGTACGTATACATGTACCATATAGTATTTTACTAATCTCTCTCAATTTTTACTTTACCCCTTTTTACTGTTTATATTATCATTGGATTAATTTATATATTAATTCTCAAAATTATAAAACAACAAACAATACTTACATGACAATATCTAAAAGAATATTTCAAACAGGGAATAATAACTTCAATCACAATATCAAACAAATTTACAATATTTTCTTTTCCTTCTTTGGTGAGAGAAGGGAAGTTTGGATCCATATTCTAAATTATTTTATTATAATCAAATAACTTTTTAATATGAAAATTAAGACAATCAAAGTAATGAACATATTTTTGGGGTAGATGGGTAATTGGCTACTGAGTCGGAAATGGTTATGAATTTAAAAAATCCACGAAGCACATGCGAATGCCGACGTGGATAGTTGCGCCTTTAGCACGCAAACATCGGCGTGTTAACAACCTCCTAGTCTTCTATTTCCTCCCTCCTTTGTCAAGCCTAAATAAATCCCCTTCTTCTCTCTGGAATGGTAACGATGAGTCTGACTTTCTTTTTGTTATTTTCTAATTAATTAGCGGTGTAAACGGACAAATTTATTTATTATATTAATTTTTTTTTTAAAAAAAAGGAAGAGATTTATCTTCTTGCCATCTACATATATGTGTTTTGAATCGGACTCATCATAAAGTTAGAGTGTACTCTTTTCCATTTTGACCATTGATGCCAATTTATTGTATTTGGATTGATTGGACAAATTTTGATTTAACAAGTCATTCTAAATCGATTAAAAGTTTAATGTCAAAAAAAAAAGTTTAAAAAAAAAATCAAACCTTAAATTATTAAATCCAGGCCCAAATCACACTAACTTGTTTGGAATAAATGAAATTTTATAAAATTTTAATTATAAATTTAAAATTTTGTGTTTGCTATGAAAAAAATAAAAAATTTAATTCCCTGATTTACTATAACTATGTCAAATTCTCTAAAAGAATATAGAATATCAAATGAACTCCGTAAATTTAAACAATCTGAAACGAAATTTTATGATAAAATTATCCATTATCCTAAACTTCTAAAGTTATTATACGAATGATATTTTTTTTAAATAAAATTAAACCAATTTTCAACTTTAAATTTATTATAAATATGAAAAATTTATTTATAAATAAATTCTAAATAGACTTTATTTGTAAATTAATTTCATATTTTGAACTTATTTATATTAAGAGGGGCGTAATAATTCTAAATAATTAGAATCAACATCCTTAAATTAGTTAAACTTTAAACAAAAAGGAAGTTTGAAAACTATAAAAATGATTAAATTTTTGTCATTACTATTTTCATATGTAAACATTAATTATTCTTTTCTCTCCTTTTGTTTTTTTTCTCCTTAAAATAGTAAATTTCATAATTCATAATATAAAAATTCATATTCGTTGTGGGTTGATGATGTGTTAATCACTAGCAGTAGCACATACTAGACAGTAGTCATGGATGAGGGAGTGTGGGTTGTGAACAAGTGGATGGTAATAAGAGAGTCGGTGGTGGATTGGCCATGAGAGCGACACACTTTGTTCTAAATTGTTAGATCACCTTCTTCAACTCTTGACCAATCCATCATAACTTTTAGACTCATGTTATTAATATTAGTGGTAGGCTTAAATAATGGTTATTAGGAGATAAGTATGGAGATTAATACAAGTCTTTTGTTAGCTTAATTTTTATCTTTTAACAAAAAGTATTACAGAAATTAATATCCATTATTTAAAAATTATTATTAACAAAACAATTTGATCATTAATTTTTAATTAAAATAGGAAAAACAATATTTATTTTAATCATTTAAAATCAGGAATGTGAACTGAGGACGAGTCATAAGTTCTATTAGCAACTTCAATAAATTAAGGTTGAAGACTGAGACTCGTGTAAAAATAAAATAAAACTCACCGTCCTATTTGACAAAACCCCAAAGGTGAAATCAGCTGCTTCAGACCTTATTCAATTGTTATGGTATGGGTCTCGTCATTTGTCTTATTCTCATTCATATAAGACGATAATTGGATGATGTGGATATTTATATTTAAAGAAAATAATAAAAAATTTTAAAAGGAGCCCGATCAAGTGTTTTTTTATTTATTTTTAAGTAAAAAATTTGAATTCTAGCATCCATGTAATTTCTTCATTATTATTAGAATAAAATATTATTATATTATAATTTTTTAATGTTATTATTCTATATTTTCAGAAAATTCTCACGATAAATGAAGGGATAACCTAATGGTTCAGGTGAATATCCATCACCTTATAAATTCCCCTTGCCTCCACCGTCCGTCATGTAACAAGCTTAAAAATGTATATAATATCTCCAGTTAAAATAAAATAATGAGAAAATTCATATCTACAGTATAAATTAAATGGGTAAAGACTATATTTTATTTCTGTGCATCGATATTTTTCCGACGGGGCATCCTGAAATTGGCTTCAAGGTAGTCTCTCACGGTTGAGCAAATGCGGCAAAGGAAGATATTGCTTGGAAATTTTTTATTTAGAAGTGGGTATTTGCCTAATATGCCAACTTTGGAAGTTTTAGTCAGTCGGCAGGCAGAAAATATCAGAGCCAAAACTTAAAATAGTAGAGATCAATATGCAAATGATACATCTTATCATTAGAAAAACCAAGGGTTAATATTGAGGCCATGGACAATGAACATAACCTATCCATTATCAAAATTCAACTTTCTTCATTTCGAACTTGATAAGATCATAAATTGACAGGGTACCAGTCAGTCGGCAATTGCGCTAATCGCACATGCTAAATGTATTCAAAATCTATAGGATTTTCATATTGACAATGGATATGGCACCAACAGGTAGAATCTAACCTGTACTGCTCGTCTGACTGAAGAGAACATGTAGACTAAGATCAGAAACCAAGACATTCAGTACAAATCAGTAGCGCCTGATGTTAGATATATAATTGGAGAATGTTCTATTGATACTGTGAGCCTGCATGATTAAGGACAATAACAGAACCAAACTTTACTAAAACTAATCATAGTGTATATATATCTATTTGATACTGGTGAGCCTGCATGATTAAGGACAATAAAACAGAACCAAACTTTACTAAAACTATCATTGTGTATAATATATATATATATATAATTAGTATATTATATATATTATATATTTACTTGAAAAGATGCCTTCTCCATTAACTAAAACCACTTCTATAATTGATCTAAAAAGCTTTTAACTTCACCCGATATTACTTGAAAAAGATGCCTTCTCCATTAACTAAAACCACTTCTATAATTGATCTAAAAGCGTTTAACTTCACCCGGGATGCCGATGTTTCAATGTCTCCAGGGAGCTCCTGACCTTGAACAAAACAAAGATCAGTTAGTTCCCAGTATCATCGATATACAATGCCAAGATTGAAAGTCTAGACTCCAATTGTTATCTGAATGGCATATACTACTCGAAAGCTCATATAAGTTCAAAATAAATACTTGAGAATGCAAGAAAGTTGAAATTATACGATGGAAAGTAATAAAATACCTGAGCACACATACTCACTCTACTAGCACTTCTCTTTCCAGGACCTCAAGTTGCTGTAATCATTCTTTTAACACCATGGAGGAACAAGGATAACAAACCTGACTACATGGAAATTTTTAACTTCATATGAAAGTTCTCCATGAAGGTATTATCAGCATACAAAGGAAATAAAATTCCACCATCAACTCAACAAATATAGTCATGGCAGTTTTAAAATCCAAGAATCACAAAAAGATACAGAACATGGAAGTTGCACAACAACAGTGACATAATCATGCTTTTCCCCTTCAACAAAATCAAGAGAAGGACAACAAATTGTCATCTCAAATCTCCTGCAGAGAAAGCATGCCAGATTAAATAATTCATCATCATCATCATCCTTACATAACTAAACAAAACACTGATAGACTTTTCATCCCCTAGAAGGAAATGTTCAAAATACCCTTCAAATGAGAACACGGCAAACATTCAATCACAAGTTCACAGAACTATAGGCAGTATCAGGTTCAGTCCAACATGTTTTTACTCAAAACCAAGTTTATGATCCTTTACTCGTGCAAACTTTCGCTCTTAGGTTAGCCAGAGGCATCTTATTGTCAAATAAGCTTTGTTGAGAGCAATCAGAATTCAGAGACAACTGTGTTATTTCTCACAAGTTCAACTCCTCTATCTTTTTGGTGTCTAGACTATCAGTCAAACTCAAAGAGAGGATATTCACCTTTAACTATGGATTATCTCCCCTCAATTGTGTACTTGCTGCATTACACGAGACAAAAGTTATACTAGATATCAGCCCCACTATTCTTTTGGCACTCAGAGGCTGCACTCTAAAGCAACAACCTAAAAACAGGTTACTGATAATTCATCTACAATCCAATATGCCATTGTTCTTCCAATTCTTACTCAATTACTCATAGAATGAGAATTTAAACTAATTTCTCTCATACCACTCCTCCCCCTCCACCACAGGCTTCAAGAAAACAACTGAAAGGTATTTGTAAAACATCGTTCGGTGCTCTATATATTCTCCACAGCTACCCCTAATTGCTAGTGATCAGATATTGGGTTAATTATACCAACGGTGACCAAACTTTACATTTAATTTCATAAAGGTCATGTAATTTCAACTTGTAACTTTTTGGTAATTAAACTTTGATTTTTTTTTGTTTCAATGATAATCACCCACCAGAATCCGGTTGTCGGAATGGTAACATGATATTAAATTTAAAATATTTCACAAATGAAAACATGATTATAGAGGAATACGGGGTAAAGAGAAAGAAGAAAGAAGAATGTCAATATACAATGGTAGGGTCAAATATCTTTTTTCTTTTTTAATTTATCTCAATATTTTTTTAACTAAATAAATGAGTATGTCTCACATTAGTTTATAGAAAATAAAATGTTTGAATAAAATATTTTATTTTTAATGCTACGCTAGTATTGCTGGTAAACCGATTCCAGGTGAAGAAAAGAAAAAAAAAATTAAAATTTAGAGAATAAAAATGACGAATTGAAGTTATAATAAAACTAAGTGCAAAGTTTGATGAACATCAATGTAATTTACCCCATACATGTTTTCCTTTTTCAAGTAACAAGAAGAAATGAAGTATGCCAACATGACAAACTGGCAACTAATATTGTTACGTAGAGAGAGAAGCTACCGCAGTGGTTACTGAGACTAACAAGTCATTAAGCATGCCAAACAGTAAAAATAAAATAAAAGAAGCGAGAATTGATATCAATCTTATGGTTATTATTTAGCATACAAGTTATATGGATTAATTCTAGTACCGAAGGTAAAAGTGAAAATGTTCGCACACAGAGTCACACACACACACAGGTAAATTGGGGTTAGACATATACCATTTTGCAAAATTAGATGCCATCAGCATCAACCTCCACATATGATCACGAATGAAGTTTGATAAAGAAGGAAGCCATGTGTGTGGTTTTGTTCAGTATTTCAGAACTTTCTTAAACAGCCTTACTACTACTACTAACATTGTACAAGCTCATCTGTTTTTACCATCTTCAGAGCACGATTCTTTTCAGCAAAACCAGCTGTGCAAATCCACAAAACAATATATGCCCCCTAAATCACAAGTTCAACCCTCACTAAATTTACCAGACCAAAAAGTCTCCATTTTCCTCTTCAATTTCCTCATCCTCACTGTCCCACAACATATAATCCTGATCCTCCTCTTCTTCTTCTCCTTCTGAAAACACTGAAATTCTCGCACCATTCCATTCAGAAGCTGCACGAGCAAGATCATTAAGGACGTCATACGTATCACTCTCAACACCAATATCGCCATCAAAATCTGAAACAGAATATGATCCGCTATTCTCCTCAAAATACTCGCTGCTTCTACTCTTTGGCACCAAGTCATTCTCTGTCACCTCTCCATTCTCAACCCCAATCCATGGCACCCACAGATCAGCATGCCTCCCCAATGCCCTACCCCTGTCCCCTACAACCACCGTCCTCAAATTCGCCTCCCTTGCCCTCCTCAAAATGTCGGAGAAATCTGAATCATCCGATATCAGAAATAACCAATCAACTCCTCTGCTCATTGAATGCTGGATCTGTCTCTTCACTGCCCAATCCGCCGCTTGTGGCTTATCCTCCACAGTCTTCACATAAACTCCTGCTCTCCTCAACTCTTCCGCCAACCCATACCCAACTTTCGGCGTTAGTAATCTCCTTGCCTCGTCGTTATACTTATGATTCCCAGAAATGAATCTCTCCTTAAAACGCTGCCGTTTCTTTCCTTTCAGCGACTTCATCCTGTTCAATTTCTTTTGTCTTTCACGCTCATGAAGCTGCTTAAAATGCTTTTTAAGATCCATACTAGTCTTACACTTGCGACCACAGACCCCACAAATGTGGGTTTCGGAAGAAGCGATAAGCCCTTTCCTTTCAAGAATATCGAACTGTTTCTTCCTGCGGCGTTCCTCTACGACCCAATGGGGAAGATGGATAAAAGCATGGCGATTGGCGTAAGCTGACATCTCAATAATTTCCCCGAACCTTTGTGCGAGCTGCTTAAGTGCCATTGCAGCCGGATAAGGAGGGCCACGCGGCGGCTTGTTATCGAGGTCCCATAAAACGACGACTTTAGGCCGTTTGGAAGTGTAGACTCCTTGCCTATTCTTGACCATGTCGATCTCAGATGTTGAGGCGGAGGAAACAGTGTGGTTTGCAACACTAGCTGTGATTAGGTATCGGTCAGTGCGGATTGGGTCAATGGTTAAGGGTTTATAAGTGAAAGCAAGTTTGTTTTTGAGAGAAGTGGTGTTACTGAGAAATTGAGAGAAATGGAGAGTGGTGGTCTTATGGAGGAGAAGTGGGGGTTTTAGAAGGGGATAGATTTCAATTGGATTGGAGAGTGTAACCATTACTCCTAGTGTTTGAGATATTCCTCCGCTTTGAAGATTTTCCTTCAGGATAAGGGAGTTAAAAATGAACTGATCACTGGCGGAAGAAGAAGTATCAATCTTAAGAAAATGGGCTATGGTCCATTTTATATGTTCAGAGTTTTAGAATGCGAAATGGGCTTTCGGCTCATTAGATTTGTTACTACTTGTACAGTTGTAATTGATAAGTAATTTAGAAAATAATTAAAACCAAATCAAAATTTTTTTATTCGTTCGGAAACTCAAGGCGGAGATAACATATTAAACTGCATAATCCTCTCTCTCTCTCTCTCTCTCTCTCTCTCATATTAAACTGCATAATCCTCTCGTCTCTCTCTCTCTCTCTCTCTCTCTCTCTCTCTCCTCTCTCTCTCCTCTCTTAAACTTAGATCTCTCTCTCTCTCTCTCTCTCTCTCTCTCTCTCTCTCTCTCTCTCTCTCTCTTAACTTAGAAAAATTGTTGAAAACTCTTTCGAATTCGATACTTTCTAATCTTTAAATTAGTAAAAAAATTAATAAAAATACAACTGGTTGACAAATTAAATTAAAATTTTAAAAGTTTGATCTTTAAAGAGATTTTTGTCTACATATCAGTCAAACCGAAGCGTACAACATGTATGCAAATTTCTGAGTCTCCCAGTGCATAGCTGTCCTTATTATAAATATTTTTTTGCAAATTTAATTTAATCTCTAAACTTGCAAAGAGTTGTTTATTTAACTGAAGCATACCTTATACAGCACAATGCTGACGCAATCTCAGCGCCTGGTGATATGTGAAGTTTGTTTGTTAGCACAGTAATTTAATTGATTGTTGCTTTGCTTATGCTTTTAATTTAATTATTGATGACTAATTAAGTGCACACTTTATATTTGGATTGAAGCACCGTGTACTTGTGGATAAATTAACTATGGTCATGATTCATGATGTGTAGTACCATTGATTCAGAATACAATTTCTGTTACCAACAGATAATGTAAATGATAAACAAATAAATACGTAATTACACATTCATATTGTATGAATATGTATATTATGTTATTAACAGATGATTAGATTAACAAAAGTGGGCTACATTTTCACGCGAAAGTTATTTATACCAATTAATAATTGATAGCTAGCAGATTAGCCGATTAATAATATTAGTGTTTTATAAAATTTTAGCAATGGTTACTGCTATAATATAAAATAACTATTAGAAACATCATTATTTTCATATATTATAATGTATAATAATTGTTGAGAATTTTCATATTTAGATATTTACTATAAAATAAATATTAACTATTAATCAAAATTTGATATTCTCATTTTCTAAAATATTTAGAATGTTGGAACAAGGATAAGAAAAGACCATTGCTTTTAAATGAGAAGACGTAAAGGAAATGGAGCCACCCTCTTTGGATGAAATAAAAAGGCACGTAGAAAATAAAGTTCCAAAGTCCACTTAATTTGTTTGAGAAAGCACGACACTTGGGGGCTTCCCCTCATTGAATCAATGATGCATTGCCTTAACTTTTGCAAAACCGACAATTATGTCTCTCAATTCATCCTAAAGAAGACAAATTTTCTATGTGCACCAATTTTGGTTTGTTGTTTATACAAATATTACTTTTTCTTAATATATATATTTATATTGAAATATTAAATGTTAATGAATATTTAACATTAATAATTTATATTCAAAATTACGAAATTTACTAATATAAAGGGCAATAATAGTTACTTTATTTCTTTTGAAATTTGCTTGATAATATGTATATTTATTGACACTAGTCTTTTGTCTGACATGCATGTACGTTGACTACACTCTCGTTATATACTCATTTGTTTATATATATAATATTAAAGTATAAGATTTGTTTAGATTAAAGTAAATACAAGTGGTTAATGTATATTATATTTTGTCGTACAAATTACTTGCAATGCTATTTTTTATGTATTTAATTCTATTTTTATATAATGAAATGGTCTCAGAATAATGTTCAATCCAATCCCTAGAACTAATCCTTTAGTCCTTAATTTATAAATGTAGATTTTAAAATTCATGATAGGTGCCCAAAAAGAAAATTAAATGATCACTCAATCTATCTCCTAAATAACATATTTAAATTATAATTAAAATAGAATCAAATATTTAATAAATAAAATATTTAAAAACTTTTAAATGTCTCATTATCATATATATTTAAAAGTGGAGTGTGGTGAGAGTAGAATAAAATATTTAAAAACTTTTTTAAATGTCTCATTATTCATATATCATTATTAAAAAATAAATGTTAGTAAAAATTTAGTAAAAATAAAACTTAAAATTTTGAAATGCTTAATTATTTGTAGTATTTATTTAAAAAATAATTTATTTATTCATTAGGAATTCTGATAGACACAAATAATATTGTGAGCTACACAATAAGGGTTAATCATTCTCTAAACTCACCAAATTGGTGAAAACACTTGCAGTCAAGATGATTCGAACTTAAGACCTCTCACTTTTCACATGAGTGAGAAGACAATCAAACTATTCATGATTGACTTAAAAAATAATTTTTATAAATATATCCAATTAACTAATAAAATATAATTTTTTAATTGGCTATGATCGAGGTTATTTTATGATATCATAAATTTCATCAAGCACGTTATCAAAAATCTCATTATCCCCCATATTCCCACTTTTATATATAACTAGTCTTTTATATATAACTAGTCTTTTGTATGACGTGCGTTGCATGTTGACTATACTCGTTATATACTCAATTTTTTTATCTATATATTATAAGTTTTATTTAGATTAAAATAAATATAAATGGTTAATAAATAAATATAAATGGTTAATTTGTATTGTACTTTGTCGTACAAATTACTTGCAATGTTACTTATTATGTAATTAATTATGTTTTTATATAATGAAATGATCTTAGAATGAAGTTTAACCCAATCATTAGACCTAATTCTTTAGTTCATAATTTATAAATGCAGATTTTTAAAACTCTAATATGTGCTCAAAAAGAAAATTAAGTCATCACTCAATCTCTAACTCTCTGCTTTCAACCTCAAATCAATATCTACATACAACTATAATAAAGAATAATAATAAATTATTCTTACTGCTAGGTTAAAGAAAAAAAAATGAGAAGATGATCTGAATTGATAATGGAAATCACTTTGACCGTGACAGTATTATTTACCCAGTGTATCAGACAAAGAAATATATACACATACTTTTTAGCCATACAGATTTAGGATATAAGAGAAAAAAATATCAAAAAAATTAAAAATGTTTAACTATTAATAGGTCATCTATTTATTATAAAGGAGATATAAATTTCTTACTAAATTAAAATTAAAATTTCTTACTAAAATTAAAATTGATAGTAGTTACAAAGTATTTAGTAACGAAAAAAGAAAACAAAAAAAATTATTAATTAAAAATAAAACTCTTTCAAAAACTCACCCAATTTAAAAAAAAACGTTTCAATGTATATAAATATATTAAATATATCAATAAAAATATTATATATATTTTAAAAATTAAATTCAATTGTTTATCATCCTATGTTTAATTATTATGTAAATTTTTATTTGAAAATTTATTTTTTAAAAAATATAATCCAATGCAAATATGACAAAACCAAAACAACAAAAATATTAGTAAAAATAATATACATTTCTTTTTTTTTTTGTTCTCTCATTAAATAAAATATTATATTATATTATTCTATTTTGAAATTTATTTTTTAAAAATATATCCAATCATATCATACCAAATATAAAGAAAAAAGAATATTAATAAAAAAAAAGTATATTTTCATTTTTTATCTATATCTTAAAAGAATTAAATATTTAATAAATAAATAAAATATAAAAAATTTTCAAATGGCTCATTATCATATATATTCATTAAAAATAAATTTAGTTACTATAAAATTAAAATTTTGAAATGCTTAATTATATATTTGTATTTATTTAAAAAATTATTTTTCAATTCATTAGGAAGTTTGATGCCTGAAATAATATTGCGGGCTATACAACAATCAAATTGGTAACTCACTTAATAAGAAAAAAATGTTTCAATGTATATAGATACATAAATATATCAATAAAATATTATTTTTTTAAAATTAAAATTTTCAACTGATTACCATCCAGATTTAATTATGTAAATTCTATTTGAAAATTTACTTTTTAAAAAATTTATCCAATCAAATCTTACAAATATAAGAAATAAAAAACATTAATAAAAAGAATATACTTTTTTCTTTTTTTTTAATCTCTCTCCTAAATAAAATATTATCTATATTCTATTTGAAAATTTATTTTATTCTAAATTTTGAAAATTATATTTTATTAAAAATTACGCCAACATATCAGAATAATAAACATAAAGAAAAAAAAAATATTTCTTTATTTTCTTTTTATATATATTTCTAAAAGAATTAAATATTATTTTCTAAAAGAATTAAATATTTAATAAATAAAATATAAAAAAATTTCAAATATCTCATTATCATATATATTCGTTAAAAAATAAATTTAATAAAGATAAAACTTAAATTTTTGAAATGCTTAATTATTTTTATGTATTTATTTAAAAATAATTTTTTTTATTTATTAAGAGGCTTGATTGGCCGAAATAACACCGTGGGTTTCGCAATAATTAAATTAATGAAAACACTTGTGGTCGAGAGGATTCAAATTCGAAACCTCTTACTTATGTAGGTGAGAAGATTTCAAATGATGGGCTAAAAAAATAATTTTTACAAATTATATCTAATCAACTAATAAACTGCAATTTTTAATTGGTTGTCATTAAAGGTACTTTAAAATATTTTAAATTTTATTAAGGGTGATACAAGAAATCTCATTATTTCTCTTCTATTCCCACTTTTATATATAATAAGTATAATTATAAGTATAGAGGTAGATAGATATAGAAGTATGGACAGTATGAATAGATATATATAAGATAAAGGTAAACTAGAAAAAAAAAAGTAAAGATTACCTTTTTTTTTTTTTTTAAGTAAAAATAAGAAGATTATAATTTGTATCAAAAGACAAAAAAAGGAAAAAAAAAACTGTTAGAAATTTCCTTTTGCATTATTAATTTTTTTTTGAAATGTGAATTTCCTTTTGCATTATTAACTCTCCAACAAAGCTAACCAACATTAAATTTAACCGTCAATCGACAAATAACTGCCAACACGTCCCACAATGTAATTCTTGTTCCTCTGTTTCCTCTGTTTTTCTAACCTTTTTTTGACAGTCTCCGCCTTGCCGGTGCCGCAAATGCATCATTGTCCCCCTCCAGAACCTCAGCACAAGATATTACTAATAGAGACTAACAGTACAATATTATTTTAGTTTGGACCTCTCTTGTCTCTAGAGTTCTAGAGGTGCCACCCTCTCCACATCCCCTTCCCTTTGAAAAATTAATGACTCAACTAATGCGTTTTTTTTTTTTTTTTTTTTTTTTTTTTTTTTTTTTTTTTTTTTTTTTTTTTTTTTTTTTTTTTTTTTTTAAAGAAGGGAAGACTGTCGGTTTAGAGTTCAGACTAATTAATTCAAGAATGAACCAAAAAGAGAAAACGTTGGTGCCCATTTCTTAAAAAATGCCACCATTCTTTCTTTGTTTTACTGTACTTTCGCGTATACATACCATCCTGCCTTTTTTGAATTAGTCTTTAGTCCACGCCTGTTTTTTCCCCTTTCTTATGTTCTCCTTCCTTCTTTCTTTTCCCTCTTTCTTTAAAGCAGCAAAAAGAAAATAAAATCCAGAAACATAAAAGGCATAATCAAAGAACCGCGATTTCCAGAAACAAGAATGCTTGAATGGGAACATATTCTATTGGTTGCACTGTCCATTATACTTCTTTCAATTCTATTTATGGTGTTGTTTCGAAGATGTTGCTGTTTCAAACGAGGCAGAGATTTTGTCGTTGACTCAACAAGAACAAGAACAGAGAGCTTGCAAGAAGGGATTGCGAGACTTCAACATGGAAGTCTTGATCATAATCAGCTTGAATCAGACGGGAAAAGAAGAGGAAATTATTATGTTTTTCGACGAGGAGTTTCAGCTAGACCTTTATTTAATTGGACTGATCATCCATCGCTTATTACTGACGCAGTTGAAAATGGATGGTCAAGATTTGGTTTTACAGGTTTTATGTCGTCTCCATCAACGCGATCATCCTTGTTAGGGTTATGTGCAGTTGGTGATTATGGAAACGAAGGATCAACAGAGATAAGTTGGGAAGTATGTCAAGGATCAGCTGATTTCATGCAAAAAATAAGATTAAATTCTGGATTAAAGAAAATTAGTGCAAGTAATCATTCCATGTCTGCTGCTTCTGTAATTAGAACAGCTTTGCCTTTACCAGGCCCTCCTTTGGGTAATTCAGCTTTTCCTCAAGAGGCCTATTTCGAGATCACAGTTTTGTCTTCTGAAGGTGAAGATAATGAATCCATCAAAATTAAAGAAGGAGAGAAGACTAAACTCATCCAAGAAAATTCTAACCCTAAAGTTAATTCAGAATCTTTAGTACACGTTAATAGCAGTCATCGATTCAACAAGATTGAAGAATTGAAGTTTTCTGGTAAAGATGATCTCAAGGATGAATCAACAGAAGCAATTATGTTATCTTTAGGTCTTACAACAGGAGGCTCTCTTCCTTTGAAACTTCCTGGAACCTATCCAGGATCTGTAGGTTTCAACTCCAATGGCTCTGTTTATCTTGATGGTAAATTTTCTGTCTCTTTTTTTTTTTTTTTTTTTTTTTTTTTTTTTTTTTTTTTTTTTTTTTAAAAGGACCTTGGTTTTCCTAATTTAAAATTTTTTTTTTTTTTTTTTTTTTTTTTTTTTTTTTTTTTTTAAAAGGACTTGGTTCCTAATTTTAAAAATAATTAAGATTTTTAGGCTAAACTGGTGAAAAATGAGTACTATATTACTTGTTAGCGACATCTGGTCCACTAAATGGCTAAGCCATTAACAATGGAATGGAGAAGAGTTGTTAATTTCTTTAATCTCTCACCATTAATTGTGGCATGCCTCATTGATATTGGAGTAGCTACGAAGCAGTTGACCAAATAAATGATGTGTGTGGGTTCAATCAAACAGAATTATAGTTAATTGACATTTATATTTTCTTTTTCAGGGATTAAACTTATTTTTGAAACCGAGAAAAGGGAGTGGGCAAGAAGAGACAAAGTAATAGGATGTGGATTTGATCCAAGGCAAAAGAAAGTGTTTTTTACTGTAGATGCAGAGCTAGTACATGTAATTCAGTGCAAGTCAGAGGAATTTGGGACACCCTTGTACCCAACAATTGCAGCCAACAAAGATATATTGGTTCTTGTCAATTTTGGACAAAGTGCTTTCAGTTATGCACCAGCAAATGGTCTACGTACACCAAATCCCTGTTTCATAGGCCCTCTTGTAAATTCCCCTGCTTTGGGCTATGAAGACAGTAAAGAATTGTTCTCAATGGGAAGAATCGACTCTCAGTGGCTTAACAGAAGTACAACTAGAGGTACCCATAATAATAATAACAACAAGGCTGTTGATTTTGATGAAGAGAGTGAGGCTGATCTATTTGAAATTGTGTTGGATGGTAATGGAAGATCTCCAACTCCAACAACAGTTTTCTAGCTACTAACAGTTTTCTGCATCAGATGTTTACCGTTTTTTCTGCCATGGATTTGTGAGGGACCATTAAACAAAGAAAGAAAGAAAGGAAGAAGGGCAGGAAGAATATGTTTTTGTCTTAATTTGCTATAGTTTAACATCAGAAAAAGAAAATCTTTGGAATACAATAGATAGAAACAGGTTTTGTGAGGACCATTCTTTATTGATACATTTTCTTTTTTTCTTTTTTGGGTATTATCATCATCAAAGAATATGCAATCTTGTACAGCTAATGCCAATGTTGATTCCAAGTTGTGGCCCTTGTTTGCATATCTTTTGATGATCATATGTTTATTTTGTCGATAATTAATAAATTTTCTTCTCTCAGTAAAAATTCAAGAATCCTATTCTGCTACTCTTTTTTCTCGTTATGTACTGTAATGGGACATTGTATTGGAGGACGTGAAAGGCGTAAAGATAAGAAGCTTTTTATCCTCTTTCTTTTTCTTTTTTCTTTTTTCCTTTTTCTTTACACAACTGTGATTAAAAACCACTCCAGAGTTGCCACCCAATCTGCTTTGAAATTAGGTTCTTGATAAGTATGGAAAAATTCAATTACCCAAGTTGCATCTAGAAGAGATCTCAGAGATGAGGTAACTTTGCTTCTAATGTGACAGCAATTACTTTTAAATGGCAGATTGCTTCGAGTGATAGGAGTCTAATTTTTTGGCTGGAATACGTCAAGGAGATTAATTAGATTATTATTACATATGTTGCAATAGCAACAAACTAGAAAACATTTGATTGCTACATGTCTTAACATACAGTTGACTAAATTTACAGATAATCCAGATAAAAGGGACAGACCATTTCTAAATTGGCTTTCTGCAAGCCATTGCCAACTATTTAATATTCGACACTAGGCGAAATATAGTCATGCCTTCGTCAACAAACAGATTCCTGCCCAACAACACCTGCTGCTGTTTTTTATTTTTTTAATTGCTTTCATTAATAAATTTGCTTTGAGAGGGAGAGTGCAACTGCCTGATAGTTTTGTTTTTAATTAAAAATAATAATATTTATTTTTTTATAATTAAACTAAGTTATATTTGTGGTAAAAGTTTAAAATATTTATTTATAAAACTCGTATTTAAATTCATTTAAACATAATTAAGTGGTCAAATATAAAAAATCATTCTATTATATAAATTAGAGAGAGACGAACGGAAAATGACACTAAGCAACAGACTCAAAGAAAAAAAAAATGTTATTGGATTATTATTAGTATTGCTGTGATAAACCACTTGGGCTCCAAATATAGGAATTTTCTTTTCATATTGAGGAGAGAAATTTTATATTAATGAATGAAACACAGAACTAGTGTTATGATACAGAATACTTCCACCTACGCTGTTACCATATATTATTTTGAAATAAATTTCATATTAAATAATAATTAAATTACATAATTGAATGACTGGTATATTAGCACAAGAATTCGTCAATATATATATTTTTTCTTCTAAATATATTTATTTTTCAGTCTGCATTTACATATAGTCAAGGTAATGGATATCAGTTTATGAGTTTCCATTTTCATAAGAATTGATTTGTACCATTCTGGCTAATAATAGAAATACCTTACAAAACACCATTAATTTGTAATTAATAACTTTAATTACATGCATGCATGAGGTAAAAAAAAAAATTTACAATACAAGAAAATAATCATAAACTGTGCTATGAACAGGGAAACACGTTAAGTGAGAATATGTATATTATAATTGTTGGGTTTGAGTTGAAATTATAGAGAAGGAATAATCATGGACCAACATTTTATTAGTGGTGGACACATACATATGTGGGTTCCTTTTAACAATTACATTATCTAACTAAAATATAATTCAACCTTTAATTTTCAATTGATTCACAACTGAAACTTAAATTGAAAAATAATCAAATTGACTACATTTTTTTTATTTTTTAAATTTTCCAGATCACCTCTTTGACTCTTTTCTTGCCTATTTTCCATTGTTAAGTTAGTTGGTTTCAACTCTTCTATTTTGCATGTCAAACTGATAAGTTAATCGTTTAAAAAAAAAAAATGGATATCTAAAAAAAATTATTAAGGTATAAAATAATAAAGAATTGTCAAAAATTGAATCAAATTTAATGGATGGCTCAACGTATTAGTGGATCAAGAGATCAGGGCCATTAGTCTAATACTAGCTAGAGCGAGTCAAGTTTTATTTTAGTGGGCCTGTATAATCTTGATCCATATTGATTGAAACTAGGCCATTGCGTTTGGGTTTGATTAATCTCTCGACAAAAAGCCCTCATCCATTTTCTATTCGGTCAAGGCCCAAATAATACAAAATGCATTTGCTATGACTTGGACGCTTCTTTTTTTTTTTTTTTTTTTTTGCATTTGCTATTGCTTGGACGCTTCTTTTTTTTTTTTTTTTTTTACCTTTTTTTTTTTTTTTTTTTTTTACCCCTCTTTTTGAAAATTTTATGTATTTGTTTTTTCTCAAAATATAAATTGATATCACTGAAATATATACATATTAAAAAAATTAGTTTATATATACAAATACCATATTTTTATTAGGAGGATTTAGGAAAAATACCACTAATGATACTTGTAAAGAAAAGAGGAAACGGTGATGCTATTGTTAGCCTGAATTTTAAGGTTGGAATCCCTAGTTTGAGATAAATTATTTAAAATGAATGGATAAAATTTTAACTTCTGATTCTAATTATAAGATTTTGACTTTGACCATATAGTGATCCTGTTTAGGAAACGGTACAGTTTAATAGTTCTCTTCTGGATGATTTGAACAGCTGGGACTTATTCAAGAAACAATTCATGGACAGACACAACATATGACTAGGCGATTGACCTATGAGGGACATAGTCTTCATTGGGTCGAACACTTTCCAGTTGTGGGACTCTTCAAAGTCTCAATAATTAACAAATTAGATTTGATTGATGATAATATTAGTTTTTTTTTTTTTTTTTTTTTACAATTTGATTTGATGTGAGTGATTATATTTTAGTGTTTTTTTTGTTTTTTTTTTTGTTCAAAAGTAGGGTTGTGTTAACCAAGTATATTTTCTGGTTAGGGAAAATTAACTAATGATAGCTTTTATGTGTAGTGGTTAAGCCATAACTAGAATTCACTTGTGAGATTGGCAAGATGAAATCTTGAAGAAAATTGAGTTTTTTTTATCTAGAATTAAACCTATTCATTGGAAGAGTGAGGCAAGTAATAAGACAGGAATGATTGAATTTTGAAAGCAAATAACTTCTACAAGATCAGTGGTTTTTAATACTGAAAAGACAGCTTACATAAGTTCCTAGAAGAAAGAAAAAACAAAAGAAAAGAAAACGGAGATGCGTCCTCGAGCCGCCCCCGCAAAAAGAAAAAAAAGCGCCTATATTTGTATGGTATTTAAAAAAAAAACGTTTAATAACAATTTTCTGAATATTTGATTGAATCAATGAATTTAAAAAAACAAAAATGTAGGTAAACTTAATTTTTTTTGGTTTCGGAGAATTTAAAAGGCCAAGTTAAGAAAGTTGATTTATTGCTTCTTGATAAAGATTGGTTTGCGTCCTAATGAGGTTTGTTGAATATTATTGTGGCGCTGCATAATCGCGAGAGCTGTATAGATATTTTGTTTTACGAATTATAGTACGTGCGTGATAACGACAAAGAAAAAAGACAAAACAAAGAAGGCAGTGGAGAGCCGAAAGTTAATTCATCGATTAACAAACTAATCAAACCCTTAGAAAACTGGATGATAGAAAGGCCAAGTCTTTGGGTGGAAGAGGGGAAAGAAAGGAAGAAAGACCCACAAAAGGCAAACAAACCTCGCAACTACTGAGGTCGATTATATATGTACTGTGTGAAGGAGCTCAGTCTTAATCTAGTCAGTGAGTCGCGAAATCGTTGACGTCAATGAAGACCGCAGTGCGGCTATGGATGAACAAAAAAAAAAAAAAAAAAAAACAGTGGAGAGCAAATTAATTCATCATTAACAACTAATCAAACCCTTAGAAACTGGATGATAAGAAAGCAATCTTGTGGAGAGGGGAAAGAAGAGAAGAAAAAAAAAGGCAAACAAACCCCACTACTATCGGATATATATGTACTTGTAAGACTCATCTTAATCTATCAGTGAGTCCAAATCTTGACGCAATGACCCATGCGCATGATGAACACTGTCAATCTTGCACATGTCGTGTCTCTTGTAATCCAAATTTGGAGCCCATCGAATAAAGATTTATTGTACAAATTATAGTATAGAGTATAGACCATAAAAGAGCTTTTTATAGCAAATACAGGAGCTAGCGGTTTTCAAGCAGGACAATATACATTCCGGATCATAATTATGCGAACACAAATTGGATTTTGCATATTGGCTTTGAGTTGACAAGAGGGCCACTATGAACATCATTATGCCATTTTTTGGTATCATATCTCCTCTATGCATGGATAACTAAATAAAAATTTAGCTTATGAGATGGATATTATGTTAAGAATGTACTTAGAAATGAGTGCACTGATTAACAGAACTCTGTGATTGGACCTTGAGATAGTCCAAACTAGTTTTAATAATGGTGATAATAATTCTACTTAATTATAATATGTATATACAGTTGGTAGTGAGTGCGAGCTGACAGAATGAAAGGGGACAGAAAGATGAAGGAGCTTGGATAAAAAGAAAGGATTAGGAATAATGTTTTGATGTAAAGGGAGTGAAAGCATGTGATGCTAAGTCTCCACATGGGGTGGAAATTAAAAAGCATTTTGATCTGTGACAGTGAGGACTTGGGAATAAAGAAGATCTCTGCACAACTTCAGCACTAGATTTTTTAAATATTCCTCTTTGAAATTTAGTTGTGAGAAATTCGTTGAGGTCTAACGAGAGAGATAGCTCATTTATCTTTTTCATTTCATCAATTAAAGAATAGGGATTAAGAGCGTTGAATCTGAGACCTTTTAGTCCTAATTACCTTTACTTTAACCGTTACATCAAAATTTCATTGTCTTTATTTAGTTACTCTAATTAAAAATGTTTATAAACTCCTTAATTAATTTAAAAAAATGAAAGTCCGAAAGGCGAAAACTAATTTCACCTGGGTTAAGATTATTCATCAGGTTAATTGACAAATAAGGAATATATATATGTGGGAGACCTTGTATACTTTAATTTTATCAATTATCATAATAATTTATATTTTTTTTTTTGTATAATAAACATATACAAAAGGCAAAAGAAAAAACAAGACTAAGATTTTTGTCTGTGTCAATATTATATTCTTGTTTGGTAATAACAACAGATGGGTGTCATTCCCTATCCCCAAATTGGGGAACATAACTTAGGATGTTGCTAAGTTTAGGGAAAGGACGTGAAAGTATGAAAATCCTAATTTGAAGATTACAAATTCAAATTCCAAATGACATTATCTTTAAGAGAATATGTATTTAAAGTTTGATGTTTGATTAAAAAAAAATATGATGTTAAAATAATAATTACATTCAATATACAAAAAATATTATTGAAACAAACAAGAACAAATAAGTAAAACACTAAAACATTAAATTTTCCTAAATGTATAATTTGAGTTCCGAAATTTATAAGAAATATTTCATACTAATCTTGATTTTAATTTTAACCCATTAAAACCTTTAACTTGTAAAATTATGCTTGTTGAACGATTCAACTTACATACTTACACCTATTGCAAAATTTTATTTATTGAACACTTATCATTTATATTTTTCTCCTGAGTCCTTTTATAGCTTAATCACGATGTTAGTGGTTTGGGTTTTTGAAGTAATTGCTTAGCTTAATGGTTTTCTTTTTCGAGCTTATGCTCCTTAAAAGGGAAAACAAATTACAAATTAGGTATACTAGGTACTAGAGTGCTTAATCTAGACCTTCATCGCTAGCTAATTAAGGAGGCCTAGAAGGATTATAGATATCTCTATAAATGAAAATTTATTTTCCATCTATAGATAACAACTCAATACCTAATAATCTTCCAAAGAAATACAACACAAGGAAAAAAAAATTAGCGGACCATATAAAATTACGCTATAGGTTCCTTTTGTATGGTAAGTTCATTTATTACCACAGTAGGAAACCTGATGTATCCAAATTGTTTGCAATTTGCCATGGAGGACTTGTAAGAAAAGCAAGCACCGCCGACGTGGCCGTTTCAACAGCCAAGCATACAAAACCGAACAATTAATTATTGATATCTGACATAAAACAACAAAAGCAGAGCCACTTTCATCTACCCAATAGCCAAAGTGTCATTATTGATAAATGAAAATGGCAGATTAAGGGTAATCTAAACTCTCATTTTTTAGTTTGGTAACATAGATTAGGTTCATAAGTAGGAAATTAATGCATGTACAGTAACTATATATCAGTATTTGCTAAACACCAACGACAACCTAATCCATTTCCGGTGGGTCCTCGCTTTGCAGTTGTTATTTGGTCTGCATCTAAGCCAACGGTCAGATGGAGAGAAAATCCAATGAATGAAGAGTTAGGTTGAGGAAAAGGAAACTTGGGTTTGGATCTTAACATCAGCTTTCTCTGTCCCTCTCTTTTTTTTGTTTTCTCTTCCTTGTGAATAAAGCAGTCGTAGACAAGTGCTGCGAAGAAATTGATATCTGGACACAAATTTTGCTTAACTTGCAGTCTACCCTCAAGGGTAGAATTGCAAAAATAATTTGAACTAATGGGTCTAATTTTCTTTCATTTGGGTAAGTGTAATTCCATTTAGGTGGACGTAAAAAATCAAGATTTTGATGGTTTCAGTTTTTATTTTATTTTTTTTCTTTTTCCAGGATATTGGTAGTGTTAGTTTTTGCTAGTTATCCTCCAAGAAAGGAAAAATGAAATGATGGTTTAGCTACGGCCCACTAGAAAAGGTGGTCAGGCACGCTCTCTATGATATTATATGGGTGAGAAGAATCCATCAATCTCCTACAAACATATTATTTTTATAGATATTGGGTAGAGATCAGCATGATTATAATTGATATATATGTTCATGTGATTTCGATCTTGAACCCTAACGCCCCAGTATAGTTTTCAATGAAAACGAAGTGACATATACGTATTATTGGGTCCCCAACTAAAGAAAACCTGATTTTATTATTTTTTTTCTCCTTTTACTGCCATTGATCGAAGCTTTTTCATGTACTTTCAGGTTTCAGCACACCCCTTCTTTATTAAAGATTCACCATTTTCTTGGCAGGTATTGTTTTATGGGTAGGGTTAGGCTGCATAAAAGCCGTTCTAATTCCTAATTGAGGGCACATGCAATTAAGCTCCATCTGTGACATGAAAACAGAAAATCATTGATATTATTGTCTGCTTAAATTTGAGAAAGAAAGGGAAAAGACATTTCATTAATTAGAATTGGGGCAGTGGGGTAATTAGGAAGGTTAATGCCAAAACTTACTAATAAGAACAACCAAAATTCTAAGTCAGTTGTTGGTCAGAAATCATTTATATTTCATTAAAATTGAAGTTTATGGTCGGAATAATGATAATTTAGTTCTTTGAAGATTACAAATTTAATTTTTGAAAAGAATTTTAAGGAAAAGTTTTCGCTTATAATTTCATAAGCTTCTCTAAACTTTTTTTTTTCGTTTTTTTTAAGAGTAATTAACTAGAATATGCTTATATATATCTTACTGTTTGAATTATTTCTCGTTGAAAATATTACTTATTTGATTAAATCTCTTAATACTAGTAATTTCTAACAAATACGAAATGAAAAACATAATTTAGTGATTGATGGGTGAATTAATTGACTGCCATGTTTGAATGGTGCTTGATTTTACATGGAAAAGATGAGCTGGTCTGGCATGTTTGAATGCCCACACAAACAGACAGACACAAGGCTTATCCTTAAAGTTAGAAAATGGCGAGGGCAGCTGAATCAATCAACTCCTACAAAACCTGTAAAAAAAAAAAAAAAAAAAAAAAAAAAAAAAAAAAAAAATCGGAGAGAGAGAAGAAGAGTTTTGGCTTTGGTGGAATTCCCTTGTTAACTTTATTATGAAACGAGAGAAAATTGGCCGGTCCACCTTAGGATTATACAGACACTAACTAAAAAGACCATGTGAGGAGGGAGACCACGCAGCTGGCTCTGTCAAAAAAAAAAAAAAAAAAAAAATGGAGAGAGAGAAGAAGAGTTTTGGCTTTGTGAATTCCTTGTTAACTTATTATGAACGAGAGAAAATGGGGTCCACTTAGGATTATACAGACACTACTAAAAAGACCATGTGAGGAGGGGAGACCACCAGCTGGCTCTGTCTATTGTGTGGGTCTCTCTTTCCGTCCTCTCCCTTTACTTCATCCCCTACCATTTCCCTTCTGTCACTTTCCATCATGCCTTCTTATGCTTCGCTTCACGGATCAATATACACCTACATACGAATACCTCCAAATTAATCCATTTTTACATCTAATTCATCGAATTTTATAATTAATTAGTATAATTAAAACCCATTACTAAATCAAATTATCTTTCTAGTTAATGAACAAATACAATACTCATAATTCTTAACATTATGCCAAAACCATCCTCCTTCAACTACACAGTGCTCGAGACTTCATTAAAATCGCAAAAATGATTGGACATCACGTGGCTTATGTGCTGTGATGGTCCTCTTTTCCACCACATTCTGGGGACAATCATGAATCATGAACATCATAATACGTGGTTTTTAATAAATTAATTTAATATTATAGGTAACAAGAAATGAAGATACACAGTAGTAGTATTTATTTTGTATACGCAGACGGGCTAAAAAGGGTAAAACCGTCAAAAAGGTAGAAGAAACGGAGGGAAAACAGCCGTTGAGAGAAGGAAGGGCAAAATGGGAAAGAGTGACACGAAAGTTTTACCAACGCAACCGTCTAGGCTGGTGTGTGCAGTGAAGGCTAAGGAAAATGATAGTGGTTGTTGTCGTAGCAGTTACCCTGCCATTTCTACTACTTCTAATATTCCACTCTTTTGCCGCTATTTCCCCAACTACCCTTCCCTTTCCTTTCTCTCTCTCTCTAGTACTCCTACTGCTGTGTGAAAAAAAAGAGCCTACTCTCACCCTCACCTTCTGTCTGGGGCTACTATTGCTGTTGCAGTATCACTTTCCTTGTCCTGAAATTCTCCAATTTCTCAGACAATGAGAACGGTTTCTTTTCTCTAACAACGAGGCTGATCTTTTTACGCTCTTTCTTTTAAATTTTAACCCTCTCAGTTTTTTTTTTCTTCAAATAAATCTATTTCTTTTGTTTGCTATGGAAGCTCCTCCTTCTCCCTCTCCTGCTAATAATGGTACTGCAGCTGAGGATTGTTGTGTCAAAGTTGCGGTTCATGTTCGACCGCTTATTGGCGATGAGCGGGCTCAAGGTTGTAAAGATTGTGTCACTGTCATTTCGGGGAAGCCTCAGGTACATTTCCATACAAGAATGTTAGACTTTGTTAACTATTTATGAACTCACTGATGGAGAAAAATTAAATAAAAAAAAATCTTCCTGGTTTCGTCTTGTGTTTGCTTTTTAGTGGATAATTCTTAGTAATGTTCTCCTTAGGAGATCTGGATCTTAGAGTTGGTTCTTGGATGGGTGAGGATTCTACGGTTTTTTGTCAACGTGCTGAGAATCATGCATGTTTGACTTGAAAGATTGTGCCATCTCAGTCTGAGTTTGGATCAGAAGCTATGTTAGTGACTGGCATTTCCATGTTTTGGTTTGCTTTTCACTCTTAATTGTGTAAGCTATAAATGGGGAAATTGGACGGTAATTTGGATGATTAAATGACAGTTCATTCGTCTATTTAGGGGAAGAACGGATACATTTCCCGTTTTCACGGTTTTGCTTCTTGGGAAATCCTTTGAAGAATCAGCTAGCTCTATCATTCAATTGTGCAACTTTATTCTTGATATTTTTGTTTAAATTCTGTGGAAAATATAATTCTGTTTAGGATTTGAAAAATGGACCTACTTGCCTCACTGGCTGCATTTTCATTCAATAGTTTGCCAATTAGGATCAGATATCCTCGGTTGTATTTCCTACCAGTTTCTAGTATCAGCTAATTCTATTGTAAGACTTGTTCAAAGTCTGTCTCGTTTGGACATGATATCAAGTACTGAACACAAACCCTCCTTTTCTTCTCTATTTGGTTTGGAATTTTTTTTAAAATTTTTTTCTCAAAAAATTTTGTTTTTCTTAAGGACAGTCAAAATCTACCACATTAGTGGTATATTTGCACGGTGTACTTCCTTATATGCACAAATTTCATGTTTCAAATTTCTGACTGTAGTTCTAGTTCAGACCCTTGTCTATATTGTCACCAAGCTCCAGCAATAGGTGGATTATCTAAGGGGTTTCTAGTTAATAATTGTGAATCACTAGTATTCCTATTTAGAACCCTAAATGGCGCATATTACTGTTTTATGCCAAAATGGTAATTAGTCTTCGCTTGCTATATTATCCGATTCTGGATGGAGGATTCAGATACCTTGCAATGAATGATGATCACAATGATGAAGTATTCTCAACTTCTTTAAGACATGCCTTTTCAGACATTGCAGAATATTGAAGTTCGTAAACTGCTAATTTATAACCTATGTTTGCTTTACATGTATGTCTGAAATCAAGTGTTATTTATGACCATGGTGCAGGTACAAATAGGTACACATTCATTTACTTTCGATCATGTATATGGGAGCACTGGTTCTCCTTCATCTGCCATGTTTGAAGAATGTATTGCTCCACTAGTTGATGGCTTATTCCAAGGATATAATGCAACGGTTCTTGCTTATGGTCAGGTAAACCTTTATCTTCCATGGGAAACTTGTTCAGTTGGTGCAAAAATTACTATGCAACGCAGTTTCTATTTACTCATTGTCATCTTTCCAACTGTTGCAGACAGGATCCGGGAAGACTTATACAATGGGCACTGGCTTTAAAGATGGTATCCAAACAGGAATAGTTCCTCAAGTCATGAATGTTTTGTTCAGCAAGATTGAAACTCTAAAGCATCAAACAGAATTCCAACTGCATGTTTCTTTCATTGAGGTGCATAGAACCCTTTCACCCTATATTGCAAATTTTGTAGCGATTTGATTAAAACACTGACGTATAGTGTGTCATAGCTTTTACCTTGACAATGATAAATGTTCATCTAGCAAGTTCTGTATGCTGCTTCTCAGTTTGAAGAAGCTTTCTAATTCCTAATTTCTAATATATGTGCGCATATAAAAAATATAGAAATCACTGTGACAATTATCTAATTGAAAGATTTTGATGTGAAAAAGATTCTAAAAGAAGAAGTACGTGATTTGCTGGATCCCACTTGTTTGAACAAATCAGATACTGCAAATGGGCACACAGGAAAATTAAGTGTCCCTGGGAAACCACCAATACAAATTCGTGAAACATCAAATGGTGTTATAACGCTAGCAGGATCTACTGAAGTTAGTGTCAGCACTCTTAAGGAAATGGCTGCTTGCTTAGAACAAGGATCTTTGAGCAGGGCAACTGGGAGTACAAACATGAACAATCAGTCGAGGTAGATTCATATAATGACTACATATTTATTTATTTCCTGGAATTTAATTTGTCATATAATATATTCATATTATATAATATCATTTATTTGACCTACTATAATGTGTATTTTGATTGTGTAACTGTTGGATGCAGAGCAATAGTGGGTAAAGAACTATGGTAAAACTAATTCATTGAGACACTGGGGACTGTTAGCATATCAAAATTACATTCCTATTATTGTGAAACATACATGAGCAAACGTTTATTTTTCCTTTACAGGATGATCAGAAAAAGAATGGCTTTTGTCTCCTATTAGTTGAGTTGGAAAATAAGTGACTAACATGGATTTTATAATATTTTTTAATGCCTTATATTTCATATAACAAAGGGATATTTGTTATGAACCTTTTGTCTAGTAAGGATAGTAGATTTGAGTTAACACTGTAATTAGGGTGGACGTGTAATATATAACATAAGAAGGCTGTAACCTTAAGGCTTGAAGATAAATCACTGTAATTCCTATCAAGTTCTTTTATCGTGCAGGTGGACAATGATTTTTCTGGTGAAAATTATTGCAGTATTAAAAAAAAAAAAAAAAAAAAAAAAATGATTTTTTCTGGTGAAGACATTATTGCAGAGTATTAAAAAAAAAAAAAAAAATTAAAAAAAAAAAAAAAAAAAAAATTAGTCCTCAACTCATGTTATGTTACATAGCAAAATTTTGGGTTACCAACCCATTTTGTAAGACGTTTGGTAATTCTTAATGTTAAAGCTGAAGTGCTTATCACCACCTTCACATATAATTCTTGTGGATTTGTTCAGTCGTTCACATGCCATCTTCACCATCACATTAGAGCAAATGCGCAAGCTCAATCCTTTGTTCCCTGGGGACAGCAGTCCTAACGAGAGTATGAACGAAGAATATCTATGTGCCAAGTTGCATTTAGTTGATCTTGCTGGATCAGAGCGAGCTAAAAGAACTGGTTCGGATGGTTTGCGTTTTAAGGAAGGTTGGTGACATTGGTTAAAACTTGTTGCATGTGAATTTACCTTTTGGTTGTAGTATAATGTATGAACAGTTTTACCTTTTCACCAGGGGTTCACATAAACAAGGGCCTTCTTGCACTTGGTAATGTTATCAGTGCATTAGGTGATGAAAAAAAGCGCAAAGAAGGAGTACATGTTCCTTATCGGGATAGTAAACTGACTCGACTTCTGCAGGTATGTCTGTCTGGGAGCTGAATCCCATTTCCTAAGCACCCCCTGGCCCCTTCCATCCTTGAAATAATCTACAGAAGTGGTAAAGATGTGAATAATTTTTGGTTTTTTAAGGAAATTCCTTCTCAAAAATACTTGGAGTTATTTCTTCCTCAGCGCCCACGGCTAAATGTGATACATTTGGCATTTTACTGTATACCTTGAATGATGAACGGTCAATTAGTTGAAAAGAAGTAGAAAATATGTAACTTCATATTTATGCTTAGACTAATGTTCCTATTTTTGGCAGGACTCACTTGGTGGTAACAGTAAAACAGTTATGATAGGTAACCTCACATGCTCTCGCTATCTCAACCTTCAAAGTTCAATCTCTTTGTTCTATTTCCTCTGAAGCCTTATCTCTATGTTATCCCTGTAGATCCCTTTTTATATAATGTTATTTTAACATCATGCGAATTTCTCCCTTTCCTAGCTTGCATTAGTCCTGCTGACATCAATGCTGAGGAGACTCTTAATACTCTAAAGTATGCAAATCGTGCTCGCAATATCCAAAATAAGCCTGTTGTAAGTTTTCATAATAAATTAGTTTTTAGTTTCTTCTTTTTCCTCTTTCCCTCATGTTGATAAACATGCAAAATTTTTATTTTTAACAGGTAAATAGAGATCCCATGTCCAGTGAGATGCTAAGAATGCGCCAACAATTAGAGTTTTTGCAGGCTGAACTTTGTGCCCGAGGGGGAGGAGGTTCTTCATCAGATGAAGTTCAGGTATCATCCGATTGAAGTTTTTAAAAGGAGAGATTTAATTTACTTGAAAAATAATCCATTCTGGATTAGTTACATCTCTAATAATGATAATCTATTCTGGTTAATAACATCTCCAACAATCTGTTTATTTAGGTTCTTAAGGAAAGAATTGCTTGGCTTGAAGCTGCTAATGAAGATCTCTGCCGTGAACTTCATGAATATCGCAGCAGATGCACTGCAGTGGAGCAACGTGAAACAGATGCTCAGGTATGTTATGCTTTTAGACATTTATGATTTCTCCTTTAGTTTCTGAATGCAGGAGATTATGTAGTTCACTTTCACGCTAATTTTAAGTGCTATATATGTAAATCTGAAATTGTATTTCTTTTTAGGATGGTAGCACCTGTTATGTAAAAAGCGATGGGCTTAAAAGGAGTTTGCACAGTATAGAGTCAGCAGATTATCAAATGGGAGAAACCATGTCAGGTAGAAATCCTTTTCTCTGATACTTGCCCTTATATCCTTTCTGGTTATTACATACAGTTCATCATAATTTTTCTTTTATTGCTGGAATCTTTGCTTCTGCATTTCTTACTTCAATAAAGCATAAATTCTGGTTTGAATTTGAACTGTAATTGCCAACTTTAGCAGGTGATTCCAGGGAAATTGATGAAGAGGTAGCAAAAGAGTGGGAGCACACACTTCTGCAGAATACGATGGATAAGGAATTGCATGAGTTGAATAGACGTTTAGAGGAGAAGGAGGTACATATTTTTTCTTGTTCCATGATGATAATTTCATATTTCTGAAGTTCCCTTCTAATGATCAAGTCAGAGTATAAGGATCTCTGAATCCGGGAATGCTTTTTTTTTTCTTATTTGTTACTATTGTTTCATTTGCTCTCTTCTGCATATATTCAGATTGGAAAATCACACTTCATATAATTCTAGCCATTATCTGTTCAGTAATCTCTGCTTCTTTGTTGCTTATAATACATGTGCTAACAATCATATGCTTAATAATCACATAATTGTTATCTTGATTTTTATATTTTTCCATTTTCTGCCTGAGCAGTCAGAGATGAAACTTTTTGGAGGTATTGATACTGCAGCGCTGAAGCAACACTTTGGCAAGAAAATCATGGAATTAGAGGATGAAAAAAGAGCAGTGCAGGTTAAAATGAAATCTCCTAAATTTTTTATTGCTCACCAACAGAGAAAGATGTCTGATTTTTTAATTTATTGATGCAGCAAGAGAGAGATCGCTTGTTGGCTGAAATTGAAAATCTCTCATCCGGTTCCGATGGGCAGGCACAAAAATTGCAAGATATTCATGCCCAGAAATTAAAAGCACTTGAGTCACAGGTCCCACACTTTAGCCAATATTCGATGCATTTTCCATTCAAAGAGAACTATACTCATAATTATGTTCAAGTTATAATTTATAAACAATTTCAAAATATGCACACAGATTCTGGATCTAAAGAAAAAACAAGAGAACCAGGTTCAACTTTTAAAGCAAAAGCAAAAGAGTGATGAAGCAGCAAAGAGGTTGCAAGATGAAATTCAATCTATAAAAGCCCAAAAGGTAAAGTATTTTGCATTGTTTGTGTTTATTTTTTATCTATGTTGCTAATTTTTTTTCTTGTTTTTTTCCTCTTGTTTTCTTTTTCCCCTCTCTTCTGAGAGCACAGGTTCAATTGCAACACAGGATCAAACAAGAGGCAGAACAATTTCGCCAGTGGAAAGCCTCTCGGGAGAAAGAACTGCTTCAGGTATTTTTCCATTCGTTTTGTTACCCTCGAAAAATTTCTATGTCAACCCTTCTTTAATCTTGCTATCTCATGTGATTTGATAGAAGTGGTGATCAATTCAAGCAGTTAAATATATGTAGGCAATGCAGTTTTTGTATGTCAAGGAAATTACCCATGCATTCATGAGCATAATAGGATCTTATGAAATTCGGTTGTTAATGTAAACCATGTTTGATTTTTTAATGTTGTTCTTGTTCTTATAAATGCCATTATCTCACGAGCATCTTACATCTTTTATATGTGTGTGTGTAAAGCACATTGTTAACATTTTTTATGTGTTTGCTCCCTTTGTTTATAATTATTTTGCTCCTGCAGTTGCGGAAGGAGGGCAGAAGAAACGAATTTGAAAGACATAAGCTACAAGCTTTAAACCAGCGCCAGAAAATGGTAAGCTTAATACTGTCTTTTGCATATCTAATGCTCTGTTCATTGCACATTAAGTAGACAATAATTTCGAGAAAAGACATCTTTGATGAATAGTTTTTAAATTCTAAAAGACTTTAGTTTCTTTCTAACAAAAAATCCCATTTGGTTGGCCATGTATTTCTAATTGACTGAGTCCTTATATGATGGATCCACGAGCCTAAGTCTTGGTCACAAAATTTAGTAGTCAATACTGTCGTGTATTTTCTGCCTTTTAATCTTTTTAAAGCATCGCTACTTAGTAAAAATTACTCGTGCTTCTGCCTGGTAATGTTACATTTGAGTAAGAAACTTACTGAATAATGGAAATTTGGAAGCTGTAGGACTACTACTTGTAAAATCTGGCTGGCAGATTTACATATTCTTTATTTGGAGGATGTATCAGACTCTTCCAAGAAGAAAATAAAAGAAGAATTACTACCTTCTCAACTTTTCGAAAATCAAATGATATTGTTTCAATATTTACCTCTACTGATAATTTGCAGCCTCTTTATCATAATAAGTTCGTTTGTTTCAGGTTCTTCAAAGAAAGACGGAGGAGGCTGCTATGGCCACCAAGCGGCTGAAGGAGCTGCTTGAAGCTCGTAAATCTTCTGTCCGAGACAGCTCAGGTACGTTGTATTTATCATTTTCAGTTGTATATGGGCATTCTGTGTTCTGAGTAAGTGCATGCCCCCTTCTTTTTTATGAGGGATAAAGTTATGCTGCATTTTTCATCATCAAAACTTATACAGTTGATTTAAATATGAATGTCTTCTGCGACATGGTATTTTCATCATTAGGAGCATGGGGGCGTTCACATAGTGGTTTCTTTCCTTTTCTTAATATTAAATTACTAATAGTATATGCCAAATCTTCCAGCTACAATACCCAACGGAAATGGCACAAATGGACAGGTAATGATTTTGGCTTCTCTCACTTTAGGTTCACATGGTTATCATTGCCTCACATTTAATATAAGTTGCACATGCAGAGCAATGAGAAATCCTTACAACGTTGGCTAGACCATGAGCTAGAAGTCATGGTGAATGTGCATGAAGTCCGTTTTGAGTATGAGAAACAAAGCCAAGTGTAAGTGCTTAATCCTACATTTAATAACTCCAGGTGTCAAGTGGTGTCGTAATCTGGTCTCATACTTTATGTTGATTGTGCTGCAATCTACAGACGAGCTGCACTTGCAGAAGAGCTAGCTGTGTTGAAGCAGGCAGATGAGTTTGCTTCAAAGGGGCTGAGTCCTCCAAGAGGAAAGAATGGCTTTGCTAGGTAAGATTGTTGCAAAAATACTGTCTTAATTCTGCACAATTCTTCCACTTCACATGGCCAGTAAAAAATAGATTTGATGGTGTCAAGCAGATAATAGAGCACAAATTCTGATAAATATCACAATTCTTGAAGTGTGTTTCCTGCTTTTTCAGGGCTTCTTCCATGTCACCAAATGCAAGAATGGCGAGAATATCTTCACTTGAGAACATGTTAAGCATATCATCTAATTCACTTGTTGCAATGGCTTCACAACTTTCAGAGGCAGAAGAGCGGGAACGTGGATTCACCAACCGTGGGCGTTGGAATCAGCTGCGTTCAATGGGAGATGCAAAGAACTTGCTTCAGTATATGTTCAATTCTCTGGCAGATGCGAGGTGCTTTCTTGAACAATGCTGTTCAGAAGTTCACAATATTATTCTGTTGGAATTCCATTAAGTTGTTCTTTTGGTATCTGGCTGCAACTTCAATCTTCTCAGTCATACCCTGCTTATTGTAGCAGAAACTTTCATAAAGTAATTTTAGTCTCTGGAGAACTTCAAGCAATTGAAAAGAATTAGACCATGAGCTGAACCTTGACCACGGAGCTAGTTTGCTCATATAACAGAGAAGCAGTGGTTTAGAACCTGAAATGATGCTTATTGTTTTTCTTTCTATGCCATTCCTTCATTTCGACATTTCCATCCCCTCCCCTCCTCTCTTTGCTGTTGGAAATCAATAAATTTAAACTCTCCACAGCCAAAATTCACTCAGCAAAGAAAGATGATAAAAATAAGCTGGTTAAGTTACTTCTATGATTGTTAGTGCCAAACATACAGGAAGCTCAAATCTGTGGATGTTATGCAAGTCTTATTAATTTATCTTCTGTTAATGCCTTTATTTAATTCACACTAAAATGATTAACAGGCAGTATGAATGTGTTATTTGAATTATGTTGGTAAATTTTGTTCACCTACCTGACTAATTTGCTTATTATATGAACAGGTGTCATATATGGGAGAAGGAAATGGAAGTCAAGGAAATGAAAGAACAATTTAAAGAACTTGTAGGCCTGTTGCGACAAAGTGAGGTGCGAAGAAAGGAAGTAGAGAAGGAGTTAAAATTGAGAGAGCAAGCTGTTTCAAATGCTTTGGCAACATCAGTTTCGGTAAGATAATGTTTCATAGAGTACGATGAACTTATTTTTCTACTCTATGAGTGCATCCCTAAGCTTGATTTAGATGATAGAGATTACTAGGACCTGGGTTCTCTCAGTGTATGCGTTCCTTATAAAGAGTACTTGCATAATTTTGATGATGAACTCCCTTACTGCTAATCCTTCCTTCAGCTAAATGAAACTTTTTCCAAGCTTTGCGTTCTGTATTCTTTCTTTGAAATGGAACCCCAATTTGCAAGCTTGAGATAATATGCATTTTGATGTTCCCTAACTAGTTTATCGCGCTGTCTTGAAAATTCTGTTAGTTTGTTTAGCCTTATATCATTATCTTTCTCAATGAAAATATGACTATTTCTCAATGCTCCAGCCTGGCCACGAACAGGGAAATTCTCTGAAACATTTTGCTGATGATATGAGTGGTTCCTTGTCTCCAATGTCCGTCCCAGCACAGAAACAGCTGAAATATACACCAGGAATTGCTAATAGTTTGGTAAGAGAATCAACAGCGTTCATAGATCAGACAAGAAAGGTAAGCTTCCTTCTTCTTTCCTTAGTGGCTTGAATCTGCCTTGTCACTTGGCTAAGAAAGTAGTTGACCTTACTGTTGGTGCAGATGGTGCCACTTGGCCATTTGTCAATGAGAAAATTAGCAGTTGCAGGACAAGGTGGGAGGCTGTGGAGGTGGAAGAGAAGTCATCACCAGTGGCTTTTGCAATTCAAATGGAAGTGGCAGAAGCCATGGAGACTGTCAGAATTGATTAGACACAGTGATGAAACAATTATAAGGGCAAAGCATCGTCCACATGCTCTGCCACATGCGGTATGATGTTCTGTCATCACCAGATTTTTCTTTCCCAATACTCATCTTTGACCTATAAGTATGATCCCCATCCATTCCACAGAGCATGCCTGCAAAAAAATGGAGGTAATCTTTTGTCTTTCTACCTCTCTTTTCTTTTTCCCCTGGCTCCAAGTTTTATACATCAGTGAACCTTCAATATCATTACGACTTGAATCATTTGTATGCAGTGTTGGAAGTGGCTGTTGAGGAGCTATGCTTCTAGTTGTCATGGATGAGCTGATTTTGAAAATGTTAGGTTTGTCTTCTTGGAAAAATTTTTTTGATGTGGTCAGTGCATTCGGAGCATCTTGTAAAGCAGCGTTGATGCTACCAATGATTCACCCAAATATTTTACAAAGTTATCCAGAGTTGTGACATGGTGTTAGTAGTGATGCACTGGTAAAAAAGGGAAAAATCTTCCCACCCGTTTATAACGTTTTGGTATATAATATATATTTTCTGTCAATAACAACACTTTGAGGGAAGAAAACAGTCCCGCAAGTATAGAAATATATAACAAAGGTTCAGCCTTTTATCTTTTTCTCTTTCTTCTTTGTTCTTTTCCCAAATTGTAAGCTTCCTGGCTAATTTCTCCCAATGTTTATTATGTGCTAGCACAATATTGATTCTGGTGAAAGTATTGAACCATGTAGGACTTGCCTCTCAAAACAGAACATTTTTTTTTTTTGTTCAATTTGAATTACACTTTCACTGGCGACGGTGGTTCCGTGTAAAGATAGAGTGATTTTGTTTACATTGTACTAGTTTAATGACAGTATCATGGAATGATAGTTTGGTGTTGGAGTGTGAGTTTTGCCATTGATCAACTTTCACTAAAGTGTAAAAGCTTACTGCTGTAAGTTTTCTTATTTTCTACCGTTATAAGAGTTGACGAGTATTATTAGTTGATCCAAACGTAATACTAATAATTTCAACTTTCGAGATATACAGAAGTCAATGGTGAAATTGAGTGAAATACTAGAGGAACTGAACGTGAAATAAATATACGCACTGAGAACTCAAGTGATGTCGTGGTTACAGCATTTTGAAAAGGTTTCAAGAAACGTCAAGTTCAAACCTGGAATAAATATCTGAAATTTTGTCTGGAAGAATACCGAAAAAACACACACCGGCTACCTTTGTCATCCACGAGAATTCCTTCTTTTAAAAATCATCTGAATGCAGGGGGAGATTGGACATTGAATATCATCTAAACAGACTCTTCTGCAGGAAAATTGCTGCCACTGCGCTAAGAAAACCTGAATGCTAATGGGCAGGAGAAAAAGAAAACACTCGATTAGCAAAATGAAAAAGGAATACAAGATTATTACATACACAGATTTTGATCCATGTAAATGTATTGACAACTAAAATAGAGCAAACACTATCTATAGTTATCAAAACAAGAGAGCGGGTTTTCCTTAAATCCAACTTTGACCAATTAACCCCCTCTTATGGCTTTTAGCATTTTATCTGATAATGATCATGTTTGGCATTCTTGAACCATGTATTCCAATGTAGAAGTAGGGCAACAGTATGCTAATGAAACATGCCAAGGAGCACTTCATGGACCGGATATTCTACATTCTAGCACATCAGAGCTTGCAACACCAGTAGGCATAATGCTCATCTTTGCGATGGTTACTAACAAGACCACCACATTGTAGACAGATAAAGCTGCTTCCATCTGAGAATGCATCCAACACAATTTGCATCCTGCCAGTTTCTGCAAGAATAGAGTTCACATGAGCATCTGGTGGTATTGATGGGCCACCTACATTACAAGCCAATGTTTCCATTGTAGAAGGCTGGGCTTCAGCAATTGCACACTCAGCAAACAAAGCCGCAAGTTGATCAACAGCAGTGTTCTCTTGCATTCTGTTCCTGTACAGCTCACGAGCACGATTCAGGGACTGAAACACAGCCTCATCCCCACCTTTGGTACGCATTGCCATGACAACCTGTTCCAAACACTAGTAAGCACTAGATCTATATGGTTTCTAAGTTTTTCTTTACACCCATAGTGCACAGCAATTTACAAACACCTCTGAACTGTGAGTATGTGCAATTACATTACCAATCTTCCAAAGATAATATACTTGAAAATTCTATATATAATGACATGAAAAAGAAGATAAAAATTTATGAAAATATGAAGTCATCAACTCATTAAAGTCCCTAAGGTAACGCAAATGTTTAACAACAACCAAGCCTTAGTATGAAGAAAAAAAAAAAAAAAGGTTGACAAAAAAAAAAAGGTTGACTTGAAAAAGAATGATCAATCGATTCAATGCTTTCTCTAAGTCCTTATACTGATCAAATATATCAAAGCAATCAAATATGGTAAATACATTTGTAAGGTGAAATTATAACCCTACAACAACACATTAAGGTCTTCTTTTCTCCTAGTTCTAAGATATTAACAGTTACTTCAGTATTTCTTTAGTATGATAAGATGAATCACGGTAAAAGCACGACTCCTTTGTCCTCAGCTTTGCTGACATGAAGAAACCTACTAGCACCTAGAAAAATACACTCAATCCCATAGCCTCATGCCATTGAAGCTAAGGCTCCAACGAATGCCAATTACCATTTCAAGCAATAGTTTTATGGCAGTTGGGAAAAAAAGAAACAGGCTTTTGAGCACATGTATCCAAGCCAATTAATACCTGATTAAGCTATTAACAGGTGAAGCTATAGCGTGGGAAGCAGATTGTAAAATGTGGATGGAGACACTGGGTACTTGTGACAGCCAAGACATTATCTTAACAACTTGACCATCATCTCTTGATGATAAGAGCAGCATAAACTAGCAATTACGAAACTATAACAGCTCAAGTCTCCATCGCCTGATGCAAAATAGTCTTTTTCAAGATTAGATGTTTTTTGCTCCATATAGAGTCAAATAGTAGATTTAAGCTTTTAGAGTAATTATCCTGCAACAACCACTTTCCCCTTTCTATTTAATGTGTTTTCTTTTTTCATCGTAATCTTCTTCTTTGCACACAAAATAATGTGTTGATTGACAAGAAATAAAATTAGCAATGCCAATAGCCAATCAAAATCAAAAAGATGAAAAGAAAAACAGATTTCTTTTAATTTAGGCAATCCGAAAAATCCAAAAGATGATTAATTCAATACGAAAAACATCAAATTTTAGTAATGACAAATTAGGCAAAATAAGATAAAAATCCAACTCAGGAAAATCAAAAGAATCGTTAGAAAATTAAAAATAGTAAAGGGAAAGAATTTTAATTTACAGCTTGTAGAGCCTGAGAAGGTTTTCCTTGGTTGATGAGCTGGCGAGCCAATGTGATTAACTCTTTGACGACGTCGTTCGAACCTTGTTGAGGCACCACCGTCACAGCTTCTCTCTCCGTCATGTCGGTGTCCATGACATCTGGCATTTCAGTGCCCTTGTTATTAGGTTTCTTTCACTTCCCGAAGATTTTACGAGTTAATAAACGCTCTAGTGCATGTCTCTTAATTCTTCTTCCTTTTTAGGTTGTCGAACTAAATTCCAGAAATGCTCCAACAGATCTTTAACAATTCCTTATTGATTTACGGGTACTGATTACCAGATGATTCTAGCGAAGTCCACCGCCCATTAACCTCTATGTTCAATCGCTACGGGATGATTTCCGGCTTCTAGTTCTGAACTGGGCTTCGGCCCATGGTCTGCTCCTTCCTTTTTCTACTGGGCTCATATTTTCTAATGGGCTTCTATTTAAAACCTCCATGCGTGGTTGAGATTGGAGACTGGTATGTACTGATGAAATTCTAACTTTCATATCCACAGGGGACATAATAATGGTGGAAATAAAACAACGATGAATTTCTAAAGTTATTTCATAACCTGAACTATGCACGACTTATTGTGCATTTAATTTAAAATTTGGTATTGCATATTTTTCTACACTAATAATAATAATAATAGTTCTTTGAGTCTATGATTTTTATTTGTAAAATACTAATTTGAACTATTTAAAAGATGTTTAATTGATCTAAATTTACGTGTTAAAGTGCTCAATAAAATGATTTTATAAGTTCAAGTGTTTAATAGTTGTAATTTATAAAATTGAAGTATTTAATGGATTAATTAAAAATAGGGTATCATTATTAACATAATAAATTTCAGGCAGCTTGAGGTAGGTATTAATTTTTATGATTCATTAACTCAAATATATAGTACACACGATATTGTCCTCCCTCGATACCAAAGATGGAGCAAAATCATCAAAGACGTTGTCCAACCATGCTTGCTCAAATGATGATATTATGCTAGTTATGGTAGAACCATAGAAGAGAATCATCGATCATGATTGTGGATGCAAGAAGCAATCAATAATGGCCGCTTGCCTTTATGCAAGATAGGCATGTGGCTTTCACATTGCAAGCTCATTCGTTTACACGCATGGCCAAAATGGCAGCTGAAGATTAAGTATTTGGTGAAAACTTTTGCAAGAGATATCAAACACTTAAAGACGATTGTTTTAACATATATTATATAAAACCTAACGAAAATAAACATAGTCAGAAACAAACTTTAATTTCTTAAACTGTTAAACAGCACCTGATTCTTACAGGGGGTCAGACCAATTGCCCTCCCCTGGATCCGCCATGATTGGACAGCTGGATTACATAGAATTGGTCTGAGCAATTGCTTAAACTTTAATTGCCTCACTGCTCTATTTGCAGATATTGATTATAGATTATCAAAATACTATCTTTGGTGGACAGGAAACAAATAAAGCAGCGAGGCAAGAATAGGCTAGAAATACATCTGCATATAATGCCACAAATAATACTTACATAGAATGGAGAAACCACGAAAAGAGCATCACTGCATTTATATCACCTACTAATTTTCTTTTTACTCTATGGATTAGTAAATATCTTGACTTGTACAAAATGCTAATAATTAGAGCATGCCAATTTGCTGGTCCAATTCACCATCCTCCATTAATACAGTTTCTTTAATTTCCTGTAACATTTTCAACACCTGCCACATGGTGGGTCTCTGCTCCGGTGATGTCAAACTACAAGCTATAGCTACCTCAAGAAGCATTTCCAGCCTGTTGTCTTCTCCGCCGTCATCTTCTCTCGTGGACCTAACCCAACCCATCATATCATCAGGCACTAATAACGGAAGCTGGGAGGGAGGTTTGCCAGTTAAAAGTTCTAGCAAGAGAATTCCAAATGAAAATACATCAGATTTAGATGTTGGCTGTTGATTTGAATTTCGACTTTCTGGGGCTTTGTATGCCGTGACATCTGGGTCTGGGTCATCTTCTGATACTGAAGTGGAGAGAACGACAAGGCAGTAGTCTGCAATACACGCCTCGAAATCAGGGCCAAGAAGGACATTACAGGACTTGAGATTGCCATGGACAAGCCTCCATGCTTGGTGGATGTAGGAGAGGCCCTGGGCTACGTCCTCGGCTATCTTTAAACAAGACGTCCAGTGGAGCGGTTTTGCTCTTGCTGATTTTGAACCTGCACGTGCCAATTACTGTTTCCAATTAGAAATGCTAAATTCAGAAGCGACTACAGCACCTCAGTGAAATCTAGAGAGGTCGTCGGACCCGCGAAAAAAAGAGACCCTTTCATGACGTATCAATTTTTGACCGGAAAGTCTTATCCACAAAATTGACTGGCAAGGTGGCAATGTGCGTGGCCCGCACCGGGGCCCGTCCGAGAGCCAGATCTCAACCGACAAAAATTTTCTGCTGGGGAGCGCGTTTGCAATAGGCGCGTCAACTCATTAACCTTTTACTACGAACAAGATTGGAAGTGGGCCCAATTGGACATGCTGGATCGTATACACAGAGCAATCGCTCTAGGACACATGGCGTCAGTTTGTACGCTTCCCCGCACAGAAAGAAACTCTCTGAATAGGTAGTGTGTTCCACGCGATGAGATCTAATTAAACGGCTAACGAGATTCCTAAGCCCATTACGAAAGCTTTTTTGCCTATTCTAATCACGATTTACAAGTAAACTGAAAAGAAAACCATATTCTAAACGAAATAATAATAATAATAATAATAATAATAATAATAAAATAATAGCACTACAGTATTCGTAAAATCAAGCCAATTCCCAATGTCGTCAGCGGCGAGATTCTCGGTTTTGGTAGAAAAAACTTAGATACTGCCAAATCTAGTAGCTTCAAATCAATAAGACGATGATGGATATTAATCTGTGTATTTAATATTTTAATCATTAATTAATCCATCTAAAAAATCAACACATCCTGTCTCATTGAGTTAATCGCTGTTGTCAAACTCGCTCACTGAGTTAAACAATACCAAAATAAAATTCGGCAGAGAAGACAGAAGCTTTAAACTTACCGTGTATGAGAGAGTGAAGGCTGCCGTTGGGTTGGTAATCATAAATGAGAAGCCTTTCTTCCCTAGCTTGGAAATATGCCCTGAGTGGAACCAAATTGGGATGCCTGAGTCCGCCCACTGATTCCATGTGCCGCTCGAAAATTTCTTTGCTAGTGCTTCCTAATTTACTAGCATCAAGCCTCTTCACGCTAACAATCAGACGATTATCCAGAACAGCTTTGTAGGTGGTTCCCAAAGTGCCTCTACCTAGCAACTCAGCCGAAGCTCTCATCAGTTGATCCAGACTGTACAGTTGTGCCTCTCCCGCACAGAATACCAAATTCCCACTCTTGCCCACATGCATCCCTTGCACTCTTTTTATCTTCTCTTCCAACTCATTTTCTTGCTGGTCTATTTGCATCACTGCCGCCACTTCTGCAGCCACGCCATCCGAAGAAATTATAGCTTTTGACTGTTTTTCGTTCCTCTGTTTCCTTACAGCCATCACAAAGCAAAGAAGCGAACCAACGAGAACTAATACTCCTGATGAGAACCCAATGATCACTGCCATTTTCTTATGTTTGGTACTGGTATTCGGTTGTGACAATTCAACACCGTGTAATTCTTCGCTTTGGCCAAGCGCCACTGAAGGTGGCGGTGATATCTCTGGTGAAGATTGCGATGGACCAAAAAATGGAGGACTGGGATGGCATTCTTTGTGTATAATCTCTCCACAAAGACTCGGGTTTGACAAAAATGAAGAGAGCTCAAAACGTAATAATGCGGGGGTAACTGGGATTGCACCAGTAAAGTTGTTGTATGAAACATTGAATGTTCGTAGAGATGACTGGTTTAATGGAGGGATGCTGCCATAGAAGTGGTTCCTGTCGAGACGTAGGTAGTACAAGCGGTCTAGAGAGGTTAGCCAGGTGGGTAGTGGTCCTGTTAGATTGTTCTGTGACAGATCAAGAGTACGGAGTCTGTGAAGAGAATGGATTGAAGGAGGAAAAGAACCTGAAAAGTAGTTTCGATCAAGAAACAAGGATTTGAGATTGAAAAGCTTGGACAAATCAGGAATGGGTCCGTTGAGGGAGTTGTTCTGTAGACTGAGGACACGAATCTGGTCAAGGCGAGTCAAAGTGTTGGGAGCGAAAACACCACCGAGATCTAAGCCTTGGACAACGAGGCGCACCACTTTATCTTGAAAGCATATCACTCCTCGCCATCGACAGAAAAGGAAACTTGTATTTTGAGAGTATGGAAGGTGATTTCTCAAATCAGCTTTTGATTTGAAATCGAGAAGCGCAGTGGCATCTGAAGGCTGTGGTGAGTTCACTGCTGAAGCAAAAGAGCCAGAAACCATGATTATGGAGCTCAATGATAGAAGAAGAAAGGCATTTGATAGGAGAAGATGAAGCATTCTCTCTCAAAAATATTAACACAGGCAGTAAAGGAAAATCACAGAAACGCGTTTGGCTGTCTCTGTTTCTCAAAAGGGTAGAGACGCACGGTCAATTTCATTCCCCGAAGGATAAAAGCTTAGGATTTGATTTGAAAGGAAAAAGGAGAGGGTGATGGGAGGGAATGGAAGAGCGAGCGCTTCATGACAAAAGGATGTAAGAACTGAGAAGCAGCTGTCGGGGACTCAAAACCTGCATGATGCTCAGAATCACGTGAAGAGAAGAGAAAGAAAGAAGCTTTCTCTATTAGCGTCTCTTTGGTTAAAAATGTATTTTGATGAACGGTTTCTATCTTCTTTAATTTTGTCAGATGGTGGTGTACACTACTGCGCTAGACCCTCCCTAGTTGACCGGTAAATAAATTCAGTAAAAATGTATCAATTAAACAACCTTTTCAACTAGAGTAAAAATTTAATTTAGTTCTTGAATTTTGAACAAAGCTCAATTGAGCACCTATACTTATTGATAGGAATTAATAAATATACTGCTCAAACTTATAACCCTCATTAAATGACCATTTAGGTCATTGAAATTGAGTAACAAATGTTCAAAATTCTCCCTCATTATTTTTGACCTGGATCTTTACTGAATATTTATATCTTCAGTTACAAATGAAAATTACTACAAATACGAAATATCATATTTTAATGAAAAACATACTACATCCAATGATAGTGTCAAAACTTATTTTCCTTTTATTTTTATCACTTATTTTAGGGCACTTCAATCTTGAACTCATAAATTTTATCAATTGAATCCTTATTAAATTAGTAGTAGAGGAGAAGGAGGAGACCATGATAACGTGGGTTGTAAATAAAGTTATTTTATTAATTTTATCTATTGGTGTCATTCTATTCATTCAAATGAGGACTCAATTGATCCAAATCTATGAGTTTAGGAATCTAATTGGCTCAAAATAAATTATAGGCACTCAATTGAGCTTTGTTATAGAAATTATCAATTTAAGGATTAAATTGAATTATTCTCTTTAAAAATAGGCGTAATTTTACTCTCACATAAATTGAGAAAATACAATCAATATAATTAAACCATAATTTTACTTACACTTATAGTTAATTAAAGATATTTAATTAAATAAAAATATAGAAATCTCATTCGTCGATCAATTACATGAGAAAACAAAAGTGCCCCATCTGGCACTAAAGAGAGAATAAAAAGGAACACTTTACCTTAGCTTACGAGTCCGGTTACCTGATGTATTTTTGATTCGCTTTTTTGTTTATTCTTTTGGGGTGGAGTCCTGTGATTCACTCAGATTACTCCTTTTGACTCTAAAATTGGACGGTGGCATGTGAGTTTACAGTTAGCAGCCGAGTATCCAACGGATGTTTGTTATTTATGCATAGACTGTATCATATGAAAATTGATTTGCCGGTCCAAAATAAAAAGTTACATAGTCATATTCTTAATAAAGACCTTACCCATAACTGAAGAAAGACACTTTACAATCATCATCCGTTCCTTTATGTTATTCAAAAGCACCTGTACGTATTCTTTTCACTTACATATTCCTTGGTTTATTCCTTTTTTTTTTTTTTTTTTTTTTTTTTTTTTTATACTGAAGAAAGACACTTTTACATCATCAATCCGTTCCTTTATGTTATTCAAAAGCACCTGTACGTATTCTTTTCACTTACATATTCCTTGTTTATTCCCTTTTTTTTTTTTTTTTTTTTTTTTTTTTTTTTTGAGTATTTGGTTTATTCTTTTATTAATGTACGCTGCAAAACGAAATGCCCAAAGACTGGATTGGGTTTTCTAGCCCAACAGAATTAAGGCTTTTTTTTTTTTTTTTTTTTTTTTTTTTTGAGTATTTGGTTATTCTTTATTAATGTACGCTGCAAACAACTGCCAAAGACTGGATGGTTTCTACCCAACAGAATTAGGCATGGCATGTGAAACTGATAATGAAATTTTCAGATAATACATAATTTATTATTTATTTCATAGTTATTGAATATATCTCTTATTAACTTGGAAGGAGGTTTCAGTGAGAAACATTGAGTGGCCCAGAGCTAAAGTTGTTGCCAATGTTGGGTGCATAGCATAGTCCAATCCCGTCATTTTGAGCTTGGATTACAAATTAATAACAGCAGATCCCAGGATCTGATCTCGATGGACTCGCATGGGCCTCATGTCCTCACACGGCCCAATTCAGGACTCCCAACATGAACTAATTATGGGATTTTTGTTTTTATCATCACTGGCCACCAGACATCCAACTGTTTCTGCACACCAGAACATATTCTAGAATCGTAAGGGGTTCAAATTGTTTAGGCTGAAGTGTGTAATGGTATTACCTGATCTGTTGGGGAGGATACAGAGGTCAGATTTTGGTTCTTAGAATTGGAAAATTGGCAGAGCATTCTAATGATGAGATTCCGGCTTCGTGCTTAGATTGGAAGGTCATGGATTTGATGGAGTTCGTAGATAATAGTGGAATTGGCTGGTCGTTCAAGTTTGATTACTTGCTTGTGCTTTCAACTTTTTCAATTCAGAAATTGGTAACTAAGACCAATAAGCGTGGCTGCAAGTTGGCCATGGAAATTCTGGATAATATTTATCAGTAACTTAATTTGCAAAAATTTCATATGAGCATATCAAACAACACAAGCATATTGGCAACTTTAAAGAAAAGGCATATTTCAATTTTCAAGGCCAGCCCAATGAAAAATCCTTAAATCTTATCACAATAGACAGAAACTCCCACTTAGCATCAGCAGCTCTCCATTACCACTAAAAACATAATAAAATCAAAAACAACAGTGATCACTGACAAGGCTATGCATAATGCATTGTACCTTTTAATCATAACTTGTTCTTTAATGGACAGCTTTTTGAGCTGGACCACATGGTTGCAGTAGGAGATGGTAATCTCTAACTCAAATGGGACCTTCAAGCTCTCAACAACAATCTCACCATTTCAAGATACAAGTAACAAGAAGTTGCTTCAATCTCACTTTTAGTATGGAGAAAAATTGGGACCATATTCACAGAATAAATCACCTTTCCTTTTCCTTTACTGAAGCATACCATCTTGGTTCCCCATTATATTCTGCAGCTTGCATTATCTTTTTCCCCTTTGGAAAATAGGAACACGTAGCAAATGTATAAATACATGTATAAACAAACACATTCACCATTGACAAATTGGCATTTGAATACTCTACTAAGAGTCCAAAATAAAGCGAAAATATAGCAAGCAGTATATATTAATTCGCATATGATGCAATTATGCTCATTTAACTAGTTCCCAAGCATTTTTGTTGACAAATCTATTGCATAACTTGAATTGAAGTGAAAAAAATTGATTACTTATGCATACAATATATCTTAATTAAAGAATTCTGAAATACAGAGCAGCAATGAGCAAGATGAGGAGGTAAAGCTGTCAAGGTGAAGGGGCCATTCCAGGAATCATAGAAGCATAAGTGAAAGGACGCTTACAAGGACTGTAAGTATAAGACCACATTCTGGGACAGAATTTGGGGTGTGCAAAGAAATCTGCACATTCCTCTACAGATCTTTGAAAAGGAAGATCAGGAATGCAATTGTTTCTAATATCAACCACTCCTTTCTCAATTAAAATCCTACACAAAGGCCCAACTGTGATAAAATAATTATCAGATAAAGATAAGTTAACCAAACTTTGTAGCTCGCATACCAACTCTGGCACCATACCAAACAACATATTACCAGCAAAATTCAGCTGCTCCACATTTTCCAAACAAGCCAAAGATAATGGCAATGGCCCTGTTAACTGATTGTTGCCAGCATCAAATACTGTAGCCTCTTTTAGCAGACCAATCTCATAAGGTAAACAACCTGTTAACTGATTATTCAAGAGTAGAACCTCACTCAAAGAAGAAAACGCCTTGAAAATGTTTCTTGGGATTGGACCGATGAATTTGTTGTTGGCTAAGGTAAGATAAATTATATGGGTGCTTCCTAAATTGTCAGGCAAACTCGTCATGAAATTGTTGTTGTTAAGAAAGAGAGCGTCGAGTTCTTTTGTAAATAATTGAGGTGGTATTGAACCAGAAAAGAAATTGAAACGAATGTCCAAGAATGTTAAACCATTCATGCTAAGAACAGCTGTAGGAAATAAACCAGAAAATAAATTGTTACTTATGTCAAGCTCGTAGAGATAAGGAAGCTTGGCAATATTTGGAGATATGGAACCAGAAAAGAAATTGGAATTTGCATGAAAGAGGGCAATATCAGGAAGTTGATCAAGAAACCCATCGAGAGTGGGCGCAGCAAGTTGGAATCCATTGAAGTCTATGGAAGCAACAGCGACTGCAGACTTGTTGTCTGGAGGGTTATCACAATAGAAGCCTTTGTAGTTGCATAAATCTGAGCCTACCCAAGTTTTAGTGATGCCTAACGGATCCGAGGTAATTATGGACTTAAATTTCTGTATGATAGGGTATACAACAGATAGCCTTTGATCAGCAAATACTAATACTTCTGCTTTGAGAGGTAGAGATGGGGTTGGTAACTTTGGACATTCAAGTGCAATGGGTATTTTGTGATTTTTTTTACTTTTGCAGCTTCTGCTACCAGCAATGGGAAATTCTAGAGTTTCTCTATTGGTGCTTATTGCTATAGTGTAGACAATGAGAGAAATGAGGATTATGCTGAAGGGTGAAATTAAAAAAGACATATTGCTAATAGTTTTTTTGTGTATGAGTGTTGTGCTTGCTTAAGAGATGGCCAAAAGGAGCAAATGCCAAGACCAGCAGAAACCAACTAGAGAGGGGAATGAAATATAAGAGATTGCCACAACCAGAATCTCATGTAGACTTGTTCTTTGCCTACTTTCTATATAAATTCTTTAAGCTTTATTTAGCATATGAATAATGCATTCCTTATCTCCGACCAAAAAGAGGAGTCGCTAGCTTTTTTTAAACAATCTCAAAAAGTAAATGCAATCAAAAATTAAGACTGATTATTATTATTTTTTTTCTCTATCTAGTTTTATGACATAAATTTCATGTGATCCAGGCTATCGTGCCATAATGGAGCAGGCATTAACGTCAAATTAATTCTTCTTCTTTTTTTTTTTTTTTTTTTCATGGACATAAATTTTCCATGTGATCCAGGCTATCGTGCCAAATTAAATGGAAGCAGGCAATTAACGTCAAATTAATTCTTCTTCTTTTTTTTTTTTTTTTTTGGTGCGATCAAGAAAGAACATCGTTGGATGTAGCCCAAAGGAAGTTAATTTTCTATTAAATATTAAATTTTAATTAAATATCTATGATAATAAATAAAGAGGTTCTTTTTAAAAAAAAATTGTTTTTTTTTTTTTTTTTTTTTGGTGCGATCAGAAGAACATCGTTGATGTAGCCAAAGGAGTTAATTTCTATTAAATATTAAATATTAAATATCTATGATAATAAATAAAGAGTTCTTTTTAAAAAAAAATTGTTTTCATCCCTAGTCCACTACAGAATATTTCGGTCGTTGTCTAAAAAGATTGCTTTTGCGAGTGGATTCCAATTTCCATTTCCTCTGACGGCAATAATGGGCTCAACTTCATCATGTTCTGGTTTCTATCACTTATTTTTTTATGCTTTGTTATCACTAATTCATTAAAATAATTTTCACTTTGCATTGGTTTTATATATTGGTTTCTTTACTTGATAAAAAAACCTCTAGCCCTAGTTTCTGCTCCGTTGACTCACTCCTCCAAGCACACTTCAGGCTCAACCCTATAATTTGAATTCGTAAATCATTCTATGACAGTTCAAGTAGATCAATAATACCAGGCATTTTCTAGTTAAAGCAGAAAATTAAACATATGAACAATCGGGCATTCGGATAAACAGGATCCAATCATCAACTGAAAAAGCACAAGCAAATTAAAATGGATGGACTCACCGTCATTGGTGACCTAGAATTTCAAGAACACACTTGTGCTGTAGGGAGGAGATGCAATACGAAGTCCAAAAAGGTTCCTCATTGTGATTTTCTTTCCTTAATTTTCTTGCAATGTCTTATCGACCAAACAGAAAATTACATCCCAAAGAGGACAAGAGAGCGGCGAAAATCATCCTTGAGACCAGAAGAGCAGTAAACATTTCGCTGGGGATACTTTTTATTTTGGGGGTTCTTGAATAACGGTACTTCAACGATAAACGATAACTGATTATGTCGAGGAATGGCGGCTTATAAACTGTAAAAATCACATCGCAGGAGGCGTTATGCTGGTCGTTTATTTAAAGCAATGCGTTGGATCAAACGACAAATGGGCTTTCTGTCGTCGACCACCGCGTTATAAATGTTGCATCGTAGATTCGTAGTAATAATTCGTGCAAAAAGAAAGGGCTCAGGCCTGTTTTAAATGATAATGGAGATTGAGGCTGTCTTGTCACTCAGTGCCTCAATCCGACACGAGATTAATCGGTGGTTTGCACCCTGCAGTTTACCTTTAAAATGCAGCCCAGCCCATAAGAGATCGGGTTAACCGAGGATGGGCTAAACCTAGTATATTTTTAAACCATGCTGTTAATTTTTAAAAATAAAAAATAAAATTACTTACATATTCATTGTCACTATGTTATCTTTTCTTTCTTTTTCTAGTAAAAAGACATCAATACTCTCATTTGTCTCATTCATTGTTGTTTGATTAAAAAAACCTTATCTATAATTTAATTCAAATATTAAATCCTAAAAGTGCTTTCTCTTACAGCAACTTATCTATCCTAACTGAACACAAGGTATCTGCATTACGGTTTTCCAAATGGGTTACTTCACCATCAAACCCATAATGTTAAGTGAGAACTTGAGATGAACATCAAAATGGAAAATATTACACACTATCAGATCTTCTCCAAATAGGGAGACTAGCTTAATAAATAGAAGGTCTAGCTAAAAAACGGGAAGAGTTATCTTTGAAAACAAAAGATGCAATTGTGTGTTTTGATAGCACCCAGCCGGTTCAATCCTTCCAATACAAGTATGCACAATACATGAAATTGAAGTTGCGATATTTCGGAGCAAAACAGCCTTTATTTTCTAACTCAACAAACCCATCAATGTCTTACTCTTAACTCAAGATCACGGTAATTGAAATGACACAGAAAATTTATGAAACAAAATGGAGAGAACATACAGTTCTCTTGCACATCATACAAAATATAGAAATAATGTAACATAACATAGTAACTATACTATGAGGATCTCTTTATTTGAGAACAACATGAAGTTCACCATGCTAAACACACCATTGATTAATGTGGAGGCTTGTTTAGAGCTTTATAAGACTGTGGTCCAGGAACTTCGTCCTCTGTGGGAGGAGAAGCAATTTTCATGGAAGAAGCAGGAAGAGAACAGGGAATTAAAGAAAAACTACTCTCACGAGCACATGTCCTTGGCCTTGCAAAGAATCGCGCACATTCTGCTGCAGGTCTTTGTCCAGTAAGCCCAAATATGCAATTTCTATTCACATTAAGTCTCCTGGCTCTTATCAGCCTCCTGCATTGTGGTCCTACTTGTGTAAAATAATTGTAAGTCAGTGTAAAATTAAAAGCATTTGGTAACCTGCACAAAACCTCCGGTATTGGTCCATAAAACATATTATGAGCCAGGTTAAGGATTTGCAATTTCGCTAAGCACCCAAAAGATTGTGGGATCGGACCAGTTAACAAGTTGGTTCCGAAATCCAAAACTGTAGCCTTCTGCAAGTATCCGATTTCGAAAGGAAGACAACCCGTCAGCCTGTTTCCTAAAAAGAGAGCTTCAGTTAGTGTATTCCAGGCTCGGCCTATACTTCTTGGAATCGGACCTGTCAGCTTGTTATTGGCTACTGTGAGATAAAGAGCTGGAGTGTTGCCGAAGTTGGCGGGGATTGTTCTGTTGAACTGATTATTGTTTATGAAGAGAACGTCAGTGTCAATATTGAATGCCTGAGCCGGAACTGGACCCAGGTAACCGTTGAACCGAATATCCACAAATTGTAATTTCTGTACTGCGAGAACGTTGGTCGGGAATCCTCCCAGGAATTTGTTGTTACTCAAATCAAGCTCATAGAAAAAACGCAATTGATTTAAATTTTGATTTATGGGGCCGCTAAAGTTGTTAGTATTTGCATGAAAAATAGCAATGTCAGGCAAATTCATAATAAAACGATAGAAATTTAAGTTACCGCCAAATCTAGCACCATTGAAATCAATAGCAGCAAGTCCTGTAATATTCCTATCAGGAACAGTGTCGCAAAAGTAACCTCTAAACAGGCAATAATTATTGCCAACCCAAGTCCCAGTGTAGTTTCTAGGGTCTGATGTGATGTTTCTTTTAAGTTCCTGGGTGATGAATAAAATTCTGGCCCTATTAGCAAGGGGTCCAGGATTGTTGTTTGGCTGTTTGGGCATGAGATGCGTTGAGGGAGGGTAAAGTGGTGGCCTGGGGCGGACGCGAGGGAAAGGACGAGGACGAGCTGGTGGTGAGATTGAAGGACATCTTGGAGGCAGAGGACATTTTTGGGAAAGAGAGTAATGAAAGAAATATGTTTGGAGGAAAAAGATTAAGAGAAGAGAATTTGGAGACATGGCGGATGCTTTTAGATCAGTACAGGATGGGATGGGGCAAATAGATGATACTTATAGAATATGTAGATCACTTATAAATGAAGTATTGAACTATCCATGTTTATTTGTGTTTAGGTCTTGGTCTTGCACATACAATAAACAATTCATAAAGCAACCGATAGACACACAGTGTTAAGAGCCAAGACGAGGTCTTTCAGCACTATATCCTGTAAGATATGAAAAATCTCAATAATTGCTTGAGAAGGAATTAATGTTTGTACAGTAATACATATAAAGCTGATATTCAAAGCACCATTTTATGACTTTAGTGGCCAAAAAGCAACTAAAGTGAATTAAAGCAATAGTTTCTTATCGTTTCCTGTCCTAGCTTAAAGCAGGACTGAGAAATTATATTAGTTACTGGTTAAATTATTAAATAATGTTGTTAATCTCCCCGGAAGGCGTTAGAGACACGGAACTAGCTAAGTTTGAGCCTGTGATTAGCACTGAGCTATACCAGAAAACGGCGCCATGCATCATTACAAATTTACAATTGGCAAGCAACTAGAGCCTGTTATTAGAAAAGATACAAGTATGATCAAAGACTCCTGTATGTCTTTTTATGAATTCCCAAATACAAGGAGAATAGTTTTGGAATGATGCCAAAACCTTTTCCTAAGCTTCCATGGACAGTGCATGTATGTTTTATAGTGCTTTTCGGGGCATTAAGTCTCATATCAGGCCATTATCCTTTAAATTACTTCTTTTCTGTTAGATACAAGGTGCAGCGTTCCAAAAATTTTTTAGTTTCATGTCGTGTTTCTAGTCTCTATAAAAGCATTTAGATCAGGACGGTTGAATTTGAAATATAATAATCAACTGAAATTAAATTTTTATTTTCGATGTATTGGAGTGGGTCTAAGTAAGTAAATTACAATTGTTGGGAATTCACCTCATTTTTATACAGGCAAGATTAAAATTAATTACATGTGTCTTAATAGCAAGAGATAGTCCTTACCTTCATTTACATACATGTGCATTTCTTGAAAAGCTATGTACTTATTAGTGTCCAATGCAGGTTTCTACTCCTCGACTGCCCCACAGCATTATAGTCGTCTCATCCTTTATATTACTTTAATTTATCTCTTGCAAGTGTCGGTGTACTACATATAAAATTATATATATATGCTAAATTTCCTTTGAAAAGCTATGGTAACTTATTAGTGTCCAATGCAGGTTTTCTTACTTCCCTCGACTGCCCATCAGCAATTATAGTCGCCTCAATCCCTTTATATTACTTTAATTTATCTCTTGCAAGTGTTCGGTGTACTACATATAAAATTAATACTATATATATTATTTAATTTATTTTTTTTTTTTTGAAAAAATATATATACATGTGATTATCTTTAGAAATAAAATCTACAGGAATCTATTCCTAGCCTTCATTCATTTTACATTAATTAATTAAAAATAAATACTAAAGCCCTTGCAATAATAAAATGCTTCCTTCCTTCCTACACATTTGTCTTGTTTGCAAGTTTGGTAGCAATTTTCAAGCATGACTAACCATTAATTAGTCAATCATAAGGTCAAGCCTACAATTGCAAGCACTAAAATTACCCACTATTTATTTTATTTTATTTTTTCTTTTCGAAAAGTACTTAATTTTGTATATCTTTTTATTTATTTCACATAAAGCTAAAGCAACAATTAAAAGAATATATAAGTAATGATCATGAGAATAATCTTTCAATGTGGGATGATAAAGTCAAATGCAGTATTCGCCATGTCATGTTACTTTGGAAAAGTATTCCAATTTCACAAACAAAATTCATTCCGCATAATCAAAGTTGATTAATGCCATATAGTAAGAAAGTTACAAAAACTTATTTTGCATGCATTTTGCTTTATTTCTTCTTAATCTAAAACTTATTTACGAGTAAAATTTCTTATTGAAAGAGAATGGACAGCGTAATAGGACATATAATTAAAAAAAAAAAAAAAAAAATTAAAAAAAAAAAAAAAACAAAAGACCTGAAACACGTAATTATTTTAAGGTTTTGAATTGATAATATACAGCTCTCTCTCACCGCTGCACACAAAATCCTGCTTAAAAAAAAAAAAAAAAAAGACCTGAACACTAATTATTTTTAAGGTTTTGAATTGATATATACATGCTCTTCTCCACCTCTGCAAAATCCTTCTTGGATTCAAATATAAACACGAAGGATTGGAATTCTGATTCCAAACAAATGCAGCTTAAATTCTCTGTTGTTTCATGTTTGCACCTGATTCACGTTGTAGGGCACTTCACTAAACTAGGTGCCTATATCTAATAAACAACACAATGGAGCACTACGAATTGACAAGTGTCGCTATTATAAATGTGGCATTACTTAAAAGGACGCTGCGCTGAAGGAAAGAAGATATTCTGAGTGAGCACAAAGTGTTTTTGGTTTTTAGCACTAATTATTATATTGCTCAAAAATAAAAAGTAGTGAGGTGCTATATAGCCATTCTCCATTCAATTACTTTTCTTTACGTATATAGTTCTTAATTGGGATAAAGCAAGCAATTGCTATGTCCCGTTAGCTTTACCTTTATGCATAAAAAGAAGAAACATATTTCCAAAGTTGATGCTCCCTTCCATCTTCTCCTTACCCTTTAATCTTCTCCTTAAGCTTCACATTGGCAAACACTTCCCTTGTATCAAATTCATATGTATTATATTCTACTTAATGCTCAGTTATGTATTAAAAATACTACAAAGAAGGGAAATTACTTCATTTGTAACCAAAAAAAAAAAAAAAAAGATTCACTTTCAGTTAAGCCCAACTGAAAATTGACATTTCCATTTTTTATCAGAACGTGGATATTATCAGAGATAATCATGGATCGACTTCAGATTAGATTTTGCCTACAATGAACAAACAGGGACTTGGGTCTTCCCATAACGTGTCAAGGACTACCCAGTGATATGAGTAAATTTTATGGGAAAGTGATAAGATTCAGGCAGGCTGTGCATAAAGGGCAATTGTTCATGACGAAGTCCAGCCGAGACCCAACATGGTTTATTTAAAGCCCAAGGCAGTGCTCATAAACCAAACTGGCAAGTGGCAAACTCTATGACAAGAAGCATTTCATGAGTTTAGAAATGGTTAAAAGGGCAGTAAGAGCTGGCCTCCAACAGAAACAGAATCCAAGTAATTAATTAATATATGTGTATTTGTGGAATAAAAATCCAAGTAATGGAGGGAAGTTATTCGGTGAAGAACAATAACTCGTCTTCTTTCTGAAAAAAAGTCAAATGCTATCTCACCAATACCTAATTATGATAAATTATCTTCAATTGATATATACTTGAACACAGTGAGGATTGAAATATTGACTGATAGCATCCAGTTTTTGAATACTAGTCCGTCTCATACTTGATTTTTACCCCAAAAAATTAAGCTCCATATATCCAGTAAAAATTGTAATCTACAGCTGCTCAACTACATTTTGGTGTTTACCTATTTGTAATTTGACTTTATTATTCCAATTAAGAGTATAAAGGAAAAATAGAAGAAATATTTCAATATGTAAAATAATTTGTTGAAAATATTTTCATGGAAAATATTTTTTTAATATTGAAAATAAAAAAATATTTTTCAAATGATTTATTTTCTGTTGCTTGATTGTAATATTGAAAATTAGTTAAAAATATTGAAAAGTATTTATCTCATAAGCCATAAAAAATATTAACAATGATAGAAATTTTATAATTTAAAAATTTTATTCTTAAATATGAAAATAATACAAAAAAATATAAATTTTATAAATTGTGATTAGTGCAGTGACTATAATGATTAATAAATTAAAAAAATATAAATTTATAAAGTTTGTCGATGTCTAAAAAATATTTTAATTTCTCAAAAACGAGATGTTTTTTCTTTAAAAAAGGATGTAATTTTCCTTCGACCAGAAAAATATTTTCCGTTGTCTTATCTTTCTGAATGTCCCAAACAACGAAAAATTATAAAAAATAGAATTACCTTATCCTTCATTTGGGAAATAGAAATGAGATTATTATGCAAAAACAAAGTCTCATTTAATGAGAGAGATTTCAAATTGCCCCACACAAATTACAGAACAACAGCACAGCAATTACCCTGTAACTGCTAAAAAAACAATAGAAAGAGGAGTGCAGTGACATTAAAGTTTCAAACCCATTGAAAATAAATAAATGGGCAAAAAACAAAAAAAAAAAAGAAAAAAGTGGGGTACAATTATCATAACCATGACCGACCACTTTGACTTTGCGTTGTATTCCCCAATTTAGATGGATCACATATGTACTGTACTCTCGTCAAAAGTCGCACTATCAGATTTCTTTAGATTCTCCACGAAGCCCAAATCCAACCGTTCAAATTCAATCAACATACCCTATTGCCCTACTGTAGGGAATAGGGATCAGTAGGTCAGCATTGACGTCTCCTCCTCAATCAAACATATGCCCTTCCGTTTCATTCTTCCAGAAAAATATTTTGCAAATGGAAAACGGAACAATTTCAAGTGGGCAACCTTGCAAGATCCACCACCACCATATACAATATAATATTTTTATATATATAATGCACCAATTCTAGTGACAAGTATGAGAGCATCCAAAAAAATTTAAAATTTAAAATTTAAAAATTAAAAAAAAAAAAAAAAAAAAAAACACCAAAAAAATTTAAAATTAAAATTTAAAAAAAAAAAAAAAAAAAAAAAACTCCACTACTCAGCATGATTCAACTCCACCAAATCCACAACATCTACTCTTTTCTAACCTTTTTCTTTTTTTTCTTTTTTTCTTTTTTTTTACCATTTCTAAACAAAGTATTCAAGGAGAAAAGGAGAGGACAAAATATAGGAATCCTATATTTTCTTCTTAGGCACCTAACGTGCCCACTAAGCCCACTCCTCGTTGACTATCTGAGGATTTAATATCATGCACGGCTGTGATTAAACTAGGTACGAACGTTTCTCAGCCCTTCGATGAGTTGACTTTTTAGGATGATGATTCCACTACTCGAACGGCGGGTGCATCGTTGATAGAGTGTGAGTGATTGTGATCACCTTCGTAGGTGACGATCAGCATCATCGAATCATCTAGAGCTCTCTCCACATGTTTGCGAGCTGGGCATCCTCTCATGCTACTGCACTTGTAATATCCCCTAAACAAATTGAAACACGATTAAATTAATATCAATCTCCGTTGAGTTATGGTGAATCGTCGTCCAAACAGATTTTCAGTTTAACTCAATTCACCTTGGATGAGGGGAGCCTTTGATTGGCTTTTGACCGTATTTTCTCCAGGAATACTCATCGGGTGGAATATCAGCCATCTTATTGCTAATTGCCGGAACTCTAATTACTCTCTTCACTCTAGATTTCCTGTTTAATTAACAAAAATACACTTGTTTAAGATCGCAATTTCAAAACCAAACTATCGTCGAGTAATAAAAACTTGTAATAAATTGATTGTTTAGATGCCAAACCTTTTCTTGGAGCAATGGCAGCGGCCAGAAGAGGAGCCGCACTTGAGAGCAGCGTCATCCATGGAACTACACTTTCTTTTGAGGGAAGTTGATGATAAAGGAGGTTTACCGACAGTGGGTTGGGCGAATTGAAATCCAGAGGACATAGAGCGCTGTACACTATCGGTTTCCCCTGTTAAAGAAGACATAAAAGAAGTAGCGGCAGAGATTGAAGGTGAATTAGAGAAATTGATAGAAGAAGGCATCTCGTTCCTCTCTGAAAACCCATTCTTTGTCACCAAAAGAGGCTTTGCCTGCTGATTGTGATTATTAGGCAAAGGAGGTAGACGATGAACTGGGGTCGGTTGGTAAACTTTAAAAGCAGAAACTTGCTCTGTTTGCTGAGAATTAATAGGTCGAACAGAAGGCCCTGGATCTTGAACCTGCTGCTGCGGGAGCTGGGGAGCAGAAGCAGTAGAAACGGGGGCCCTTCGAAATCGGGCGTGGCCGGTTCGATTGGTCCGACCCAGAAGAGAAATAACTTTCTTGAAGCTGTTGACGGCTGCATCTGTAACAGCCATAATATCATCTGAACCAGAAGGATTATTAGATGATAACTCAGGGTAATACTGCTGCTGTTGCGGTTGATTTTGTTTGAGCAATTTTATGACCTCCTCAACATTCTGGATCCCAGCAGTCGCAGCTTCCCTTACAGCACTTTCTTGCATTTTAGCTGCAAAACTATCAGCAGAATAACCCATCATCAATTCCACAGCCATCTCGTCACCAACATCCAAGATATGTAACTGTAATCTCACAATAGAAAGAGAGAGAGAGACACACAGAATATATAGTAGGAAGGGCTAATAGAAATGGAATAAGATTCAAGAGAGCGAACTTGAAACAGAAGAAAAAGAAAAAGAGAAGCAAAAGAGGAATGTGAAAGATGGCGATAAAAAGGAGGAAGGAGAAGGAAAGGATTCGAGTCAAAACTGATGCCCTCTCATTGAAACCACCTCGGTCACTGACATGCCCCCTTCTGTATTCCTTGCCGTCAAAGGCTTTAGCAAATGGGTACAATCCACGTGGTGAATTTTGTCAGGATATTGACCGCCTCTCTATTTGTGGGGCCCCGGGAGGAGATAGGAACCGGTTGGAGACCGTGTAAAAAAAATGATGGAAGACAGAGATAAGGTCAAAAGGGTTGTGAATAGCCGTTGGATTTGCGACTCTGTAAAATCGGGGAGAGAAAGAAACAAACAAGCTGTGGTTGGAGACAGTGAGGTAGAGTTGACCTTTAACTGCTTTTAATGCAAAAATAAATTTAAAAGAAAAAAAGTTGTATGTAAATATAGTATACTAATTAGAGGTAAGGAAAGAGAGCGTGGGACCCACTGGGTTCCTCTTTAACAGGACAATATTAGCTACGTCAAAGCCTCAGCCCTCGAGTCACATGGGATTCTTTCGTTCTTCAGCGGCAATTGGCTAACCATTTTTCTTTTTGGGCCGTAGAAGAATTTTTTCTTTTTTTTAAATCCAATTTTTAAAATTTTTTACCGTTGATAAATGAAAATTCAACGTTAGGAATAGGATATGTTGCTGGAGTTGAAAGTGGTAATAAAGAGGGTCCACAGGCATGGACCTATGGGCTATGGGTTGGATGCTCTAACAAACAAGTGGACATTTGACAAAGCTTTCGTGTCATTGACAAAGTTGTGGAATAGTACTAAAACAAAGACAAATAAAGCAACCAAACCACAAAAAAGGTAAAGTAATCTGTGCACTACCATTAAAGTCAAACTTTTTTTTATTAGTCTTGATTATTAACAACTACTACTATTAGTTGATCCCTATGTTGTGAAATAAAATTTTCTGAGTAATATTTTAAAAATTTTAATTAAATAATCATTCATAAGAATTCTGGAATTATGAAATAAAAAAAAATAATTAATTAAAATGGCAGCAAATCACGAACAATCAAATTAAGCAATAATTTAACAATACCCCTAAGAAATCTATAAAATAACAAAATAAAACACAAGAAGCACATTAAGTAACAGTTAAAATTTTAGGGGCATTATAGACATTCTAAAAGTTACATCTGTGAATAGTAAACTTAAAAATAAATATACATACGGACAAAGCTAACCAAATATATATACGTGTACATGTATTTATTTATTTGAAATCGCCTGATATTTACATTTTTATTGACATTCCAACCATAGCTGGGAATAATTTAAAAGGATTAATCACGGGAATTGCATTAGCTATAATATTTTTTCTGAATTAAAAATATAATGTAGTAGTGGTGGGTTACAGAGTTAGAGTGCATGGCATGAAGTGTGAATCTCGATCGAACAAACACATGGGAAAGAAAGAAAAAGACTAATACGACCATATACAAGACCCAAGACTTTGCATGAGAAGATAACAGAGAGAAGCGAATAGAAAAATGAAATTAGATGACGTGAAATCTTGGAAATCTTTGACATATGTATAATAATAAAAATAATAATGATGGGTTTTTGAATGGCAACAAAACGAAGAAAAAAATATATATATAATGGGTTTGGCACAATCATATAACACAGAGTCAACCTCCATTTACAAATCTAGCTTTTAACACCCTCCCACGCCCACTAGCTCCATCAACCCTTTATATTTTATTTATTAATCTTCTCTGTTTCATGTTAAAACTTAAAAATGAAAGGTCACTGTAATTCAGTAAACACCGCATACAGTAAGAGATGAACTTTGAAAGTTTCAGAAACTGTTGTTCGAAGGACAAAATTAGCTCTGTAACCAAACAGACTAATCAGAAAAGAATGAAAAAATCCACTAGAAAATGAAAACTCTTACCTCAGTTTTTCTGAAAGAGAAGAGCACATTGTTGGGGTTGCGGACATTATTTGAAAATTGAAATCGACAGAAGGACGGAGTCCAAGTTGTCACAGTGAGGCTGAGCGTTGATAACTAAAAAGATGATTAAAAAAACTGCAAATAACAAAGAGCAAGTGGGGCTGGGAAGGAGACTTAGGAGAGAATCAAGACAGTGAAAATGGAAAAACGTGTAGCTCATTCGGAGAATTTTGAGTACACGTGTCTCTCACAGTTTGTCGTTTACTCAATATAGAATTACCGTCGGATTTTCAATCCAATTTATGAGAAATTCAGGGAGTTGATAACTAAGTGTTATTGTGACTCCCTCCTTACATTTTAAGAGTCAAAAGGAAATTACTTCTCGGTCCTATTTATGTGCACAATTTTAAATTGCACAATAATTAAAAAAAATTAAATAATCTGAATTCTCCAAGTAGTAATGGTTAAAATTTGATTAAAATATGACTACTAATGAAAATAATTAATTTTTTATTAGTAAATAAGAATAAATCAAAAAAACACCTCTTCACAGTTTTTAAAATGAAAGTGAGAGATGAGCTAAAAAAATAAAAATTGCAAAATTTAAAATGTAACTGAAAAATATTAGTATTTTTCTTTCTTTTTTTTTTTTTTTTTTTTTTTTTTTTTTTTTTTTGAATAAGTTGGCTATTTATAACTTGCTAGGAACTTCGTAATTATTGGCAACAGATTAAGTTATCCTCACCTACCCCAACAAACATTATAATATCCACTTCATCTTTAATTATGAAGAAAAAAAAATTAAAAAATAACAATAAGAAAGATAAAAATAAAATTATAATAAATTTTTTTAAAATGATAAAAATAAGTAGAATAAAGAAAAGTAAAATGATGCTAGAGTACAAAATTTCCTTTAAAAAAAAAAAAGGCTTAATCAATTATAGAATTGGGAAATTTATGCTTTCAAGTAAACCATGGACTGTTATGGTAGTTCCGTAATTTATGAAATTATTATCGGAAAACTCATGTGGAGGCCCAATCAGGATAGACGGGCTTGGAAGAATTTTAGGTCCATTAAGATCCAAGGTTGATTTGGAAAGTTTTATATATTCAAGAAACACTTTTTTTGTTATTTTTGTGGATGGCATTTTGAACCTTTTTACTTATAATATACATAAAAACAGTTAGTTAAAGCAATTAATTTGAATGAAACTTGAATTCTTATTAATATTAATGATTGAAGAAATAAAATCAAAAGGATTTCTATTTTGCGTATTAGATGAAATGAGCGGATTAGAATTAGCATTATTCTATGAGATCTGATAGAAAGAAATATACTATCTATTTTTATTTTTCTAGTTGTATGTATAAAGATATAGGGGTGATTTTGAACTTTTTTTTCCAAATTTAAATTATAAACAATGACATTGTAGTTTATATTCAATGATAATGTATAGGGGAATTGTCTCAAAAAATCTGAAAATGTTCCGTAATTTTTAGTGACGAATTCACGTATTTTGAAGACCCTTCTATTAAAAAAAAAAAAATTCTTCTAGAGAGAAAAGCATTGCATTTCCCAATAGGCCCATTTTAAATAAGTTTTTGAATAGTGAAGAAGTGGGCTGGACTTGTTATTGGGTCTATTTCAAAATTCATAGTCCCAATCTCAGCGTCTGTCTCACTCCTGCGTATTTCCGGCCTCTCAATTCAGATAGATGACTGTGCGGTCTCCACCACATGATGCTTTTAAGTGTATCCTTTTACAAATTCCAAATATCCAATTCCATGCATTTGAACTTTTTTTTTTTTTTTTTTTTTAAAAAATTGAATTTAATACTTATTAGTTTTTTTTATTTTTTATTTAATCATAGGAGGTACAAAATATGAAAAAATATTATGGACCACATGCTAGGAAACAACCCTCTCGATTGAATAGCTATAATCGAACTCGTGATAATTTTTATGACGACAATAATCAAAGTCGAAACTTTTCCTTTTACATATTCTCTCGGTAGATATGAAACGACCAACCTCGATAATAGTTATATGTAGATTTCACTTATTAATATTTATTTTTTAAATTCATATTCAGTTTAATTGTCCATAATGGGACTTTGTGTTCTAAAAAAAAAAAAATGGGACTTTGTGACTCAAAATAGCAAAGAATAATATGAATATTTACGTTATCATAAACATTATTAACACCAAAAGATTAATATTGAGAGTAAATAAAAGATGAGTATAAAAAGGGAAATTGTACTGGATGTTGGCTTGACTGTTCTGGTCTACCAGTGATGCAATAAATATCTTTTTAGGAGGATAAGGTTTTTGGACTCGCGAATGGTCGCCAACCGCCCTGTAACTTCCAACTTGAGTGATTGATTAGGTAAATTGCACCACTAAACTCTAAAATATCTGACATCAACCTATACGAATCTCCATATTTGCAGTTAAGCTCAAATCTCAATCACCGCTTATTCAATTTGCAAGTTCGGTAACATCCACGTCGGTTAATGAAATCAGTTCCTTTTTTTGTAAACTGTCACCGCTCTCAGACAAGATCAAGCGGGCCAATTCCTACTGCAAATTGGTCAATAACAAGAATCAAGTGGGGATAGGGTGGGGTCCGCAACTTCACCGGCCCACGGAACCCAAGAAGAGAACAATAGAGAATCTGCAGAAGCTTTTAATATAACCCACTTCAACGGAGGAGATACAGAACAGAACACAGTTCCATGTGAATCTGGACGTAGTTTGAGCTTAGATTTACAGGGATGGGCAAATGGCTCTGAAGCAGAGCTTCAACTGTTTTCGGATCTTTGATGATTCCACTTAATGGGCTGTGGGCCCGCTGCCCCCTCTACATGGCGGCTCATTTAGTGGGTTCGCAAGGGGTTCGATCCCATCATCCTCAGTCCCAGCCCTCACCCATACCTCGCTCTAATAGAAATTTCCTGCTCTTTTTATTTTTCTTCCATTGAGGTGATCTCAGCTCTTTTGAAGTAAGAAGAAGAGATTCAGTTTGGTTATAGGAATATACAGAAACAAATTTCTCAAAAAATAGAATAAAGTAAAAGAATATAGAAAGCATCAAGTTGCTTCTCATAATGGACCCATCTAGATGGAATCTTTGCCTCTATTGTGTTTGCGTCATTGGTAAATGTCTCTATCTCGAAATGATCTCAATCAAAGTTTTTGGAGATAAAGAATAAAATAATAATAATAATATGTTACCATATGATTAATTTCCCTGACATTATATACGTAAGAGAGAGTTAAAACATGTGTAAAATTTCATCCACCAACACTGATTTGATTATACAGAGATTAGCTGATGTCAGGTTAGATGCAATGCATGTAGTAACCACAGGCACTGCTTCCTCCTTTCCTCCACTTGAAGAAATTTTCATGCCAATAGACTGTTTTTTTAACTTTAAAACAAAATAAATAGTAAAAAAAATATTGTTTTTTAATTAATAATGACAATTAATTATCAACTCTCTCGAGTCCTCGACTGGTTTTAAATCCATATATGACAATGCTGTGAAAGCAACGTTAAGACCTCAAAGGTCATTGATGACATAACTTTGAAAGTTCAATATTGCCCCCCTTAAAATAAAATTCCAAGAAGGCTTCAAAAGTCAATAATATTAACTTAGCTCGTCTTGTATTGCCGCTACCATTTTCTTTATTCAAAATTTTGCATCAGTTTCCTTTCTGTCGTGAAAGGAACTGCTTATTGCAAATTTTTTCAACAGTTCCATTACCTACCTTTTGTTTCCCAATATTTGAGAAAGGAATTGTTAATCTAATTATGTAATTAGCGTGAAAATGGCTTAATTACTAATTACTAGAAAGAAAATAACTTAGGCAAGTACACTGCATGTACAACTTACTTAATGGCTAAGCTCAACGGACCGAAATAATATTGCGAGTTGCACAGTAGGACATCATTCCCTTTGAATAATATTCATTAAATTAGTGACAACTTTATGGTGAAGATGACTTAAATTCGAAATATCTCACTTCTTATATCTATAGATGAAGTAGAAAGACTAATCGTACCACAATAATAACGCTAAAAAGATTACATCAGTTTTTTTTTTGTCTATTCTTAACCAATAATAATGTTAAAAAGATTCAAAATCTGAAAGGAATCTATAATATGTTTTAAATGGCCCGTGAAATTCTTTTCAAGCCTTTTGATTTGATGCCTCACGTATGTCATTACCCCCAATTCCTTGTTTGCACGTAAGAAAAATTATGGAAAGTGAAGCTTTGCTAATATCTTCCTTACGGAAAGTAAAAAATCAAATTGAAATGAAAAAATATCAATTAAAAAATCATTTCGCATAATCATGTGGTATTAAATATAAAATTCAGTTTTTTTCCATTAAATAACTTGTAGGAAAATATTTTTTATAATTTTCCGTTGTTTAGGGCGTTCAGAAAAATAAGTGAATGAAAAATTTTTTTTGGTTAAAGAAAATTAAGTCATTTTTAAAGGAAATAACTTTCCATTTGAGAGTAATTTCGTAAATTGGCAAACCCTGTAAATTCATATTTTTTAATTTATTAATTATAATTATAATTACAGTTACTAATAACGATTTTTATCACCGGCGGCTTTCATTTTTTTTTTTTGCTATTTTTATAGTCTTATGAGATAAATATTTTAATATTTTTTACTAATTTTTAATATTGCAACCAAACAATAAAAAATAAGTCATTTAAAAAATATTTTTACTGAATTCCTTAGATTAGATCTTTCACTCTATACGATCATTTCCAAGTTAGATAATAACAAGAAAAAAAAAATATTAATCATTTAAAAACTATTTTTTTAATAAATTATTTTATGAAAATAAACTTAGAATAATTATGATTATGAATATATAATAGTTGGGTGAAAAGTGCCAAAGCCATAGTCTCAAGCAAAGTGAGAAAAGGGCTAAAAGGTCATTATATCTGTTAACTTGGAAGTGTGTGGGACAGAAAATGAAATTGCCTTGCTACGTGTCGAATACGAAAGAATATGAAATACAACCCATTAAACTTTTGTATTTTTATTTATTAATGTATTTGGCCCTTCAATCATAATATCAAACTCCAATTTTAAATAACCAAAAATCAATCAATATTTATAATATTGTCTCTGTCAAATAAGGTAGAGGGCAATAATTTCGTGCTGTGCATATATAATTACTATTCGTAAATTTACTAATCGATATGAGATGTTGGATCGGTAAAAAAAAAGGTGGAAGAAAAAAAAAAGTAAAATGGTTTTGCCTTAATATATATATTTTTTTAAAATAATAAAATTTAAATTCTGAAATATTACTATTCTATATTTTTATTTCCTTCCTATTTTCTATCGAAATTATTGATTTTTTTTTTTTTGAGAATAAAATTATTGATGTTAAAATGGAAATTACTCTCTTTCAAGTTTCAACTTCTTGTATGGGTCCCACTAATTGATAAAATAGCAGTCCCAGTCTTCAACTTGTTTTAGTTCTGTACGGCACCCACATAAAGAAAGGGTGACGTGGTCAATTCAGATTCCCACGTTATTTTAACGGCGATTTGCTTAGCAGAATATATGGAGCTGAGTGAAAAAATAAAAAATAAAAAGCTTTTTTTAGTATGACATAAGAAAATCATATATATAGGATATTTATAGTTTGATTAATTTTTTATAATATTAATTAATATCTTGTACTAATTTATTTTAGCAATTGCAGCCTTTGATCTATTTTTGTCAACGCCAACATTAAGCAGACCATCGCATCCTTAATCATTTTCAAATTACATTAATTATATTACTCTTAATTTAATATTAATTCTCTAAAAAAAATTATTAAACTGAAATAATAATTATTGATTATATGAAATAATAATTATTGATTATATATAAAATAATAACACGAAAAAATATTTAATTTAATATTAATTCTCTAAAAAAAATTATTAAACTGAAATAATAATTATTGATTATATATAAATAATAAACACGAAAAAAATATATTTATTATTTCTTAAAATTATAAATATAACAAGTATCATAAAATAAAAATAGTATATTATTGAAATCAAAATGAAGAACGTCAGAAATAAAATAGTAGAGGGTTACTATTCCACTCCATCCAACCAGTCATAAAAAAAAAAATTCACAAACTTCGAATAGAAACTACAACATAATTTATTAGACGGTAGAATGATGAAGGTCATAATTATTAACAAAAAGAAATTTTATAATACTAATTAATAAAATTAAAAAAATGACCACAATTATAAAAATAATTAAAATTCACGGTTTTTTTTTAAGATGAGCGAAGATTTTATATAGTAGAAAATCTAATCAACGGATGAGCAAGCACCAGTAGGCCTACTTGACAACTCGGTCGACAAATATGTGATGAAAGTGGAATTATATAAAATAAAATATATAAGATAAACATTGATATAATTAAAAAAATTGATGAAAACTGTGAAAAAGGTTTTTATCAGAAATTTTTGTAGTAATTTGGTCTTTTACCAACCTCAGTCAAAGTTTAACGCGCGTGGCAATCACCTCTTATTGCCACCGCTCCTAGTGTCGTGGGAATTGGTCTTTAGCCTCTGCTCTCCAACCAATCAAATCACGTCCATATGGTTGCTTTAGTCTGTGTTTGGTTTCAATTGTCAGCTCCTCCATTAAAGTATCTCTACATTGCGCTCTCCTTCATTTCCAATAATAAATAATAATAATAAAAGGTAATTAATTAATTTCCATTTTTAAGCAAAATAATCTATCTCCTAGATTATATCAATAATACCCATTAAATACAGCCCTCTATTTGCCTTTATAAACCCAGCACCATCCTCCATTTTTCATGCCCTTCATTTCCTTCCAACACAACTAAACAGAAAATGGGCCTCTCTAGACCATCAGCAGCCATGTTTATGCTCTTATTTTTTGCTTTCACCTTGTCCTCAGCCATGGACATGTCGATCATATCCTACGATCAAAGTCATGCCGCCAAATCTAGTTGGAGGACCGATGATGAGGTCATGGCTATATACGAAGAGTGGCTAGAGAAAAACGGCAAGGCTTACAACGCTTTAGGAGAGAAGGAAAGAAGGTTTCAGATTTTCAAAGATAATCTAAGGTTTATCGATGAGCATAACTCGGAGAATCGGGCCTACAAGGTCGCGTTGAACCGGTTTGCTGATATTTCCAACGAAGAGTACCGGTCCTTGTACCTAGGTGCTCAAGCTGGTGTCAGGAGGAACAAGTTGCGTAAATCTAGTGATCGCTACACTCCACGTGTCGGCGAGTCCTTGCCGGATTCTGTTGACTGGAGGAAGGAAGGCGCCGTTGCCGAGGTCAAAGACCAAGGGAGTTGCGGTGAGTTTTGTTGATAATTAATTTTTCAAAATCATTTTTATATATGAGAAACTTCCTGGACCGACCAGGAAACAACTGATAAGTAAAAGAAAGGCGTAATTCTAATTTTACTCGCGATTTACCAGTTTATCCGGTGACTCAGATATACTCTGAATAGCTATCGGAAATAAGCTGTAGGTACCCTTTATGCCGCTGATGGGGCTCTGACTGAGATCTTAGCTTTGATCGGAGGACGCTTTATTGATAAATTTTTTTTCCCTCTTTAATAGAACACCAAATATTTCTTACAGATCATTTATAAATAGAAGAAATAATTCATCAATGACCTTTAATCATATCGGTAATATAATATTTCTGTTGTTTCTTAAGCATAATCATATTGCTACAAACGCCCTCGGGTCACGGCTTTTCCGAGAATTGCTTCGGCTAAGTGGTCAAGAACTATTTAATTATTGTATCAGATGCTTATAATTGCATCTATTTTTAACAAAAAGAATGAACCTTGAAGCTAATTTATTCATATGTCAATGAAATCAATTTTTCTTTTTAAATTAAATTTAAGAAATCTAATTGGATCCATTCCAGTATCTTGCTTAAATATGAAGTTTATCATTTTAGTGGGGAATTACAATTGCAGTTTTGAAAAAGGTGTCATTCTGTGGACCTTCCAAAGAAGATAAAGCTATAAATATCTTTATTACAGTGTAGTGTTGTGACCAGGGAACTTTTATTAAGTGTTTGGGTTTTGGAAGGTTCCCTTTCGGTGGATGGACATCGGCCCCACCCCAATAGTGATATCCCTATGTCAAATGGTTCGTGCAGGCTTGGCTTTCTAGTTCTCTGGGTAAAAACTAAAAAGCACCCATGGGAAATTTCATAACCCGACCATTTAGCAACATATATAGAAAGTGATACCTAGTCTTTCTTATGTGTTAATCAATTATTTCCCATTAAATTATTCTGATAAGCAATAATTAAGAGCTTCATTAGGTACAAGTTTGAAAGAATCTAACTTTTTTTAGTTCAAAAAAAGGGTTTAATATTAGCATTATTTCATTTTTATTTTAAGTTGATTCACATGCTTATGCTGATCTTTGTACGGTTGGTAGTGGCTGTGCACAAAGAAACAATTTAATAATTTGTAATATTCATTTTGATTTAAAGGGAGTTGCTGGGCATTCTCAACAATTTCTGCTGTGGAAGGGATCAACAAGATTGTCACCGGCGACCTGATCTCTCTATCTGAGCAGGAGTTGGTGGATTGTGATACCTCTTATAATCAAGGATGCAATGGAGGTCTGATGGACTATGGCTTTCAATTTATTATCAACAATGGTGGCATTGATACTGAAGAAGATTACCCTTACCTTGCTCGTGATGGCAGATGCGACACATACAGGGTTAGTGTTCATTTGTCTGAAGTAATCGACAACACATGATGGATTATTATTTGCTAATTCTTCTGTCTTGTTTTTTGGCAGAAAAATGCCAAGGTTGTTACAATTGATGATTATGAAGATGTACCTGTTAATAATGAGGAGGCGCTAAAAAAGGCGGTTGCAAATCAGCCAGTGAGTATTGCAATTGAAGCTGGCGGCAGAGAATTCCAGTTTTACTCATCGGTAATAATTTCCTTTCCTTCGTTCTATTATGGATTGTCCAGGATTCAAATGATGATTTTTACAAAAAACTAAAGAATCGGACTTGCTCATTCATATGGTCATTATAATTATTAATGGTGCTGTTTATGCACAGTCTCTTAGTACTGCATTTGTAGCAAAAGTCTTCCCCATGACTGGAGTTTTTCCTTGTTTGAATCTCAATCATGTCAAATTGACAGAATAATAATGCTTTTTTTTACTAGTTTGATACAGCATTTTAATTTTGCTAACTGAACTTCACAGTACTAAACACTAGTTACAAAGAAGAAAGAAATCTTACGGTGTATCTCCTTTTTTGCTTCATCTTTCAGGGTATCTTTACAGGAAAATGTGGAACTTCCCTGGATCATGGTGTTGTTGCCGTTGGTTATGGTACAGAAAATGGTAAAGATTTCTGGATTGTCAGGAACTCATGGGGAAAAAGCTGGGGCGAAGATGGCTACCTCAGGATGGAGAGAAATATTCAGAGTCCAACAGGAAAATGTGGAATTGCAATGGAGGCATCTTATCCAATCAAGAAGGGCCAAAATCCCCCAAATCCTGGCCCTTCTCCCCCATCCCCAGTAAAGCCTCCATCTGTATGTGACAATTATTATAGCTGCCCTGAGGGCAACACTTGTTGCTGCATCTTTGAGTATGGGAACTACTGCTTTGAATGGGGATGTTGCCCACTTGAGGGTGCTACCTGCTGTGAAGACCATTATAGTTGCTGCCCAAAAGAATATCCCGTCTGTAACATTAACCAGGGAACTTGCTTAATGGTAAGAGAATTCCATTTTCTCTATGCTAATATACGTACATTATTCGAAAACAATTTTGCCAAATTTGCTTTTTCTGCCCTGCTAATTTTGAAATTCTGCAACAGAGCAAGGACAATCCATTAGGAGTGAAGGCAATGAGGCGCACTCGTGCCTTGCCTCATTGGGCTCTTGCAAATGGAAGCAAGAAGAGCAGTGCTTAGACAAAAGTTAGGTCGCTGCAGCATGGACAATAGAACAGGAAGGAACAGAAGAATCGGACCAGTGGTTGATTGTCTCCTCCTTGGTTATTGTGAAGCTGCAGCCATTTTCCACCATTAGGATATTGAAAGAAGGATGGTTTACTCAAAAGATTATTTATTTAGATGCTGATTATGTATATAGCTTCCTATTTATCATGTTGCATTTGAAGAACAAATTATATTAATCAGGTTCAATTATCCACTGTAGATATGGCTTTCATGATCTGGTTTCTCATTCCAACTGTACTTGCACTCTGCAATTCATCAAATAACATTTATCTTCTCTTCTGTCCTTCCTCTCTGGAGTATTGAACTGTAATCTTGATGGTATAATCTGAGATGACTAAATGCTATCCCATTTTCCTAACATGTTCGTGGGCCGGGCTTGAAGACCAAATAGTTCTTATGCTGTTTTTTCTCAGGAGTTCTGCAACTCTATTGATCAAAACACGCAGGATTACTCAGCCACATCAAAACGAGATATTTATAAATATGTGGGGTTTCCTTCATAAATAGTAGGTAGGTATTACTTCTCTGCCTCGTTAGATACTTTGCCTCGCTTGGTAAGAAAACTTATTAGCTTTTGTTATGATAACAAGTTACTCACCCATAATAGGTACAGTATTGAGAATTGCCAACTAAATTTCTTTAAATGGATTGATTGATCATCTGAACATTGAAATTCAACGATTGCCTTTTTATTGATTTGAGCAAACTTGCAACCAAATTATGGAAAGGTATTTGTTTGATGAGGTATTTTATTTTTTGGTGACAATATATTAATCGGAAAAGGTGAAAAAAAAAGAGGAAAACATGCAGCATCTACCAAGAAATGCAATTAAAGCTCCACAATTTTCAGTTGTTTGGTGGCGTTCAGGAAAATAAGTCAATGAAAAATATTTTTTTTGATAAAAAGAAAATTAAGTCATTTCTGAAAGAAAATAACTTCCAATTTTTTAGAAAGAAACATTTTCCGGACATTAACTAACCTTATAAATCTTTATTTTTTAATTTATTAATCATCATAGTAGACTAGCACCAGCTACCATTTACCACCGAACAATACCACCGGCCACCACCACCGCCACCGACGGCCACCACCACCGGCCACTGACACCTTTCATAATTTACATTTTTTTTGCATTTTTTTTCGTATTTAAGAATAAAATTTTTAATTTGTAAAATTTTTATTATTATTAATATTTTTTATGGTTATAAGATAAAAGACTTTAATATTTTTAACTAATTTTCAATATTACAATCAAATACCGGAAAATAAGTTATTTAAAAAATATTTTTCAAGGAAAATATTTTCCATGAAAATATTTTTCAGCAAGTTATTTTACGGAAACAAACGGAGCCTAAGTAACCAACGAGATTGGTATGGGTGAAAAAGACTTTCCTCCATTAATATTACAATTTATTAGTATATATATTAAATCTCTTATCTAGTATAACTTTTTTTTTTTTTTTAAATTTTCACGAGTATTTTTCTACGGATTTATTATTTGCAAATAATAAAGTTCATAAATTTATAAAATTTAGAAAAGTTGTTGGGAACAATCCCTAGTGTAAGGTTTTAGATACCAAATGTCGCACCAAACAACGTTGATCCAAAAATCAATCTTCTCTTGTCATTTTCGTCCTCATTTTGATTTTGGGGACCATTGCATATGCGTGAACAATGAAGATGAAGTATTAGCAGCAGCGAGTAGTACCACAAACTCAAAAGGATAGGGATACGCCACACTCTCTTTAACCCCAACAACAATGCCCACCTTCTTCTCAGATGCTCTCGTCATCACTACCACCTCTCTCTGTCTTAATCATAAATTTATATTGTGTTTTCACAACTTTAAATATAACAAACTATTAATCAGGTTATCTCAGTCGATCATTATTCTTCCTTTCTCATAAAAAAGATATTATACTTTCATATCCGCTAATTGTGGGTATTAGAATTGCTAGATATATACACTAATATAGATATTTTTTTCATAAAAATTAGAAAAAAAAAAAAAACATTCGTCATAGTATTAATTGAAGACAACCATTTTCCACATCCACAGATAAGTAAGAGTTATAGTCAGAAATAGTTAGATGGTTGGGCCAATTTGTTATGTTTTAAAGCTGGTGATGCAATGTCATAAAGAGAAAAGACCCGCTTTTAGCCTTTTAGCTAGATTGCATTGAAACACAATTACATAATTAATACCTTTTATTGCTGACTAATAATTTATGAACAAAGGCATAAGCAAATGAGTTGAGGTAAGAACATCATCCAACAACCCAAAACCCAACATTAAACACAATTTAATTTCTCCTAATTAACTGAGGTTTAATCTATTTTCTCCCTCTCTAATATGTCCAAAGCCAACTGCCCTATTTTCTAACTCTAAATTAGGGTTCAGGGAATTGGGTTTTTCTCCATCTAATTGGCAAGAGGATTCCACTTTTGTACTAGCAAGATGACCAAAATTCTCAGCCTTGGCTCTCTGACTTATGCTATTATTATTGTTGGTGTTAATCAGAGTAGTGTCAAGTGCTTGAATGGTAGTACCATAGGAAGGGATAACAGAAGGTAATCTTGATAGCAAAGCTCCAAGACTACAAGACATGGTAGGCAAAAGAGGTGGAATTGACCAAATGGGTGGCCCTGTAATGCCATTTTGTGGACTGTTCAAACCTAAATTAATGGACTTGAGAGGAGAATCATCAAAGCTTTCGTCAAATAATCTCTTTACCCCAGTTATTTGGCGTTTATCATCAACTGAGAAACCTATTTCTTCACTTTCTATCGTCCGGGTATTCGGTTTGAGAATGTATGGATGTTGGATTGGTAGGTACGGTCTTTGCATTGCAAAAACTCCTGGTATGCTTTGGAGATAGCTGAATTTCCTCTGTACATTGATCACCAAATTGAGATCTTCTGCAATCTGGAAAGTTCAAAGACATTGTCTCAGTTAGTGCACAGAATGAGAGAGAGAGAGAGAGTGTGTGTGTGTGGTGAAAAAATACCTTATCAAATGAACCCAATTGAATTATGCCTTCTCTGACTGCAATTATGGCAATTGTCTGGAAATCAAGAAAAGTTATATGGCTTAATTCTTTTTGTATTTCTACTGAATTTCTATTTCTTGTCAATCTTTAATGAGTTAGTGAAATAATAAACCTGAATGCCTGAATTGAACTGAAATTCCCATGCTCTTGGTCGCTGTATGCAGGAAAAATTTATTAAAAATTATGTTACATATATTTGTATTTGATTCAGTTAAAGCAAAAAAATTTGCAATTAATCTCTTACAGGTTCGATAGACATATTCCATGAGGAGATGAAGTTAGGATCACTCTCATTTGGGGTTTCTCTAAACACCCATTTGTGACTGTTATCTGCTGCAACTTTCCCTACTAACCTGCAAGTAAACAGTTGCCATACACTTGACTGTATTTTTTTACCAACAAAAGCTACGATTCCAAAGACTGCAAAATTCTCACCCTTCTCCATAATTATAGACCTCATGAGACATTTTAAAGAAAACATCTGCTCCAAACCTCCCCTTCATATGCCCACTTCCCGCTCTCTCGCATTCAAAGAAATCACAGAACCCATCTTCCCAAACAAGGATCCTGAAAGACAAACAAAAGTAACTTTTAAATCCTTAAGTTAGTTACACATTTATCTTTCTGAGAATAGTATTAAGCTAAATTTTACCAGTTTCTTTTGTTTCCTTTGGATCGATCAAGGGCAGTGCCTCCATAATCCCATCTGCAACAAGGCAATGTGATCCCATAAGCACAAACATAGACATTTGGCGTACATATGAATTTGGACAAAACAACTATATGTCATTAACAAAACCATGCTTCTTGGAATTTTTATAGTGGACAAATAAGAACTGAATTCAAGAATCTTACTTTGGTGGAGGGTAATTTCTAGGAAGTATCCTCCAAAAGACTGCATAAACCCATTTGGAAGAATTAGAAGAATCTGAACATGTACAAAGGCTTCTCAAGGTGTGCTGTAACAGGCAGTTAAGCATGGGAAGTCCACTCGCCATTGGCACAATTCACAAGCACAGAAAGATAGAAAGACACACAGAAAATGAGCTTGCTAAGAGTTGTACTAGAGTCTCATAGGTTAGCCACATTTAATGAAAATGAGAAAAGAATTGGCATACAACTCAAAACCAGGCGCAGGGTATAAGAAAACAGAGTGTAGAGAAGAACACGCTCCAGCTAACTCACTTCACCATGTACTTAAAGGGCGGGACCTATTTAGTTAAGGAGATAATACCCAGTTCAAATCACTTGCTTTATTTCCATTATTGATACACGATAAATGAAGAGTGCGTGTGTGTGTGTTTGCCATTTTCTTGAGCAGACAACTTATCCAAGTTGTAAATAGAACCTTCTCTCTTTTGTTTTTTTATTAAGTTAGTACCACTGTGCTCTTCTGACTTCTAATGCTCTAGATACATTTTTTTTTTCTCTCTCTTTTTTCAGTTTATGTTTTGTTCACTGCCTATCGGCTAATCCTTAAATGCAAAAAATATTTTAAAAAAGGCATAACCAAGAAACGTGCCTTCACTGGCTTTCTGTGCCGGTAGTCTTTGGAGTTATTTTTTCACCATTTTGGCATGGATAAATCCCCTGTAGGTTGTAAAGCATAAAGTTTTTAATCTTCCCAGCAAATGCACTTTTCAGTGATCGAGGACCAACAACTATTGCTTGACCTTGCCAGTTTAAATACCAAAATAAACATCCATCTAATTTAACCTACTTGATTGCTTAAAAGTTGTAAATGGGACAAAACCATTAACAAAATAAACATATTTCTATTTGATTATGATGAGAGCCTTCTTAATCAATGATTAGATCGAACAACAATATATATATATTAATCGTCAAGTTAACTTGTTGAAAGCAAAATATGGTCTACTACTGTTCACATCAAGAAAACATATGAAATAATCCTTAATTCTGAGCCTCGAAAACGCATCAATTAATCGTCATTAGCATAAGATGTCACCATAATAATGTCTTAAAGTGGCAGTGGTCCTCAAAGCTGTATTGATTCCATCTATACACATCAACCAAACATTGCCTTGTCCATGGCCCGCCATGTATGATATAAATACACTCACACAAATACAACTGTTAACACTAGTATCCATCTTTAAAATCACATTAATATTGGCTAAACTAAATCATTGGCGCCTAAGCTGTTCCCTGGCCTTGCAAACTAAATACAAATTTTAGAGACACCATGAAAATAACATTTCCTTGACAGAACGGGCACATACCCCACCATGACAGAGCCTATACGATAAGTTTTCTTGATATTAGGCATGGGGGCTAGATTAATCAAAAGAACCTGTATCATATATTCACACGAATGGCGAAACTATCCACAAAGATCATGACAGGATATGGGTCAAGTTACAGTACTTATGAAGTTCTCATCAACAGGCTTCAAATTGCATACAATTAACCATAAAATGGTACAATAAAGATTTGCATATTTTCCATATAACATTAAAGACTGCCAGATTATCAGAATAGAAAACACCTTCCCTAGTGGCCAGCTCCACCGCTCAGTATCCAAGCATGAAACAGGAAGATTAGTTATTCAGGTATGTTACTGAAGGGCACAAACTGTGGGAACATACTCTCAAGGGATCTATGAATGAAATAAACTTTGCGGTAAATATTCAGTATAACAACTTGCCAACTTGCCCAAGCACCAATTCTCTACTTCAATCAAGGTCAATGATTCAGTTTTTCAACCTGAGAGTACCTACTCTTAGCAGCTGTGCCACCACCAAAAGGAAAAACTTTTCCGTGGAGAAAGCAACACCATACTACTCAAAGGAAAGCAATCTATGGTAAAAAGTGGACTTGCAAAATTATCAACCAGCATCAATAGATTGACAAATAAAGAATCTGGCATTTCTTTTGAAATTTTTGGCGATCAGTAAAATAAGGACACAAATAAAGCAACTGGGAGAGCAACATCATGAATTTGGCCAATACGTCCCCACCACCTTTGACATGCGGTGTTCTATGCTGGTTCATCGGCTGAATTCTCAATTTCCCACCAACACTGCAGCTCTCCCATAGTTGCATAAAGATTTAAATTTCTAAATTAGATACAATATAATTTGTCCAAGCATAAGACAAATCTACTTCATTTCTTATATATTTAGAGAAACCCAATTAGCTGGAGATCAATTTAGCATACATACAAAATTTTAGCATCCAAGTTAACATATATGCCAAAATATAGAGAGACCCACAAAAAATCGCTAGTCAATTCACATTTAATAACCAAAAGGTGATCACACCAACTTATCTCATAGGCCATTAATTCAACAAACACACACACATGCAACATACATGAAAGTTACCGTATAGACATTCAAATTAAAAGAGTTACCAAAGACTTGGTCTTTTTAAATGCACCTTTTACACTGCATTGTAATCACTTAGTTAAAATGAAGCTACCAAGTTCTTAGCATGCTGCCCAAGAGAATGGTGTTATCAACATCTGCATAACAACTACAGAGGAGATTGGTCCAGGTTGAAAAACACATGATAGGGATTTGGTGCCCTGTGGTGGGGCAGGTCTATTGATTGACAGCTACAAATAGTAAGGCAAAAGAGCATGCCATTCTTTCTAAAAGGACATTGCCAAGGGCCTCACCGCCCACAATTATCATTCTCTCCTCATTTCCTTATCTCCTTCTCTTTGGATTGAACATTTCAATAATAACCTTCCATTGGTGCAAACCATTGCACCTTCACCTCATCCGATAGCCATATCTAGTCTTTAGTATTTAATGCCCTACTTTGACTGCATTTCCATGCAGTTAATGTTTTGCACTCTTGTCATTTATTTCAAACTGCCAGAGATTATCTTCAACATATCTGACCAAGATTTCACATGCCGATAGAACTCAACATCAATATAGAGGATGAGATCTGTAACCGTCTAAACATTTTTCCCACTTCAGCTAAAACTAGAGACACAAAGGCTTCAATTGTGTCAGTGGTTCACTAGTGATCATTTCTACACCAAAGAAATAGACATAGACAAACTGAAAGGCAAAATTTTACAGTATGTTGTGACTTGGATTTGCAGTTTATCTCAATACTCAAGTAAATAAGTGGAATAGAACAACTAGGGGTTTTTGATGTGGTAGCGTTCTCTTGTATGTGCATTTTGCAGTTTTTCCCCTCCTTTGGGGTTTCATTTCATTTCCAACCAAAGGAAAAGCTATACAATTAAAGATGATTTAGGCAATGAAGATGAATTATTATTTCCAGGGCCATAGTCCAATTCCTTGACAGACATGTGGATCGGGAACTAAATATAAGCCCATAAACAATTTGTATTGACATCTAGCAAAATTTGCAATCCCTCAAGTTCTATTTCATACAACAAAATAAAAACTAAATTCAAAATATGACAACACTGACATAAACATCGTGCTTCTAGACGACTGAACACCAGATGCATGTAGAAAAGAAATTAACCACACACCATTAGGATGATTCCATGTTCAAACTTTCACTAACAGTATAAAGCATAACAAAAAATCAGATTGCGCAAGCAAAAACTTTGGGTCACTACTGTAAGTAAAATAAATTGCTTAATCAGGAAGATCGAGGAATGGACAATCACCTGCCTGGCCCTATTGTCTAGCTTCAATACAATGGAACTGCTAATAAAAACTAAAGGAAAGGAGAAAATCTACAAAATTCTTCTTTGTTGAAATGCTATGAGTTGATAGTCTTCTAGCAACTTCATCAGCTGGAATTTTATAAAATACAATCTACAATTACCAACAGAATCAGCAACCTTTTTTAAGCTCCTACTGTACTTTTCAGTTCTGTCACTTGCTAATGCTTCATGAGTTGATCAATCAGTTACCCTTTATCACCCATTTCCAGTGAATATGAGCTTTGAGACATCCTATGATGTCAGATAAAAGTACTAAGAAGGCTGAAAAAAATGCTGGTACTTAAGCATTGTACAACTAAATTGCATAAAAAACTCTACCTAACACAAATGTTGAACAACCTTTATAAAAAGCATCCTATACACCATGTGGAACTCAAGCAAAAGGGATAACCCAATCTGTAAAACTAATTATTGCAACACAAAAAATGATATAACTCAATTAATATACCTTAAAGTGAAGGCTTAATGCTGACTCATGCAGCGTCTTTGTTTCTGCTCTAACTTCAAAGTTCAATCCTCACATGATTACTCAGTCCAGCTTTAAATAACTCTGTAACTCAGTGTGAGTGGCTGAGAAGAAACCAGTTCTATCAAACTCCTATCCAAGATATAATGGAAGCTTCAGGATTAACACATCCCATACCCGATCATCCTTATCAAGAATTACCTGTTTCATCAATGAACAATGGAAGCCTACAAAATTTTGGTTATTTACACTAATAAGTGTAATGACCAACAAAAAATGGTAGCTAATCGGCTTCATCATTTATAAACAATATGAGTTCCGATCATTATCATGCAATACCAACAATATAAACATCAGTCGCAGAAAAACAGAACTCAACTGTAAATTCTGCAAGACTATGTTAAGCAATTTTCAATAACACATAACAAAATAATCTAACAACACTAACAGACATCAGTCATCACACATCAACAACTAGATACTAGATTAAACCTAGCTCAACTCTAGAAAACTCACCCTCTATTAGAATTTAGTCATTTTGACACGCGAAAATGACAAAAGATTGAGACTTTTCTTCTAGTTTGCAGCTGTCAGCAGCAACAAAGCAGACAATGTCAATCCCGTTGTTCGACTTCGACCACTGTGTTTAACGGCTTCCAAAATGTGCAGTGACGACTGACCACTTCGTTTAATGGGACCGTTAAACGATTAGAATGATTCTAAATTTCTAATTTAAAATGCAAGTAGAAAAGTGGGATAAGAATCACTAAAATTGTAAATTTTCGTTTTTCTAGTTTGAAAATGGTAGCTACGGACACAGTTCTGCTCCAGACAGGAAAACTTTTCTTACCGGGAGGAAAAGTTTGCATCGAACAGCGAAAATTTTCCCTGTCGTCTATGAAATTCGAGGTAATCTCCTTCAACCGATATTTCTTGTTGTTTAATAAAGCTGCGAGTCATTTGAAATCAGCCGTCCCGTCAAAAAGATGTGTCGTTTAACGAGCTGCTGAAAATGGCGAAGCCGAAGCGATCGTTGAACGACTGCGTTTAATTGCATCGAAAACGCACAGCCAACGGGCCAGTCTTTTGTAAATCAGTCGTAGGCTCAAAATTCAAATTGTGAAAACGGGCTATGCACAAATGGGCCGAAGACACACGACTAGTTTCAGTTGCGGTCTGGTCCAGTACAATTATTATTTACAAGACGGGTCTTTCATTGTGAACATTTTGGAATGATTAATATTTATAAGCTAATTAATTATTTCTTAATATTTATAAAGAGATAAATATTGATGAATTTAAAAAAAAAACAATGGGATATATATATTACCTAATGTATAAAATTGCCTTCTGTGGCACTTAATAGTTACCTGTTAACAGAGATTAAGTTATATGGCTAACATCCCTCAGTTGTTAGATTTTTCTTTTTTTTTTTATTTAGTCTTTTCTGATTACCAAAATATAAAATTATAAATTGATTGACTCGTAACTGGGGGGAGAGAATCGGGAATTACATTAAGACATCCTCCATTGAAGATCAACAGAAAAGAAAACCCTTTGATTCAAGTTTCTATTTTTGCCTGTGTTCTCTATGACTCCATAAATATCCATCCTCCATCGTGTGAATAAAATTTAACAACTGCAAAGTCTGTTCCTTTGGAAAGAACAGTAGCTAGTAGTTTGGTTTTTGGAATTTGATTTAGATCCACATTGATACAGCAGCGGAAAGAACGATGGCGTTTTTAGGGATTGATTTCAGCTGTGCAATCGGATCTCTCCGCCTCGGCAACTTACCAGACAAGGACTGTTTGCTGCCTCTCATCTCCAAACTCCTTGGCTATTGCATCGTGGCTGCCTCCACCACAGTCAAAGTCCCTCAGGTAAAAATTATTCACCTTGATGTCCCCTTCCCTTTGCTAACCAATCGTGCTTCGAATCTTCACTGTTTTTTATTTCTTTTGGAATCATAGATATTGAAAATTTTGAAGCATAGAAGTGTTAGAGGGCTAAGTGTGATCGGGTTTGAGCTCGAAGTTGTTGGTTATACCATAGCTCTGGCATATTGTTTTCACAATGGGCTTCCCTTCTCGGCTTTTGGAGAATTGGCGTTTCTTTTGATACAAGGTTCTTTTTTTTTTTTTTTTTTTTTTTTTTTTTTTTTTTTTTTTTTAAATTGTTTGCACTGCCTCTTAGTACAGGCGGCAATAATAAGTTTCTGTTACTTATTTACCGATGTTCTTATCTGTAATTTTTTTTTTTTTTTTTTTTTTTTTTTTAATGTTCACTGCTCTTAGTACACGGCAATAATAAGTTTCGTTACTTATTTACATGTCTTATTGTATTGATTGTGGGAGCGTATATGGTGGAAAATGAAGTGGAATTAGTGTAGTTCATCTCGCTTGATGCATGTGTAACAATTCCGTTTGTTTAACAGTTTAACAATTGAGTCCAACAATGTTTGTTTGGTATCAAAATGGTTATCAATTTAATGCTAAAATCACTTTTGAACCGAGATTTGCTGGTCTTATGGTTTTTCTTAAGTTCTAGTTGCATTAGACTAATTGACTCAGTTGGACATTTTTATCAGATATGCGTCCTTCATAGCATTAAATTGCATTTTCACAGCAGATGGTGTATTTCTGAAGACCTAACACATTTCCTCTTTTGCTTTTGTCTTGCAGCTATAATTTTGGTTGCTGTTATCTACTACTTTTCACAACCTATGCCTACCCTGACATGGATCAGGCCACTACTGTATCCTGGATGCTTTTTGTTTTGAAAGCACTGACTGTAAAATACACTTAATGTTCTCCTTATGTTAGTGTTTAGATATTGTGCTGTAGCACCAACTGTCTTAGCTGGTCAAATTGATCCGGTTCTGTTTGAAGCTCTCTATGTAAGTATCCAGTTTATGTTTTGGGTGTTTATTGAGATTTACATGGTCTCCTTTCCCTTATTTTTTTTTTATAATTTCAGATTCTCATTCCCTGTAGTATGTTTTTTAAAATATTTGAAGGTTCTATAAAGTTTGCAATGATCTTGCAGGCATCACAGCATGCTATCTTTCTCGTTGCCAGGATTCCACAGATATGGAAAAATTTTTCTGTAAGTCGGAAATTGGAAAAAGTTTTATGCTGTTAAATTTCAGGACATATTGAAAGGTCTCTTCAAATATTTTTAATTGTTTACTTGGTTTTCAGACGGCAATGACTTAAGAATCTACATTGTAAATCACTTTATGTGGAAGGAAAATTTTTTACTTTGTTCTCAAGTAGGAATATATCTCATAGAGCTTTGAACTGAATGCATATACATAATGGAGGCTGGTTTCTTTACTGAATATAAGTTTGGCATGACGGATTTGAATCTGTCTTCTCCTCATATCCACAAGGAGATTTAAGAAAGGGAAGAGCAAACGAGTAATTAGTTCCCTTGTTAGGCCTTTTTGCTTTGTCAAGTGCAGTCTTTTGTCTTTAACATTCTCCCAATGTAACTAATAAAGAGTTGCTCTTTTATGCAGAACAAAAGCACTGGGGAACTCAGCTTTTTAACATGCTTTATGAATTTTGCTGGTTCTATAGGTGAGTTGTTTGGTCAGTCAAACTAGCCTTGGCATACATATAGATATTATATTTTCAACCGTTTCTCTTTTTCTTGCAGTGAGAGTTTTCACCAGCATTCAGGAAAAAGCCCCAACAAGTGGTATCCTTGTCAATTTTCCTTGCATCTTCCTATATATTTGTAGGTTGTTATTTGAATGTTGAAATGCATGCCAATTTTATGAACCACTGTGGGTAGTTAACTAAATTATATAAATTTATGATCCTTGCCATATCCTCCTCCCCATACTCCCCCCCCCCCCCCCCCCCCCCCCCCATGAAACGCACTGTTGGGTAGTTAACTAAATGTATTATAAATTTATGATCCCCTTGCCATGAATCCTCCTTCCCCATACTCCCCCCCCCCCCCCATCTCCCAAAGAAAAAAAAAAAAAAGTACAGTCATGGCCCTTTAATTGGATGTTCATCATAAGGCGAATGGCACTGCATGAAATTATAACTTTTTGTTTTTTTTGGGTCTAAATGTGGGGTCCTTTGGGATCGACAAGCGGGGAAGCTGGTACGAAACTTGTAAGGTTTACATTAGAAGTGTCTTACTTTATTTACAACATTATTGTAACTTAGTGTATAATAGTATGCCTCTCAAGCTAATGTTGTCAAGTGTCTCCATGTTTATTTAAAATGTATTTATTCAAATCAATGCTTTGCTGTAATCCTTTCTGGCCTGAGCATTGCAGTGTTTATTCCTCGGTTACTTTTCCCGTTAAATTCTTTTTGAGTTGTTTTTGGGCTCTGCTAGTTGGTGTCATGTACGCAATGGCACCATGTCCTCAGCCAGGAATTATTATTATACGAAAAGTCCCAAGAAGTCTAGAAAAAAGAAGGAGAGGAAACAGAAAATGAGAAGAAAGACCAGGTGCGATAACGTAAGCTTTACTTTCAGATTGAAAAGTTGCGAAGGATGGGTGCACGGGCAGTTGACTGATTGCTTCCAATGTTTAAAGTAAGGTGGTCGGATGCGCATCTTGTCCCCATTGAAGAAGAGAATACAAAAAGAAGGTGACTCCCGTTTATATTAGTTTTGTGGGACCAGCGTTGTGTTTTTTTTTTTTTTTGGGTCTAATGTGTCTGGGATCACAACGGGGAACTGTACAAACTTGTAAGGTTTACATTAGAATGATCTTACTTTATTTACACATTATTTACTAGTTAAATATATGCCTCTCAAGCTAATTTTCTCCATGTTATTTAAATTATTATTCATCAATCATTTGCTGTATCCTTTCTGAGCATTGCATGTTTATCCGGTTACTTTTCCTTAATTCTTTTTAGTTGTTTTGGGCTCTGCTATTGGTGTCATGACCAATGGCACCATTCTCAGCCAGATATTATTATACCGAAAGTCAGAAGCTAGAAAAGAGAGGAAAGAAAAATGAAAGAAGACCAGGTCATAACTAGCTTTACTTCAATTGAAGGTTCAAGGATGGGTGCACGGGCATTGACTTTGATTGCTTCAATGTTTAAAGTAAAGGTGCGATCATCTTTCCATTAAGAAGAGATACAAAAAGAAGTGACTCCCGTTTATATTAGTTTTTGTGGACCAGCTTGTTTGAGTCATGAATTATGAATGCATGAAATCCCATTCTTAGTCCTTGTCATTGACTTGTTATGTAGTCTTCTTATCTGTGCCATTGAAGCTTAGCGCAGAGTTCTGTTTCTAGAGATACATTGTAGTTCATGATTTACAGTTTACCAATGGTGATACTTTAGTCAGTCAAATACAATGTTCGTTAGTTTTATGATAAAATCGAAATTGGTTTTAGGATTTATAAATGCATTTTCAGTTTCATTTTATTATGCGTAAAACAAAATCAAAAAAATCCTTTACTCCAAATTTTTTGAGTAATTCTTTTTTGGTACATTGCTTGATGAATTCTTCGAATGTTATGTGAGTGATCGAAGGGTTTTTTAAGTAGTGGCAGTGGTCACCCAAATGGCTTGTCAAGTGAGTAATTACAATTCGGCCTAAAACAGAAATTGGGACAGTTTAGATACTCACTCCGTTAACAAACATAGATGTAGTTATATAAATGTTTATTAAAAATGTTTTTTGCAAGTTAATTTAGGAAGTAATTATATTAAATGTTTTACTTTAATTTAAATACCCTTTTATCTTAAATCATTTATTTGATTAAGAATAATTTTAGAAAGTTATAAAATCAATTAATGTGTTTAATAGGTATGAGGATAAAATTTTTAAAAAATCATTAATTACTTTTTAATATTGTGAAAAAGTGATGAATATTTGTATTTTATATTAACAAAGTATCACTCTCTCCATTGACCAACTGTAATTTTCTTAATTTTTGCGGTTTCATCACTGAGACTATATATTTGGAGAGAGTGGAAATATGAAAGGAAAAAAAAAATTAAAGAAATTACTATTCTCTTATTTGAGAAAAGAAGAGGAACAAAATTTTCTCCTTAATTGGAGGGAAAATAGAAAAAAATATATATATAACGAGTAATAATTATGTTCTTCTGCAAATTATATATGTAACCTTTTTTTTTTTCCTTTATCCTTTATTTTCTTCCCTCTTTAATCTAAAACCCCTAATGGTCAACGGAAAAACAACTCACATCTCCGGCCAATTCCTATTACAACTTACTAGCGTTCATGTTTTCGCACCCATATAATATTAGAATGCTCAATCACCATCTTGTCTCGTGGAAAGAGCTGATAATAATTGAATTGTTAGGTTGATATCATCTCCAAGTCGCGCCACAGTTGAAATTGTTCTCAGGACAGAAATTAGCAGCAGAATCGATAGTTACATTACATCAGTACCTAATTCAAAGACTATAGACCAACAACCTCTATGATTAGCAATAACAAAACAAATGTGCTTTCAAATGCAAAAATGACATTTTCCTTTGTAGCCCTAAAGTAGACATTGTACTACGTTGCTTGGTTGATGAAGAAAGCTGAACCACTACCATCTTCTTAATCCATCCGACGAGTTTATGCATATTGCACAGCAGATGGTATTTTACATTGAAGTCTGAAAGTGCACAGCTTGTTTGTCACCTGTTAATGCACCTTAAAAAAGAAAAAGAAAAAGAAAAAGAAAAATACAGAAGTTTCTGGAAGCCAAGACATGTGATATCCAACCGCAATTAATGGACATTGTACCAGTAGGCAGTGGCAAGATGTATACGTAAATGAAGCAACCTTAATCATGCAACTTTCCAGCTTACCCCAAAAGTAAAACCCAATAGTGCATAGCGCCAACCAAATTTCTCAACCAGTTGGGAGTTTTCAGTTCATTTGACACGAACCAAAATGATGATATCTTCAAAGCTACCTACTTGCACAATATAGTAGAAGTTCGACATTCTTTCACTTCACTGCATATAATTAGACTACAAAATCAACCCCCGCCTGGGTCGCCAATCCTGAACAACTGGCAGTTAGCTTGAGGCATACTCTCTTAAGATTATTTCATTCAATGAGCTTAATAAGCTGAACTCGAACTATTTATTATGCTCATTTAATAAACATGTAAAGTTCAATCTTTTGAATAAGACTCGTGAGTCAACTTGGTAGTGAAGAGCTCGCATAGTAATTCAATAAACGTGGATCGTGCATTGCAGAACTTGCTTAATAAACACAAAAACCAAAATGAGTTGCTGCAAGTAGAACTTTTCTGACAATGAAGATTCAATTGAAAAGGCAATAAACAACACGCCAATATTAAATTCAGGACATCAAATATGGAATCAGATACAATTCAAAATAATGCAAACAGAGAAAGACCAATGACCGTTTTGGGGCTCTGCAACTATTAATCTTTAGTTTAATTAACTTCGAGAACTGCTATTACCACTTGACCACCTCCTCAAAGTGCAAGCCACTAAACTTCTCCCGCTGAAAAGGCCTAACCTTGCTTTGAAAGATGTTGATCGTCCAGTACTTGACCCAATAGGTGGCACCGGTATTTGGCTAGGCACTGGAGGAAATTCAACTCCGTTTTCCTGTGCCCCACCATCACTAGCACTTGCATCCTGATGCTCAGCTTCGCCGCTATCTAAATTCACAGCTAGCGATCCCCTACTCGATCTTAACCAATCAGCACCCTCACAAGTTACCCCGCGACACTTCTTCACCTTGACTTTAACCAAATTTGGACATCCACTAGCAAGAGCTTCCATTCCATGATCTGAGACGGGGCAACTTTTAATACAAAGTTTTTTCAACGCTATACATTTGGCTGCAATACATGAAATCTCTGCATCGCCGACAGTATCGCTGCCACAGAGTGCTAATCGCTCTAGATTTTGGCAATTTGAAGCTAACGTTTCTAAGCTATTCTTGGTAGGATTGACTCCAATTAGGACCAGTTCTTGCAAATTAGGGCAATTTTTCGCAACTGCTATTAGTCCCTCATCGCCTATTCGATTGGCCTTCCATCCATCAATATGAAGCTTTCTTAGAAGCCTACAACGCTCTGCTACGGAAACTAGGCCTAAATTGGTACACTCGGGGGTCTTGACAAGGTGCAATATCTCCAGATCCAAACAATTAGAGATTGCCGCGAGGCCAACATCACTTACCTGGATTCTCTCGAGATGGATCTCCAGCATTCCCGTGACCCGATCCGCAATCACTTGAAGAAGCTTGTCCCAATCACCAGAGCATCTGAAAAGTTTCAAAGTTCTGAGATTCTTTGACCCAATTATAAGCGGACCAAAACACTGTCCATTATAAAGCTCCTTTAAGCATATTGTTTTGAGCGAAGATGCCGCCAAACCTGGTCCAATAGGCTCAGCGGCGGCTCCATCGGTGATTCCGCGAAGACGCTTCACTGACAACTCTTCAAGCGATGCACAGTTATCGAGGACGGCATTCATACCTTTGGCTCCAAACGTGCACGATCCACACGAGAGCTTCTTCAAACCTCTGCAATTCTTGGCAAAAGCTGACATGCCGGCATCGGTAACATCACGGCAAGAACGGAGCTTAAGGCGCGTGAGGTTCCGACATCGGGCTGAGATCGCTTCAAGCGCTTCATCGCCTATACTGGCAGATCTACGGTCACATTTGAGTGCGAGTTTGGTCACAGCGTCGAAGCGAGAGAAGAGTTTCGGTATTATAGGCAGGAGATCTGATTGAGCGTTGAGAGAGAGCCGGTGGCGACTCTGTCCCTCGATTAGCAGCCACCGGCGACATACCAAAGAGCAACGTTTGCGGTCTCCAGAGCTAAGAGACTGGAAAATGCAAGCCAGACATTCGTCAGGCAGATCGGAGATATAATCGGGCGCTCCATCGATGAGTCCGTGTTCACTTGGTTCTTCAGCTTGCATAGGAGAAATCAGGGCCGTTGATTTGGCTTTGGACCTGTGGTTGTGGTTAGATTCGCGGCGGCTCAACACTGCGGCCGTCGAAGATGACTGGCCCATCCAAGATGACTTGGAGAAAATCAACGGTAACGATTTGCAAACCGATGTTTCAACTTGTCTTCGTGGCAACACCTGTATTTGAGCTCGGAGCCGCTCTTTTTACACAGAGAGACGTTGATTAGTCTTTCTTCTTCGAGATGTTCAGAGACGGACCTGAAACCGGATTTCATTTCCCCTTTTTGCCCTTTTTCGGGAGTTCTGTTTTCCTTTTCTCTGTCTTTTGAATAGAATAGTCTGCCTATTCTGAGTTAATATATAGAGAGAGCGTTCTCACGTGCTTACCATGGATATCCTCTTTAACTTTTCTTTATCCGCCCTTGGATTTTGAGATTTTCTACGAACGGCTCATAAATAGTCATTCTTGATCTGGACAGGATGAAACTTACAATTAACGTATGGTATCGTTTTCGTGCACCATTATTTTAACTTCAACGATAAACAATTTTTGATCTCTCCATTTCTTCCACGAAATCTTTGTGGATAGTCCTTATTATTATAAATAGCTCTACACGGTTAATTATCATCACGGGTCCTAATTATGACGATTTTTCTTTTCTTTTTTTTTTTTGGTACGAGCTGAATTTTTTCTTGCTCTTTGATTTATTTTTCACTGTGTTAAAGACTCAGATTTTTAATTTTTAATTTTTAGATAAAATTGAAATTTTAAATGGCAGAAAAACTGACCTAATAAGCTTAATTATAATTTTTGTTTATTTTTTTCTAATTCACCCTTGTAATTTTTTCTTAAACTATAAATATGAAATATCTAAATTTTGATCAGTTGTCTATTTATAGGAAGTAGAATAACAAATAGTAAAGTAATTCAAAAAAAAAAGGAGGGTAGAATCATAATTTAGAATAAATGTAAAAAAAAATTATTTTTATGAGATAAAGAGGATAGTAGTTACAAATTTGAATTTCAATTATTTGTTACCAATAAAATATGAAATTATTGATATCCCCATAAAGAAGATAAATTTCAATTTTAAAAAGACAAATGAATTTTGAATTCCTTAATCAAACATTATATAGTCTCCACTCTCCACTACAAATCTTGAGTTTTCTCCGCTTTAATCACATCATTTTATTCTTATACGGAGTAAAATTTTTCAAATTAAAAAAAAAAAAACATAATATTTATATTGTTTATGGAAATAGTTAAAAATTTGCATTATTTGAATTAATGATTTTAAAGAAGGCGTTATTTTAGTTATAACCCATTGTTGTTTTTTGGGCTGTATTATCCAACTAAAGTTTCGTATTTTAAAATACCAAATGACAATATTATTATATGTTTTTTCCTTTAAAATACAAATAACAAAAAGTGAGAATATTACAACAATAAAACATTAAAAAATTTAAAACAAAAATTAAATCAAATAGATAATGAAGATTCTATTTAATCCCTTTGTTATACCAAAATCCACTAATCAAGATTTGTAAATTTTAAAATTTATTTATTGGTGTCTCAATTTTATTATTATTTTATCAAGTTCATTAGATAGAATTTAGGTAATCTTTTTTTTTTTTTTTTTGTTGGTCAACTGAAACTTGGTTGAATAATCCTAAAATATAATTACCATCCCCCTTGCATTTCATTTGACCGTTAATTTCGTTTCTTGATAAAATTAAAAATTTACTTAAAATTCAAAAAATGAACAGAAGCAAATTAAAAATCAAAGCACTTGAATTTTCCCCAAAAAAAAAAAAAAAAAAATCAAAAGCACTTCGTATGTAATACAGGAAAGTGTCCTACATAACAAAATAGACACCTTATTTCCAAGGCCCAAACCCACAGTTGATGAAGTGGGCCTAACGGTAAACTTATTTGCACTACTGACCCAGCCACAATCCCACACAACCAACCGTACCTGGCTGCATGCGTCTCTCAGTCTCGACACTAGATCACTCGAAACGCAATGGCCGAACCTGTACTTCTGCGGGGCATTAAGCTCGTTCGCCTCCACCATAACCACCACCGCCTTGCAGTCCGAATTCTCTCGCCGTTTCATCAGTCCTGGTGCTCTGCGGCTGATGCTACCCGGCTTGATGAGGAAGTAACCACTGCGGACAAGAGCACGGGGGAGTTGAGCGCGCGGAAACCGCCCAAGTACTCAAAATGGGATGATCCTGATTACAGGAAGTGGATAGAGGAGGAGAATGAGATTCTGACAGATATAGGGCCTATTACTTATCTCACCAAAGAAATTCTTCACACTGACAGGTATAACCAAAATTTCAATAGCGGTAAAAATATTCCATTCACATGTTTTCAGCTTTCCTTGCTTAGTTTCATGTACTTGTGTGTTTTCTGCTGAGTTGAATGCTTAGAGGTCCTTCAGTTTGATGACCATTTGCATTTCTTATTACATTTTCTGTGTCAAACTCGCAATTTTAGCCAAAAATATCTGTGTAAGACTTGTCCGGCACAGCAATGAGGGTTAAGATTGCCTTTGAGGTGATGGTTTCAGGTTGGCATTTCTCAAGCGACTTTGTGACAGGTTGACAGGGACAGCTAGCACTCATGGTGTACAACTCAGTTTGATTCCACTTGACTTTTGTGGTTCTTTGCTTTTGAATTTGCCCATTTCAGGCCTTGTTTGAGTTTTCCCTATTGGTGCTTCCAATTTTTAACTGAAGTGAAGCGCCAGAACAATAATGGTATCAGATTTTGTTGGTTTTCTTCACATGCTACGGTTGCTACCCTTACTTGGTGGGTTTTTGGTCTACATGTCTTCTGATATAAATTGGTAGATAAAATATTTTGACTGGTGCTAGCCTCATTTATCGTTGTCACCTAGAACTACATTCGTCATTATTCTTTGTTCTGCCTTATTTCCTTTCTATCTATTAGTAGAGTAGAATGCGTTTGTGTAGAATTTAACTCATTTCCGATGGTCTTGTCATTGTGCGTGTTTGAATGCTATGTTGTATGAACGCATGAGGTGATAACAGATAGCTATTTGTCTATTTCTGTTATTGTATGAGAAAACTAATTGGCCATGTAATTTGTTGTTTGGCAAGGTTGATCGCCATCCCCGATTTATATAATTCAAGATGCCTGTTTGTGGTGAGAACTGATGGTGGATGATAGACCTTTCCTATCATGAGTGCCTGTGAAAATACATTCGAGATAAGTATCCAAAGTATGCAGAAAGATTTATTCGATAATATTTTAAGCGTGGCAAATTCTATTTATAAATATTTGCATATGGGCAGAGAAATAGTTGCAGACTATACAGTACACAGTTCTTGGCAGTGCATGCCAAATTGCCAATTGCCAAATGACCTTCTACCAATTCATGTTATTGATCGATCATATAATTCTTTGTCTGAGCTTGAAACTTCACTGTTCTAACAGTTACTGTTAGAATTCTAAGATATATCGATGATCAAGTTGGTTTGATAACCGGTCCAATTTTAAAAACATTTAATTAGCCTATATTTTGTGACTCAAAAAAGCGTTTGATATATATTTAAATACTGAGGCTATATTTGGAGTTCTATAATGAAACATACTTCAGATACGTTATTGATAAATTTGTTATATACACTTAGGCTATATCTAGCGTATATAATATTTGTATTGTTTGTGGAAATAGTTTCAGAATTGCATTATTTGAATTAATAATTTGAAAGAGTGTGTCCTTTTAGTTATAACCCCTTGTTTTTGTGGGTTTTATTATCCAACGAAGTTTCATATTTTAAAATACCAAATAACAATATTATTATATGTTTTTTCTTTTAAATACACATAACAAAAGTGAAAATATTACAACAATAAAACATTAACAAATTTAAAACAAACATTATGTCAAATAGATAATGAAGATTTCTATTTAATCCCTTTGTTATAGCAAAATCCGCTGATCAAGATATGTAATTTTTAAAATTTATTTATTGGTGTCTCAATTTTATTATTATTATTTTATCAAGTTCATTAGTTGGAATTTAGGTAATCTTTTTCTTTTTCTTTTTCGGTCAACTGAAATTGGTTTAATAATTCTAAAATATGATTATCATCCACCCTTGCATTTCATTTGACCGTTAATTTTTTTTTCTTGGTAAAATTAAAAAAACATTACTTAAAAATCGGAAAATGAACAGAAGCAAATTAAAAATCAAAGCATTTCCTATGTAATACAGTAAAATGTCCTAAATAATTGACATCTTGCTTCCAAGGCTCAAACCCACAGCTGATGAAGTGGGCCTAAAGGCAAACTAACTCGCAATACCGACCCAGCCATAAACCCGCACAACCAACCATACTGGCTGCACCTCTCATTCTTAACACTGGAGCACTCGAAACGCAATGGCCGCACCTCTACTCCTGCGGGGCATTCCGCTCCTTCGCCTCCGCCATAACCACCACCGCCTTGCTGTCCGAATCCTCTCGCCACTTCGGCAGTCCTGGTGCTCTGCGGCTGATTCTACCCGGCTTGACGAGGAAGTAACCACTGCGGAAAAGAGCACTGCAGTGTTGAGCGCGCGGGATCCGTCCAACTATCCAATATGGGATGATCCTGATTACAGGAAGTGGAAAGATAAGGAGGATGAGATTCTGAGAGATATAGAGCCCATTACTTGTCTCACCAAAGAAATTCTTCACTCTGACAGGTATCTACACTCTACACTGCGATTCAGTTTATAACCAAAATTTCAATGGCGGTGAAAATATTCCATTCGCATGTTTCAGATTTCCCTGCTTAGTTTCAAGTACTTGTGTGTTTTCTGCTGAGTTGAATGCTTAGAGGTCCTTCAGTTTGATAGTCATTTTCTCAGTGGTCTTATGCCAGTTCAAGGTCTATGAAAATATAGTTGTCATGTTCTCTCTAATTGAGCAACTTACCGTTCTAGCCACTTTGTAGAGTTGATAATTTATCTTTAACTTGTTTACTTAAGCCTGCCAAATGCTTAACATTACTAGAGAATTGGATATTTTTGCTAGTTATTATTGTAATCAATCAATTATGTCATTAGTCCATTCTCTTCATAGCCACAGAAATGTAAGAAAGAAATGATAAGCAGGCATTTTAGCCATTGAAAGCAGAAATGGTAAGAAATGACAAACCAGAGGGATAGCAAGTGTCTGTGGAGAGAAACTGGGGTGAAAAATTCTCGCTATTAATATTTTAAACTCACAACAGAATGAATGAAATTTTGGGATCATCAATTACATGCCTGTAATACCTTTTTTAGGAGCTCGGTAAGATCTTTGATCCTGTAATCAGGCTTTTTTTTTTTTGTGTTCAAAAAGTGCAAAGAAAGTTATTCCCATTTGCTGATGTTGTTATCAAAGCCCAATCCCAAGTACAATTAAAATGAAGATTTTACTTCAAGCTTTTGGAGCTTCATTCAATTTCTCATATCAGTCATCTAATGGTCTTGATCCGTATGCATAGACCTGTACTAGTAGCCGCATATGATTGGGTCATCTGATCTTTGAATTTGTTATATTGTCTGTTTAGCTTTTAATTGATACTATAAATATTTAAGATGGCTGGGAAGACTCATTTCCATATGACTGATTCTCTTGCTCGCAGGTATTTGGATGGAGAACGTCTAACAGCTGACGATGAGAAGCTTGTGGTAGAGAAGCTTCTCACTTATCATCCAAATTCTGAAGATAAAATTGGAAGTGGTCTTGACTCAATAATGGTAAGCATCAGTTTGCATTTATTGTATAGTAGTCCTCTGTGGTCTTGACTCATGCTGCTTCACTTTGTTTACAAATAATTTTAGGTCAATATGCAAACTGGATGAAGATAAGATGTCCAAATGTTGTCTTCTCCAATTAGAACTCTGGGTAGTTGTAGTTTACCATTTATCATTGTGATTGCCTTTTGACCTTTAAGTCCTTAGTGTATATTCTTGGTTCTCTTTGAGTTGGTCACAAATGGGGGGGGCAAATTTGCCTGCCCCAGGGGATATCTACCACTTCTGTTAAAACGGTACAGGGGCAGATAATGAATTTAGAACCTGAAATAAGTTCTGGTCAGAGTAGTTAATGGGATATGCATCCCAAACCTGATTATATATAGTTATTTACATTGATCAATATCTTAGTTTATCATTTTCTTGAAAAGAAAGTTTACATACTATTGATTGATTAAAGATTAACGGTAATTAAGTATGAATTTAACCTTAGAGATGGCAATGCATAAAGTGTTGTTTTTTGAAGAAAAATAAAAAGAGAAAAGGAGACAAGTACTACCTGTCCTTGGCCTGCCTCACTCTAAAATTCTATGAAACATAAATTAATTAGAATTCAGGCAATCAAATGATTTGAAGAATCAACCATCTCCATATTATCCAGCTTAAAATTAGGAAACAGCTCAAATTATGCAAAGAAATTTTGGTGAACAAGTAAAATTTCTGAATTTCAATTTTCCATAATACATGACTTATGAGCACAAAAATTGTAAGGTAATGGAATTGAATGGGTGTGGCAGTGTGAAGAGAAATGTAGTCCTTGCTCATTGCTTGGTGGTGTCCATACCAACCCTGTTGTCTTCGCAATAGTATGGCTCATTATTTATAATTTTCAATTCATGGTGAAAGGTTTCATCAATGGATTGATTTTATCATAATTCATCTAAACAAATCATTGATTTTTTTTTTTATTCTTATTTTTCTTTAATTTTATGATCTAAATTTAATATTCCAATGCAAGCAGAAATATTAGTAAAAGAAACAAGCAAAAGCCCAAATCACCTTTTAGTTGATTGCAATTGCCATCATAATAGGCACACATTTTAGCCAGAAAAACTGGCTTGGACTACAATTTTTACTAACAGTTAGCTTTTGACTGGTGTTGACAATTATAGAAGTAGCACCCACAATTGGACAACATAATAGTCGATTTTTTTGGATGTTATCCCAAATTGCTATTTTTCTATTAATTTTTTCCTGATCCCCTAATAGGATATATCATACAATATACATTTTATATTTGCATATTGAACAAAGGCAACTGCCAATAAAGTGCATATGTGAGAAAACTCTTGCTTCTATTTGATGTGTTTGAATATTAAATGCTCTGCAAACTATTCTTGAGAGCAAGAACACGACTTTTTAAATTGAACCTATTTCTGTGTTTTCTTCCTAATCTACAATCATGTAAAACGGCAGATTGTTCTCGTATGCAGAATTTCTTGTGGGCTACATAGTATGATTTGCCTTTCTTATTACATTTGCTGTGTCAAACTCGTAATTTTAGCCAAAAATCATCTGTGTAAGACTTGTCCGGCACAGCAGTGAGGGTTAAGATTGCCTTCGAGTTGATGATTTCTGGTTGGCATTTCTCTAGTGACTGTGTGACAGGTTGACTGGGACAGCTAGACTCATGGTGTACAACTCAGTTTGATTCCACTTAGTTGACTTTTGTGGTTCTTTGTTTTTGAATTGGCCCATTTTCAGTCTCGTTTGAGTTTTCCCTTTCGGTGCTTCCAATTTTTAACTGAAGTGAAGTGCCAGAACAATAATGCTATTAGATATTGTCGGTTTTCTTCACATGCTACCCTTCCTTGGGAGAGCTGGTGGGTTTTTGGCCCACATGTCTTCTGATATAAATTGGTAGATAAAATCTTTTGACTGGTGCTAGCCTCATTTATCTTGTCACATGGAACTATATTCGTCATTATTCTCTGATCTGCCTTATTTCCTTTCTATTTATTAGTAGAATGCATTTGTGTGAACAAAGCTGGTAAATGACTTTGTTGCCACTTAAATTTAAATTCCAGCTGTTACCATTAGAATTTAACTCATTTCCAATGGTCTTGTCGTGCATTTGAATGCTATATTGTATGAACACATGAGGTGGTAACAGATACCTATTTGTCTATTTCTGTTAGTGTATGAGAAAACAAATTGGCCATGTAACTTTTTTTATTTTTTGGTAAGGTTGATCGCCATCCCCAATTTAGACATTCAAGATGCCTGTTTGTGGTGAGAACTGACGGTGGATGGATAGACTTTTCCTATCAGAAGTGCCTGCGAGCATACATTCGAGATAAGTATCCAACGTACGCAGAAAGATTTATTCGAGAACATTTTAAGCGTGGCAGTGGTTAATGCCATTTGAATTCAGTTAAAATTTTGGGACTGCCAGAGATGATGGTAACACAAATGTTATAAACATTTGCAATGCGCAGAGAAATGTCTGTTGGTCTGATGACCTATATTACATACGTCCTAGATCTTTATCAAATTGTCAATATAGTAGATAATCCTTGACTATCACTTCTAAGTTTTGTTTGCTAATGAGGACAAAAGAAAATGATTGAAAGTGGAATTCTACTTTGTTGACTTGCAACTCTTTTTGTTGGATTGAATAAATCTTTTCCAAAATCCCAGGACCCCCATTTTGCTTGTTTGTGGAAACATGAGATTAGTAGATTGTTTTTTGTCGAATATGTCAAGAGCTCGTTCACACGCCATTATAACTTAAGACGTCTACTACTGAAAACTGAAAAGGCCATTGTAATAGTCAACAAATATCTAATTTTATGTTTCTCAGGTTTTAAGGATTTGCCTGTCGGGATGCCTTCCAAGTTAGTTTAGTTCTTTTAATAGTCTAAAAGCGTCGCATCAGATAGTTATATATAAAAAAAAAAAAGTCTTTCGTTGCCTATAACAAGAAGACTGGACAGCCGGAAGCACCAGAACCCTACTCCTCTTGGCTGTTGCTCAAGTAAATAGTAGTAAAGCCTGTGATCTTTTAACCAAGCAGCGGATCTGCTGTCTTCAAGACTTTGTGTCTTGCAGTGGTAGGGAACTCAGGACACTGGAGAGTCAAAAGAGTCAAGGCCAGCTGGAGCAAGGGTGTTTTGGGCAGTTCCTTGTTTTTGTGACCTTCTATTGGTCAAAACGATTCGCAGCTATCATTGGTCGACTTTTAAATAAGTACACAGTGTGGTTGATTCACTAGACATTGGTCTCTCTTTTCTGTAGGTTGGCTTTGAGTTGTCAAAGCACGCGCAGTAAAGAAAACGCCATCAAGTAGCAAGTTCTTCTTGGCAGCGCATGCCAAATTGTCAAAATAACCTACTACCAATTCATGTTATTGATCAATCACATAATTCTCTGTCTGAGCTTTAAACTTTACTGTTTAACAGTTAATGTTAAAATTCTAAGATAGATATCGAAACTGCTAGACTTAACTGTTCGAACTGCGAGAAGAGAAATGTAGTTTGATAGAACCTACTTTCTTTATGGCATCCTCTAATGAACTGTAAATATCACCGGACACAAGAATTGAAGAGTCTGAATGGCTCTGTTTGATCCCAAACTCGACGGCTAGAATCATAATGAATCCATGAGGACGTCGAGAAAAAAGAAGTGGGGTAAATCCTACACACAATATTAGTTATGAGACGAAGGTAAGTAATTAAAAGGTCAACTCCTCGTTATCATATATTACTACAATTTACCACCTTATCATCTCTAAGTAGTTACCATACCATGCATCAGCAATGAAAACGTTGTACCTGTAAGGTCTGTGCTATGATTACGGGAAAAACATGATCATTAGACAGTGACTATATGAAAGTGGGGTCCTTCACCCAGCTGGACCAAAGAAAAACCATGCGGGCCCTCACACAATAGTCCATCACCTATGATGAGCTTTCCCAACAAAGGCCAAGAAAGATTATCAAGGTCTTACTTGATTGAAGGGTTGTGATCCTTTTATAGGTTGGTCCCACCAAGCTAAAACAGTAGTAGGATGGAGGCTGAGGCTAAGTCAGTGTTTGTGCAGTAGGGGATTATTATGGAGTAGAGTTGAAGAGTTCCAATAAAGGGTGAGTTTGCTTTCTGTTGTTTCTATGTTTTGTGATTAAAATGCAAGTATGTCACACCTTTCTGATTCTGAATCAAGAAGAGAGTGGCATTTGACCAGAATGATGAAACATCTCTTATGTTCTTAGAAACTAGAGATTATAAAATTCTGAAATGATCATGTAAAAGGAAAAGAAACAACAAGAAAGGATCAAATCCCTTTTAAATTATCTGTTATAGACTTCATATATAGTATGCAGAAACAGTAGCAGTAGCAATTGAGATATTTTTTAAGTTTTTAACTATTATGTGAAGTGAACTGGAAACCAACACAACCACCACCATCACCACCACCTCATATTTTTCCAAATTCTCCCTCCATTGATTTTATCCACCTGCTCGCACCATTACTTTTTTGTGTCCTTCCTCCTGTACTGATCTCTCTCTAGCTTAATTTCTTGGAGATCGAGCCTATAAAGAAGAGAAAGAAAAAGAAAAAGAGAAGCAGCAAAGAAAGCAACATATCGAACAAAAACCCTACACGCGTCTCTGTAGGTAAACAACACGTACAGTGGCAGCAATAGGGTAAACTGCATTGCATTCTATTATTTAATGCATGTGTAGTTACATTGGTAGCAGACAACTGGTTTGTGATTAAACTTGGAGACAAACACACGCATACAGTTTCTCCCTTCTGCACTTTTCTCTGTTCAAACGCTACGATAGGTTAGAGCAGAGAGTAGAGAGAGACACTTCTCTACGTACAAAAGAAGAAATTGAATTCTCTGATGAGATGATAAATTTGCTTTGGGAAATGGATTCCAAAATTTTCTTTTATAAATCTATTAAAGCACGAAAATTTTCTTTGAAGAATTACTTTTCTTTCCAATTAAAAGAATCCCATTTGTTCATACTAGTTTATTTTGTACGTGCGTTGGAGGTGAATAAGAAATGGAGGCTCTCTTCCAACTACATTCCCAGCTTGATTAACAGCAATATTAGCTTGTCCTTATTTAAAATAGTTTTACGGTCCAATATAATTTACCTAAACTCATAAAGCATTGAACTTTTTTTTTTTTTCCACTCTGAAGAATTAATAGTATCTCAGCATATATATGTACTCGAGTCTTTAGCAGATTTAGTTTATTACAATGCATTAAATACGAGTGCCTCATCAGTCCAATAATTAAAGAAGGCATTGAACGTTGATTATTGAATTGAGCATACTGTATTCTGCATATATACCGTATAATACTCCTGTATCAAAATATAAATCGTTTTTGGGTGATTATTTTATTCTAAAATATAAGTCTGTTTTGAATATTTTAAAGAATAATAAATGATACGATTTCAATGTTAATCTTATTTATATTAAATTTAATAAATACTTTCATAATAACTCTTGATTTTAAAATAAAAGATAATATGAAAGGTGAGGTGGTAGTATATGGTAGGTTTTACTGCAGCATCGAAGACAAAACTTTGAAAAATGGGAGTTATTCTCTGCTGCAATTCGTAACTACATCCTCATTTAATGAAATTTATTTAGGAGTAGTAATATTTTTAGAATTTTTCTAGCCATAAATCATTTCAATATCATTGGCTTGTTAGCTCTTTGTAATTAATTCTCTGTCCGAAGCTCGAAATTTGAAAATAATTCTCCACTTGAAATGTTATTCAAAACACCCATCTTCATAGTATCACACAAGTCTTGAAGCTTGAACCAGTTTATAATTAATTTGAAAGTTTATGCACGTTAATTCTTTGTTAAATCGTGGATTATTACTGAAAATTTTTATAATAAATGTAAAAAAAGATATACAGTAACATCATGTTTCAAAGTAATTTCTGATCATGTACCTTGAAGGGTTATTTTATATATGCCAATAAGAAACTGGATTATAGAATTTTTCATGAAGAATCCACATAGAAAAATAAAAGCTGATCAAATAGAAAATCTCAACTTTCTTTATGGTGTAGCTTCAATATATATATATATTTATACATGTGATTTAAAGATCAAAATAGATCTAGTTGATACGTTGTGTGCATGCGAGGCTTGTCTGATATATAGTTTTTATCTGCATCAGAGATTATTTTTAAGTGCGCGTCCATTCACCACTCTTACAAATGCATCGCATAGGATATATATTAGAAACTTGGATTAATAGAATTTTCATGAAGAATCCAATAGAAAAATAAAAAGCTGATCAAAAAATAGAAATCTCAACTTTCTTTTATGTGGTACTTCATATATATAAATATATTTTATACATGTGATTTAAAGATCAAAATAGATCTATTGATACGTTGTGTGTGCAAATGCGAGCTTTGTCTGATATATACGTTTTTATCATGCATCAGAGATTATTTTTAAGTGCGCGTCCATTCACGCACTCTTACAAATGCATCGCATAGGATATAATATATATATATATATATATATATATATATTGTATAAATTAAATAAATAAAAAGAATATTCTGAGGTTGGTCCAATCGCACAACAAAACCCAAGAATTTTTTTATTTTTGTTATTTATGTCCTTTTCCTTTTTTGTATTGTATAAATTAAATAAATAAAAAGAATATCTGAGGTGTGGTCCAATCGCACAACAAAACCCAAGATTTTTTATTTTTGTTATTTATCCTTTTTCTTTTTGTTCGGTATTGTTGTAGTTTTTCATGTCCACTATGCTTTAATTCAGTGATTAAATTGAAGGCTTCAATATTTAAATAATTTCATAGTTAATTACTGCTTATATGAACATTTATTAAAAATTTATGAAAATATGAAGTCGTCTATACTCTAATTAACAATTTTATTTATATATCATCTCCATCTAAATATGAAAACATATGCAGCTAAAAAAATTAAAAATATGTTAGTTTATTTTGTATAATAAATATATTTTAAATTTGTATTATGGAAAAAAATGTTAATACTTTTAAAATAAGACTTAACTAAACTCGAACGGTGAAAAATCAAATTAAATCATTGGGAATGGAAAATCAAAATCCCCTCTGTTGAAATTCAACAATAGGGCACATCACATGTGTCACGTGTCGAGTACATGAGCTGCATGGCCCATGATTCAACTATATTACTATATGCACAATATTACGTCCCAATATAAAATAAAAATAATAATAATAATAATAATAATATTAGTAGAGAAGACCCACCAGCCCCAAACCCACAATAAAAACACACCTTGGGTTACTGGTCACTGCCCCTCTTCCTGCTCTTTCTTTCTTTCTCTCAGAAAGAGAGAGATGGCTCAACTTGAGTCTTCAGGTCTCTCTTTATTATTCACTATCTTTTCTGGCCTATAATGAAACAAGATTTGAATCTGATCTTCTTCTTTGAAGAGGATGGCAAAACATTATCTTCACTCAACTGCACTTCAAGAACCTCAATATCAACCCAGCCTTACGTTTGTTAATGATGCTCTCTACTGCTCTGAGGAGAACTGGGAGGAAGAAATTAGAGATGACTATTTTCCACAAGTAGAAGTAGAAGTAGAAGAAGAAGAAGAAGAAGAAGAAGAAGGAGGTACCTGTTTTTGTAACAATAACAATAACAATAATAAGAAACAACAGTGTTCTGCAGTGTTATTAGAACGAGACTTATATTGGGAAGATGAGGAACTTTCCTCTCTGCTTGCCAAACAAGAGCCAAATCAACTGTACGATAACCTACAAGCCAAACCATCTTTAGTTGAAGCTCGACGTCAAGCTGTAGAGTGGATGCTTAAAGTCAATGCACACTACTCCTTCACTGCTCTAACCGCAGTTTTGGCTGTCAACTATCTCGATAGATTCCTATTTAGCTTTCACCTTCAAACAGAGAAGCCATGGATGACCCAACTCGCCGCCGTCGCTTGTCTGTCCCTTGCCGCCAAGGTAGAAGAGACCGAGGTGCCTCTTCTATTGGACCTCCAGGTAGATACATACATGTATGTACATGTACTTTAGTTAAATTAGAAATTTGTCCATGTATGAATGTGGTGTTCCTCAATTTATCCAGGTGGAGGACAGTAAATATGTGTTTGAGGCCAAAACTATTCAGAGAATGGAGATTTTGGTGCTCTCTACTCTCCGATGGAGAATGAATCCTGTAACTCCATTATCATTTCTGGATTACATGACAAGGAGGCTTGGGTTGAAGGAATATTTCTGCCGGGAATTTCTTAGGAGGTGTGAGCGCATAGTTCTGTCAATAATCTCAGGCAAGCTATAGATCAATATCTTTTCCTTGCCTTCTTGATGCATCATTAAATTTAGGATTCTTATTGTTGTTAGTTTGGAATTCTTATCGTAATGTTTGCTAAATGCATGCAGATTCTTGGTCCATATGTTATCTTCCTTCTGTAATTGCTACTGCTACAATGCTGCATGTAATTACTGGTGTAGAACCCTGTCTTAAAGCTGAATACGAGAGCCAGCTTTTAGTTGTACTTGGAATCGACAAGGTAATTAAGTTTCCTTGCTCATTCTTTTTATTGAATTGTTCTAGCTTTATCTGGCAATTTTGAACAAAAAATCTGAAGCTTGAATTTTGACATCGTTTAAAACAGGACAAGGTAGATAATTGCAGTGAGCTAATAATGGAATTGGCATCCAGAGGCCATGGCATCAGCATCAGCCAATCAAATAAACGTAAGTACGACTCCATTCCAGGCAGCCCAAACGGCGTAATTGATGTGTCGTTTAGCTCAGATAGCTCAAACGATTCATGGGCAGTGACACCATCCGTTTCTTCTTCACCAGAGCCTCTGTCCAAGAAAAGCAGAGCACTGCAGAGCTTAAAGCATGCAACTGCAGATTTTCTAAGCATTTCTCGCTAATTCCTAATTGCATTCCTTTTTCTTTCTCTTTTCATGGACTAGCTTTGTATGGTTAAGTAAGTCTTATCATCGTTTTCATTATGTTCAAAGTTAAACTGCCTACAACCTCTGTTTCTCTTCTCTTTGAGGGATTTGAAAGCAGAGATAGTTGGCATTTTATCCGGAAATAAAGGCCATAAACAAAGCGATGGAGACAGGAGAGTCCTCTCCCTCCCACTTCACTTCTCTACACCCTTTTCTCATACGAACATAAATATTCTGTATCATATTTTATATTATATACATAAAAAAGATAATAAATGACCTTATTCGTTAAAATATTTCACAGTTTCACATACACCAACAGGTTTGCATCTATAGAAGTGCAATATCTGGTCTTCGCTTACATGTCTGATTCTTGAAAAGACAAAAATAAATAAATAAATATAGGCTCGTTAGAGGGAAAGATGAAAGATCCATCATCAGCAAGAACAAGACCATAGGAGAGGGAAAAATATAAATAAATTAAACATCAAAGAGAGGTTTTTGTTTGCATGTGAAGGGAAGAACAAGTTGTCGGCCACTGAAATATATCGGTCGGTTTTTAATTTCTTTTACATAATATAAACATTGGTGTTTGACCTCGTTAGCAGTGCTCATTTCTTGCATACTAATGTTTGTTTTGCCTTAATGAAAGAGACTAGAGAATTAATCATACATTAAAACACTTCCTCCAAAGACCTATAACCTATATATGCAATGTGAACACTTCTAGGCATTTCTATTTTTTAATCTTTAGCATTCGTTTTCATTGCCTAGAAATGAGAAAAAGAAAGATCAAGAAAGGAAATTAAATTGTAGTTCCCTTGCTTACACGCTTGACCTTTTCTTCTTCCTATAGTCTAGTGTGATATAGCCAATACACATAACAAAGATTGGTATGATAGAGAGACTTTAGGGTTTTCAAGTTCAAACCTAAAATCTCCAAATTTGAACGTAGAAGTAGATATCCGACTTTATAATGCCAAGTCAATAGAGAAGAACTACTTGATAGGAACAACCACTTTGGCCACATCAATGAGCATGTCCTTATTGCTTCTTCTAAATGAAAGTGATATATAGGACACGAAATTACATTGAAGAAGAAAGTTACAAGTGTAGTAAATTTTTGTATTGGGTAATTGGATAGATAAGTGTTTGCCAAAGCAGAAGTGGCAGGAGCATGGAATTCGAATACAAGTAAAGAAAGCAAGCATGTGCTTTTCTACCACTTTAAAATAAAGGGAATCATGAGCTGGCTTTATTCTTCGATCTTAAATGGAGGAACAGACTTCTCTAGATTTCTTACTAAATTGCATTAATCTAACTTAATTATTTGCACCAATGGCTTTTTAATGTGCCGTGAATGTCGGGGCCATTATTTTAAATATATTCATTTTTTAAAAAAACAAAAACAAAGTTGTCTGATTTCCGCTCATATTGACCAAACTTTTTGTAGTTGTGAATTTGGTAAGTGCTAATTGTTAAATTAATATACATCAAAGTGTATAATAGCCAGAAAAAAAAAATAAAAAAAAGGTCAAATTTTTATTGAAACAATATTCTGTATCTTAATTTGTCTCGTAAATTTCAGTGGTGATTTCGGTTTAGTCAATTCTAAATTTCTTATTCACGATTTAGGGTTAGAGTCAATTTCGATCAGGATTTCAGTTCAGTCTTTTCTTAATAAAAAAAAATCAAATTTGAAAAAAAAAAAAGCAAACAATGAGCAAAATGTGAATAAATATAATATAATTAGGTTATAGAATAAATTACAGAAATGGTTTAAACATTGGAAAGGGAAAAATTTCATAATCTACAATATTTATATGAATTACAGTAATTTTTTAAAAATAGGTTAGAATTAAATTATATTTTCATAAATGGTGAACGTGCCTAAGATGACTCTTAATTATGGTTGTGCTTGTAGGTCACTGAAATGGGAAAGAATTGGATGTGGAGGTATGTAACTTTCCAAAAGCTTAAAATGAAATATAATGAATTAAAATCTCTCTAGATTTACTAATTATACTGTTGATGTAGTGGATTAAGAAAAAGTGGCACCAAGAAAGAAAGTACAGAATTAGGGCATAATTAGACACATAAAGGAGGTGTAAGAGAAGATTAAAAAGGGAATTTAGATAAAATTAGATCCAATAAACACCCAGCTATAAAAAGATTAAAGGTAAGGGAATGTTGAAATTGGAAGACAAAATCTTTTAAATTTTGTGTGTAATGTCTTTATTGCTTCTTTTCTTTTGGTAGTTAGGACTTGTGAGTATGGACTGTAGTGTATTTCAACTCAAAAAGAGGAGGAAAAAAAAAAAAAAAAAAAAAAAGCTTATAAAAAGATTGAAAGGTAAGGGAATGTTGAAAATTTGGAAGAACAAAAATCTTATTTAAATTTTGTGTGTAATGTCTTTATTGCTTCTTTTTCTTTGGTAGTTTAGGACTTTTGTGAGTATGACTGTAGTCGAATTTCAACTCAAAAAGAAGAGGAAAAAAGAAAAAAAAAAAAAAAAAGAAAGAACAATTGATAAGATTCGGATTGATGATGATGATGATTGATGAGATGGACAGTTGGTAATTGGTTTACAGTGGAAAATATCTTCTCGTTCTTTTTGTGACAACTCGCAATCAGTGTACAATATCTTTAAACTCAAAGCTCACCCTTTTGACCTAAGGAGTGAGCACTGAAAAAAAAAAAAAAAAAAAAAAAGAAAGGACAATGATAAGATTTGGATTGATGATGATGATGATGATGAGATGGACAGTTGGTAATTGGTTTCCAGTGAATATCTTCTCTTCTTTTTGTGGACACTCGCACATCAGTGTACAATATCTTTAAACTCAAAGCTCCACCCTTTTGACCTAGAGTGAGCACTGATGCCCTAAAGTCTTCGGCATTAGACAAAAAGACCCTTATTTGGTGCGGCTGAACCTACGTACACTTTCCCATTATGTGAAAGAAAAACATAACAATTAATATTACAATGTGATTGAAATGCACTGATCACGTGAGTGGCAGTGGCGAGATGACTGAGATTAGAAAATTCAGTCGCTAAATCTTTGATCTAAGCAGAGAGCAGGAAGGGTTTGAATAGAAAATTTATATATTGGATTTATTTTAATGAATAGAAATTTACTTTGACTGGCTAAAGTAATAATGCCGTAGTTGATAAACCTATCTATAATAGAAAATTGACTGCGTATGCATGTGAAATCCAGCTGCATCCTGCCATGCCATCCGCAATAAAAAAAGGGGTTCAATTTTGGAAACTAATTATTGTATTTAGCTTCTTCTTTCTTTTTTATTTTTATAATAATAATAATAATATATTTTAAAAAATGGCTTCATATGTTGTAAAACGATTATGGATCAATGATAGTTAAGATTATCGTGTAAAAGTTTTAAACCACAGATAAAAATAAATATCTAAAATATTTTATTTATAATCTGGATAATTTATAAAAGCGGATGAAAGAAATAATATTGTGGAACAATAAGTCAGAACACGAGGCCTCAGAAAAAATTCAAGTTGATAGTTGGCAATAATCAAAGATGACGGCTCATTAAGTCATTGGAAAATTAAATGATTTTCTTTTTTTTTTTTTTAACATTTATAAAATAGCATCCTTTATTAAAGTAGTGGACTGCCTATTCGGCTATTCTAACTTATTGCCAGAAAGACGCTGTTTCATAATTTGTTATTCGCTAATTAATTAATTAGCCGATATATAAACACCTAATATTTCAGACATATATGATAGAAATATGAATTAGAACATGACTGGATTTCGATTGAACTCAGTTTAGCTTTAACCCTTTTTTCTAGAATGAAAATTTCACATCAAGAATTACAAAATTTGAGCTACAGTGGACCCACAAAGAATATAAAAGAACCGTTTGTATATAATCCTCACCAAAAAAAGATAGAAAAATAAATATATTTGTCCTTCAGGTTTTGAGACAGACAGAAAGCAGGTGATAATGTTTTTGCACCACAAAGATGAGTATCCAATGGGCTGTTTTGGGCCGGGCTCTGTTGTGTGTCAACGTCTCAGGTAATGCCAAACATAATATTCAGCCTACTGCCAGGTAAGGACAACCCTCACCCTCTGCATTTAAACTTTCCAATATTTCCTTTTTTTTTTTTTTTATGCTCTATGTATGTGTTTCTATGGAGGTAATAGATATATGGTGACACCGTATCTATTCTTTTTACCAAAAACCCATCTTCACGTGGAGGACATCATTTTATTTCAATTGCCCTATGGTCCTTCAGTTATGGGTCTCTAAATTTTAATAAATAAATAAATAAATAAAATTGTGTCGTGTCAAGGTAAGTTCTAGGACCATTATTGATCTTGTGAAAGAGCAAATCCAAAGCAAATAATGCAGTAGGTGAAGCTTTGGATTCAATTCCATTTGCTCTTATGTGTTTTTTAAATGCACAACAACACATTTAAATCTGCATCTAACCATGTATATATGCCAAGTTTTTAGCATATAATTTATCTTTCGGAGTTATATTTGAGAAAATTAAAGAGACACAAACATAAGAAGGAAAACATCAAAAGAAAAGCCAAAAAAGGGTGGTTAGCAGCAGAAACAACTGTAATGGGAGCAGTAGCAGGGTGGTCCAGAGGTGGGGTAGATCGGGCTCTTATTTGTTACCATTCAAAGGACATGTAGTGATTTTAATGGGGTGGGGACATTTTATTCATATTTTTTTAGAAAAAGAAAAATAAAATTGCAGAAGAAATTACTGTTGTAGCTAACATTAGCCAATGTAAGCAAAGGAAATGGCTTTTAGGCCCCAAGGGTCACTTTTAAATGGCAGAAAAGAAAGGGACAGTGCTAGGATTGTGGTGTTCTCAGGCGTTGAGTTGAGCCAAATTCAGGACCTAGCTCATTCAATACTATATGTCAATTGGGTTTATTTTTGCAGCCTAGAATGTCCAACCCTATCATTGGCACTTTTTAGAGGGTAGAGATGATAAGGTATTACTAATACTATTATTATTGTCTGGTCAGGTTCCAAGCAGTTTTAGATAAGAGCCTTTCACAGATCCCTTGTCTTTACTGTTTAGACTTAAGTTAGGCGATTGGGTACACAAGCCCATTGGACTTAAGTTGGGATGGGCTCCCATTTTTCGTCTAAATTTCTAAAACTCATTTAAAAGCCCGGTCTAAAGAAGACTTAATTA